GGAGTAGGCACGGGTTTTCTGCGTATTGTACATACATATGTAAGTCATCTACCTGCGGTGCAATCAGATAAAAAAATTTAAAATCACGGCCCCAGAGAAGCCGTGCCAGTCATTGTGTGCGACTGGATGGTTGAGAGACACCACGTACAACTTGACACTTGGATTATGGCATTGACTCGAAATGCCACATGCCTCTTGGACTGACAAATTCAGGCTAATTTATGCATCATGCTTCAACGGCGGTGTTTCCAGACGAGGCTGGTCCATCTAGGATTGTTGGCTAGCGGCCCTCTTCCAACTGGTATGTAGCCTAGCTGCTGTCGGTCTCTTCTTGTTGCAAGCACCGAGCCAAATGGCCAACACCGGTCCTTTCGTCATTTCTGTTACGTTGGTGACACAGCTCACACTAACACATGGTGAGTTGGCCAGGCTCCCCAAGGCCCGAACCGAATAACGGGCGAAGTTGCTCACACCTCTTGACGCGCATGACGCCGCGCTCGCCGGAAACATCCCCGACTTGTCACTGGACCAGTGTCCGAATTGGCGGTCAAAGGTTGAGTTGGCTCAAACGTCGGGCTGTCACGATGGTGGGTGCTTCGTTGGTGTCCTAGCAGTCCACGTCAAGACCGGGGCTATTTCGAGCGGTTCGTTGATGGGCTGCGAACCATGATCAACCGTTCATCACGACACGCTTTCTTGCCCAAGCCACCACACCGATTTGCCCCAGCCTGACGAGCAATTAATGCAGCATCCTCATGTGCCTTGGCTGCCGGCAAGATTCTGGACGCCTGATGCAACCGTGCAAGTATCCTTTCCAGATTAGACGGCGAATGTGGGTAAGATGGTCATAATTGACATACCAAAAGCCTAGAAGGCCACATCCATAGCGGCATTGGTCCCGATCTCCTCCAAGAAAGACTCTATATCTTGTCGTCCCGTCTTCTCTCTTTGCCCTCCACCCCTCGTTCTCCACTAGAGCCCAACAGCATCTGCGAAGGAGAAATGTGCGACACCTGAGATGCCCCATAGATGCAGACATTTGCGTCCCCTGTTAACCGTGCTGTCGGTCCACCACACAAGCCTGACTGGGCGCATGGTGACAACAAAGGAGAGGTCCAGTCGTGACGCTCCATAATGAGGATTTGTGGCGTCTTTGAATTCAAGCAAGTGAGCCCAAATGGAAGGAAGCACATGCACGTTGGCAGGAACGCACGAGCCAAGTTCATCCTAACGAGGAGGAAGGAGCCACGACAGTTGGTTGGACTATGACACTGAGACATTGTGGTTGGTGCGTCTTCTCGTTTCTCTCCATCCAATGCTTCAACGGCAGCCACCTTGGCAACCGCGGCAGGATATTTATCAAGTCCTATACTCCGTAACGATTATAATAATTGCCATCTCATTCCTTAGACCGAGAAGCAGAAACAAAACTACATTCTAGCCGTTTACGATGCCGTACTGTCAAGGTGCGGGCCCACGACAAACAAAAATCCGACTTAGCTTAGCACATCCCCAACAGCTTGTCTTTCTGACCGCCTGGCCGGCTGAACCGAGGACATTCAAGTACTTTGCACTTGACAGCGCAAAGAAGAAAACAATTGCGTCAAGGTTGGGTGAAATGATGGCTGAAACGCAGCTCTAGTGCCCAATTGTTAGCTTTGCGCCCTCTATGACTAAATGTGGCCGGCAATAGGCAATAGTCGGTATAACTTCTGGCGATGATTCTTCACCTCACCGCCAAACAGCCCGACCATCCGTGGCTGAGGTGGTGGCCAACAAAACGGTGGCCGTTCATGTTGCTTGACGTGGAGGCCGCTGCACAAACTGCTTGATTTGATTGTGCCCCAAGACAGCGCATATCATGGCAATCATCGATTGGGCATGCTCTGCACCAACTTGGGCCACACTGATGTCCGGCGGTGAGTGTCTTGGACCTTCCCGGACTGCACGAAAGCGATCCAAGCATATTACATCAAACTTTCGGAGCAAACAAGTCTCTTTTGAGCCACTTGCTTCGTCATTGCTTCTTGCGGTGCCAGGATGGCTCAGCAAGGAACCAGGAAACCCTCGCAACCGCAGGATATTGCCCTATAATAAAGGGCCGAGCAGGCGTGCTGGAAGGAAAAAGAAAAAGAAAAAATTCTAGCCCCCTCCCCCTGGCTGTCCAAGTTGCAGCCCAGAAGTACTCCGCAAATTATTGATAACCAGCCAACTTGACCTACATACTGGGAGAAATTCGTTACCAAGGAAAGGGGCAAACAGTGGTAATCTAGCCCCCAAGAAAAAGCACGGCTCAACGGTTCGCAAATGACTGTTGTACCCGGTACGTATAGCGAAGGATCCGTCTCCGTCCTCTGGGCCGCTGGTCCTTCGGGCAAAGGCCGAATTATATAAGCCTTATTAGCTCCTCTTGACAACCGAGGAACTGTTAGTATTAGAATGAGACCCGTCACCAGGGAACTGGTGTCGCGGCATCGTGCCGGTGGGCACACAAACTCTTGACCAAACAAACTCATTATTCCTGGTTGAGTGTTGCTTATCCGTCTACTGCATTATGGCGCAATTTTCCACCATCAAGGACGATGGCAGGCGGCTCCGGGGATGAGGAAGCGAGCCCCATTCAAAGACCTAATATTGACCGATTCCCTTGCTCGGACAGGTGCAGCGGCGCCAGAACCTAGCTGGTGGGCCACCACCCTGGATGTGATGCGCAAAATCTGCCGGCCTAGTGGTTGCTCCAGATTAATTGTGCAGCAATGATTGTCAAGCGGCTGAGCCCTGCCTGTTCCTCGATAATGATGGTTTGTCCAGCCGCATGCGTGTTTCAGTATTTGTATGGTCAGAAATGTCGAGCACCTAGCCGACTGACCATGAAAGCTGTCGTGTAGGATAAAGACGACGCATGGAATCCACGATGCGGCGCGCTTTTTTGGTGGCATTTACCTCCGTTCTTGTGGTTCGGAATCGAGAACTCGTCTCCCATGCCACGCGGAACCGTTGGCCAGTGGATTGAAATATCCAGGTTCTATCGCAACATTGACCGGCATTGGTACGGCAAATGCCGACAAGGTTCAGATGAGGCAACATTGAATCGGGGCCTTATGTGAAGCCGGAAGCTAAACTACTCTGGTAACTGCATTCGCTTTGCTCTGCGTCAACATCCTTGTCCATCCAGGCTGCCTGCGACCCGGGTTTGTGGGTTCTTGTTCGACAGGGACCCGGACAAGGACAAGTATGGCGTATGGCTCTGTCAGCTGTGAGCCGACACAAGACCTCCAAACGAACCATGGGCAAGGGTTATATCTCGCTTCGGGATATAGACTCAATCTCTTTTCCTGTGCTCTCGCAGGTGGTGGAGAGGGGTGAGATTTGTATTGCAGTATTTGATAGCAAAGGCCATGGGCTGATCTGACGTGGAGAGTCTGGGCAAAGCGGAACAGGTACCGAGCCCAGCAGAGAACCCAGGTAGCCATGCAGTCAGCCAGGGCAACGACCAGGGCGACTGGTGCTCGATGTGAACATCAAACTCGTGGCTGACGGCTTCATTACGGAGGGCCTTGGAGGTGTGTGTGCCTGTTAACCGGGAGGGTTTGCCATGTTGGTCAGATTTCGGCCCACAGTTCTTCTCAGGGCTTGATCAGTAGGCAAGGGTCTGGAAGAAAAGATGTGGTCATTGCTTTGATGGCAAACAAGCAGGAGGCAAAATTCGGACGAGGATGTTGATGTCAGCGAAGTGATATGTTTGGTAAACATGCAGTTGCAATAACTCCCCCATGTTGCCGAGATGGGGTTCCCGACGCCGGCAGCCCTGGATGGGAAATTGTAAGCATCACAATTGATAAAGAGAAGCCTGCTGCTCACCAGGATATCTCGAGCTGCCCAGTCATCTGTGAACAAAGCAGAAGTCGCGCATGTGGCATGTAGGGTATTTGAGAAAGTCTCGGGTTCTGAATTGACAAGGGTTAATTGTATCGCTCCTCGTGATGCGTAATGAACTTATTAATTGTGCATAGCGTTGGAAAGTATTAGCAGTTGCCCCTGGAGGCATTTACGCCTAAGTACTCAAGTACCTGAGACTGGTTGCCTTTTGGGTAACACTAAGGCCTAAGATGCGGTACTGGGCCAACACGTTTGAAGTATCTAGGTACCCAGTACTTTCGCTCGCGACCCCCGTTTTGGAGAACGGCATGGCTCTCACGAGGTAGGTCTCGACTTGTCTCTCACAGGCCGTTGAAAAGTCTAATGTTAAATCAAAATTCTGATATGCTGCCTTGTCATACCCAAGTAGGCGATAATCACCAAAATAACCCTTGGAGTCCGCAGGCACCTACCCAGGTACCTACCTAGGTAGGTAGGTATGTACTTTGCATGGCTCTTTCCTTTTCCAAATTTCAAGTTCCGTGCTTGAGTAAGGCTACCAGAAGAGGAAAACTTGATGCGTTCCAAACTTCTCCTCAGACCCAATTCTCGCTGAGAGGTATTTCTCCGCATGAGCCCAATGCTTGCTCATTAGGCAAGTTGTTTCTAATAGTACTTTTTTCTTCCACCTTGTGTTACCCGTCGGCGGGTGTAACGCCAGCCTGTCTTTAGATTCTCCACTTTCAGAACACAACGCTCAGTTAGGTTCTGTGTAACTGCCTAATGTACGTATGTACAGTCACAGGCAACCCCACCCCATTGTCCTAAGACACACATTCACTCACTCCAGATTACGACCGTCAGTCAGGTTCGCTGCGTGTCTCTGCGCCTCTACAGGTACGTACATGGAACTAATTGTGTGCAAGAGGCTTGATCTCAAACAAACTCTCGCCTACCGCATACGTAGCAAAGAAAGCAGCTCGGACACAGGCGACGGGTGATTGATCAACAGACCAAGGAGAGACCGTTCCCAGTTCCAAAAGAAAGCAAAAACATTGAATGCACACCATATCATACCATACCAAAATCGAACTTGAGCTGATGTACCTCACAAGATTCAAATTTCAAAACAAAAAACAAACATGGCCGATGTACCGCTGCGGGTAATTTCAGAGAACTCAGCTTCCGAACGGCGCATCACGCCATCGTGGTCCATCACCACGCTCAAAGCAAAACTCGAGCCCATCACAGGCATACCCCCCTCCGCGCAGAAGCTCAGTCTCAAAGCTTCAGGAGGGTCGGATGCCATCCACATTGAAGCGGCAGATGAGGACAACACCCGGTTGTCCAGCTTTCCCCTGGCGCCTTACGCCGAGCTGCACGTAAGTTTTTGGTTATAGCATTTCATTTGCTCGTTAGGCAATCCGTTCATGGACCAGGGCATCAGCAAGAGCACCAAAGAAGCAGAACCTTCAATGTGATGATAGTAAGGCATGATTGAACAGACGCCGCGTGCCACTTTCGGTTCTTCCTCCTCCTCCTCCTCCTCGTCCTTTCCCCCTCCTCTTTCCTACTTGCCAGGTCCTTTTTAGGATCTGCCCTCAAATGTGTGACAAAAATGTCTCATGGGCATCCTTTCGCATGACCATCATGACAGGGGACAAATATAACTGAGTCTACGGAGTACTTGGTTTGGCAATGATTGGGGGCTGTTGCTGCCTCGGCTGGTCGTCTCCATCCTTGCTCCATTCGTCTTCTCCTCTTACCCTGATTTGCATTGAGCGAGCACGTGTTTATTTGCAGAGTTGGGCCATAGGTTCGACGGCTCAACGCGAACTTTTGGGGGTTATTAGCTCAGCACCACGGGAGCGTGGAGTTTCTTGGCAATAAAAGCAGAACAAAAGTAGCATGGAAAAGTACGGGAATCAGTTTGCTAACGGGTTTTGTCCTCATTTGACAGGTGGGGGATACCCGACCACCCGGCGCAAGGCCCAATTACACCGACACATCTGGGGTCGATAAGTACGAGATGCCCGAGGAAGAGTACGAAAAGAAGACGGACTCGGTATTGGCATGGAAAAAAGCCCAGAAACTTGGTCGTTTCGATCCAAACGCCCCAAGCCACGAGCAAGCCAGACTGGAGGCTTTGGAACAAGAGGTACGCCAGCGTGGCATTAAGGTCGGTAAGAGGTGCCGTATCGGCGGTGAGGACACTAGGCGCGGAGTAGTCAAGTATGTGGGAGAGGTGAAGGAGATCCCGAACGGCATCGGGCAATGGGTGGGTGTCCAGTTAGATGAACCGGTGGGCAAGAATGACGGCAGCATTGGCGGCTGTCGGTATTGGGGAGAACCATCAACAATGAAGCATGGCGTGTTTGTGCGTCCAGAGCGAGTAGAGGTTGGGGAGTTTCCGCCTATGGATGATCTCGAGGACATGGAGGAGATTTAGACAGCAGAAACAAGTCGCCAAAACCAGACACTTGCATGAGCATCCTCGACTGAGCGGAAAAAACTAAACATTGCGCAATGAGTTTGTGACAGCTATGGATCTACCCTTTTCTATCCCAAAGTACATCGGGTAGCTTCATGGTGGTGAAGTTCTCGATTCTCGCCCTGCCTAGGGCCTCGGGGGAACATGTTTCCATTGGATAGACGGCACAGGAAGTTGTCATCCAGACTTGGCAACCTGGATCTGCCGTCCCAAGCACCATGGAGGCGAAATCTATGACTTGGTCAGGGTTGTGAGCAGAAGATAGAGGTGGAAACAAAACACGGTTCGCCACAATATCCCTGGCAGGTATAGCTAAGTTGGTCGATCAAAGCGGCCTGGGATATCAGCTGTTTAGTGAGTGATGAGTGTCGCGAGGTGTTAATCTGTGCCACGGATGTCACGGGTCTGACGATTCCGATCTCCCAGCGCGTTTGAGAGGCCAGCTACTTAGATTATTATGGAGGGGCCAGTACCAGTCCAAAGTACTGGGGCCCGCGTGCAAGAACTATTGTTCGGCTGGATTTCTTCCGATTACTATTAGACAGGGCTACGGAACGCGCCTCAACGCCAAGGGCAGCTTTGGAAGCATTGGCAAAACATTGGCATTTGGTCACACGCATGCATGTTGTTGTAGTCACAGGGTAGCCCACTTGAAAGAAAGGAGTTTGGTACGACATGGGCATGTACAAGAAGAATGAATCGCCAAGCCGGTAACTGGTTGTCAAGGACCGGGGGTTCATTTTTTTTTCCTTCTTTCCCCTTTTGAAGACCAAAAAAGGTAAAATAAAAAAGACGGTTTTGCACTTTTCCGTTCTGGTTCCCCGGGTTTTGGTTCTTATTCTACTTTGAGTTTTTGGCGATCGAGCAGTACGTATGTATGGATGCTTTAGAGTTTGAACTGGCGTATCAAACAAGGGTGTTGGGTCTATGGAACAATGGAGAGCGGTGTCAGAACTGCCTGATCAGTGACATGATACAGGATCCAGCAACATGCCGACCCCAAGATGGGTATTCCTGCTGAAGAAACAAGCCGAACTCGGCCACAGGGTGTCTAGGGTATGCTGGGTAGCGTGTAGGCCGATTGCCGGCGGGATTGATTGGTGGGGTTTTTCTTCCCAGCAAAAGCGGCAGCATAAAACACGCCAGGAAGTCAATGATGTCGAGAAGGATCAGTTGCCGGGAAGCAGAACACATGGTTGGGTGGCTGAAATGGCCCAAACCCGGACGCTCCAGGGATGTGGAACTATTGTGCGTGGTCCGCGGGCCGGGAAAGGAGGCGCGTGTATCAAGCGTGTGACAGCATCGTCCCGTCTCGAGTGCGTTGGCTCGATATGGCAAAGTCAGGAAGGAAGAGAAGGGCGCTTGAGGCCTCCCCTAGCCAAGGCAGGAGGATTGGGCAATGGGCAATGTGACGGGCCGTTGATGGTGATACGTGGGTTTGAGATGGGATATGCAAACGTATGTAGAGCGGCCCTTTGGGCAATGCAGAACCGACCCCCTTCCAAAACTAAAAGATCTGGTGCGGTTATGCACCTTGTGGCCAGGGACGCGGCGGGGTGCAAGACGAATGCGGTGTTTCTATTTTAGGATGAAGGTGAGATCGGGCCGTGGTGAATTGCCTTTGTATCTGCAGCATCTTGTCCGTGATATTTCTTACGGCTGGGCTCGGCCGAGATGAGATGATGCCTCCCTGCTGCGCTAACCGCGTTGGCGACTTACACTGACTGCCTTTGGCGTAACTTGTTCGTTCATCGTCACATGTGCGGTGATGGACTGCGCCGAGGGTGATCCACTCGTTGTTAAAGAGACGTTTGATTTGCATGAGATGATGGCCGATGACCGGAATAGTGTCCTGGGCGGGAACCTTGTATCAGGCCTGGGTTGGACAGGACGGCAGAGTTTATGCGAGATTCCGTCTGTTGAGGAGAACGGCGCCGCTGTGACATGCTGAGCCCATTGTTGTGCGCTGTTTGCTTCCAGTCTGGAGTTGTTTGTGGTGGATGGCCAACGAGTGCCGTCGTTGCCGTCTGTTCGCGGGTTCGGAGGCGCTTGACTGGCGCTTGACTGGCGCTTGGCGGGCGCTTGGCGGGCGCTTGGCACGACGAGTTCATGTCTGGTCGGTCGGTTATGATGGTGGCCATGGTCCAACAGCAACGGCGGCCGTGGGCAACTGTCGACACTGGGGGGACAAGTGACACGCTGTGAACCCTTTGGCACCAGAGACACTACCGTTGACATGGACCCGCAACCGGCGGCCATCCCCACCACCATTTGCTCGGCGGCCGACGCCGCCCCAAGTGCATCCAACGTGGGCACTGGGCCATGTCTCAGCGTGACCCCGTCTCCGTCATCAAAACCACCAGTACTAGTGCTTAACCTATTGGTTTTTCACCCTCATTTCGCTGCCGACGTCGACACCGGCCGTAAACCACGTTGCACAACCAATGTCGCTTCGCTCGACTTGAGCCCCGATGACTACGACCGGTCGCCCTCGCCGATTGTCGATGCGAGCACCCATCCGTCCATCTGCCCGTTGCCCATCGCCCGACAGTCCGGCTGTTCCGACCTTCGACGCCAGCCTCTTGAACCTGCATTTGCCCGTTACGTTTTCTGGCGGCGACGAGGTGGAAATCACCCACCAAACCTACGAATGACCATGGCCGACTGCTTGGCTGCCGGCCTTTATGGCGGTTCTTGGTTGACGCTGCTCGCCATGTTTTTTGCCATGTCGGCGGTTTCTGCGCAGGGTGACATCACCGTCGTTACCTCCGCTCAGAAGGATGTCCCAGATTGGGCGAACCCGAGCGCCCTGAATATGGCCATCACGCTCCAGCCTGGGGGGAAGCCTTCATCGTCGATGTACACTGTGATTCCCTTGACGGCGAGCGTGGGGCTCAATGGAACTGGTGTGATCCGTGGGGTGAGCGCTCGCTTTTTGAGAAGACCTCATGGGAGACAATTCACTGCTAACTGCCTGATTTTCTAATTCTTCTTCTCGCTCCACAGACTATCAATATCATGGGCCACCTCAAGGCAGCCAATGTTTCTTCCTACAACGACTTGTCCGGCGGTGACACCATCGCCTTCTTATCCTGCGACAAGCCTGCTTCAGACGGTTTCATTGATCCCGATAAGATGCTCAGCAGACTTATGAAGGCGTCTTTAAAGGCAATCATCCTCTATACCATTGATCAAAACATTTGTCTCATCTCAAACGAGGGCACTCTGCCCTATACAAGCATCTTGTCCATGGCCGACTCTGGCGAGGCGGGAGGAGTCTTGTCGTATTTGAACGGTACGCAGCCTGTAGCGAGTGCTGATGCCCAGATATCTGGCAAGGCCGGGCAGCCAAGTCCCAACTCTGGATCAGGCGATGGCGGGGGAAGCAATTCGGCAGTCGCTATGAGCATTTTGTATAGCATCACTGGCATCATCACCTTGCTATTCTTGGTCATCATCGCCACGGGTGCCATACGTGCGCATCGATATCCTGAAAGATACGGGCCGCGCGGAGGACTTGGTGGACGCCCTCGTCAAAGCAGGGCAAAAGGCTTGGCTCGTGCTGTGCTGGACACAATTCCGATTGTCAAATTCGGGAACCAAGAACCTGCAAAGCCTGATCCAGAACTTGAGCTTGACGGTGCTATGACAGATGGACATGAAACGACATCTCACAGAGCCGTGACCAATACCGGGGAGAGCGAGCCGCCGGAAGCCAAGACTGCTGCTGCCGCCGCCGCCGCCCTCGCGGATAAGAAAGATAAAAGTGGGCAATCCTCGTCGGAGCAGACTTCAAAAGCTCCTGACGCAGCTTCTGCTCATGCTGAAAATGAAGAAGGGGACGAGCACATTGGTTGCTCTATCTGCACAGAAGACTTTACGGTTGGCGAGGATGTGCGAGTATTGCCTTGCAACCATCAGTTCCACCCCCATTGTGTTGATCCCTGGCTTGTCAACGTTTCTGGAACGTGTCCCCTGTGGTAAGTGGACTAGCGCGGGAAATCTCTTCGTATTAGGAGCCATGCTGACAATCTTCATAGCCGTTTGGATCTTCGCCCTGGCCAGCAGGGTCCCAACGACCAGTCCTCGTTTAACCCAGAAGAAAATCTGGCGCCTCCCTTGGTTTTGGAAGGAGACGATGGCGACAGCTCTCATGCAACTCACAGTAATCGACTCAGTCGGCTGTTGGATGTTAATAGATTACGGCAGGCCGGTGTGGAGGAGCGGATAGCTGCCCTTCGACAGATGCGAGCCCACTCTGCAAACCACGGAACTCGAGAGCCGGAGACTGTGGAGGACAGACCACAAGCTTCTCGGTTGACGGACAAGCTCAAGGACAAATTCCGTATACGAACGAGATCTCAGTCCGCGAACCCATGATGGCATGGCCCCAGTATACTCTCATGATATATGTGCATATTTTCTTCGTTCGGAATATTCGCATGGCATGAATCGCTTCGCACGCAAATGTTATAATGACTGATGGGTGTTTGCTAAAAGAATGACATCTCGCAACTCATGTAGCCGGGCTACGATAAGGCGATATAGGACCTTGATAAGGCTTTGATCTGGTAATATGATTGGCGTTGGGCTACTGACTTTCCTGGAATTACTTGCTCAAGATACTTAAGAAGCATTGCGAGGCGTTATATTTGAGACTGGTCTAGAGGTGCCAATGATTTATTTGGTATCTTGTAGTTTAAGATAAATGTAGTCTTGTGCTGCTCCTTGGCCTGGCCTTGTGCTTGTGCTGTTTCGTGTGGCGAGAACCGCGTCTTCAGGGCAAATTGCCCAGAGGGCCGTGTGATTTGGAGGACGGCAATACCTAGCCTTAGACACGGAGACGACGGACTGTTGTACAGCAGCGAGGGACGTGTGTATTGTGTGATGTGCTCGTTGTGAAATGAGTCTTCAAAGGCCCTGTCTCGTCCGAATCCAGAGTCCAGCATCCCATCAGTCGTGTGTCAGCTATACCAGAAAATGTCAGGCAACCCTAACCCATCCACCACAGGGATGATACACACTGCTCCTGCTAAATATATATTTGAGGATATTTGGAAGGTCCATCCCACAACCTCAATCCAAGACCAACCACTCGCCCTTACGCTTCCAGCTTCAGATCTTCATGCCTTCATTACGACAAAATCATCAATCACCTGTGCAACAACGGCCACGATTTACCAGGACACGCGAGTGTGGCCTGGTCACTTCGTTTGCTTTGTTGCCAATCCTCTTGCCTCTTTTCCCTTTAAACGCTACACTTCGATTTGCCGACACAAACTTTTCAACTCGTCGATCAATGGGGATGTCGGGACGCTGAGATATTACGATTTTAACATGGCCACGAGAACAGTCCCGAGCGTCGGAGAGCCAGTTCCCACAGCAGGAAGGGTCTTAGGCTTGGTTGTTTCCCTCCTCTCGACAAGCGTGTTGACTCTGTTCCTAAGTAGGTGCCGTACTGCGTGGATGCTTGTCTGGTACGCGTTGGTTTTGACACGGCGCAGCGCAGCGATGTTTGGCTATCCGGTCTTGGAGTCGTTTGCCCATTGTGGCGTGGCGTGAGTTTCCATGATGCCAAAACGAATCGACTCGGGTGACTGCGCTGACCCGGACAGTGGTGTTTGCCATTTACGCGGATTCGTACATCTTTGTCTTTGCGTCGGCCATGCTGCAGCACTCCATCGGCTTGAATGCTAGCTTTAAAACCTGCGACAGCGCCATCTTGATCTGCCTCGTTTGTTATGTTACTACCAAGGTGAGAGAGCGCCTGAACACTGTCGATATTCGGTTTTCCCCTAACAGCTGAGCTAGGTTGTGAGTAGAGCTGGGACTCGAAGCCAAGTCCGCCCACGCTGACGGTTTGCAAAGTTTATATACCTCTTTCTGGTTGAAAAGGCGGTATGCTGCACAGTTGAGTGTGATTTCGGGGTCATGGATGACTGACGCGCCGCAGCACATCATTCGCGGCACGCCAAAGAAGAGAATTGGCTCGAGATTGTACATGTTCAACTCTCTAGGTATGATTGCGGTGTATCTGGCAGTCGTAATTCTCAACTTTGTATTGTACGTTGTATTGTGTGTCCCCGAAATTTTGGTGCAGCGACTTACAACCATGTTAAATCTAGTCGGATAGCCAAACTGCAGGATGGGGAATGCATCATCGGCATGAAGAGCTTTGCCATGATTCCACTCATTTCCTTCGACGCTGTTGTAAATGTATACCTGACAATCATTTTCCTCATTCCGCTCCGCAGTGAGTTCTTACCCGGTCGTTGGGGGAGGTGGTTTGCACACTCACGTTCAAATAGACCTCTACTCATACAAGAACATGCCTCGCACGCACACAAATATGCGACTTCGAACTATTGCTTTCAAAACATTTTGTGGAGCAGTTTGCACGCTGCTAAGCAGCATAGTGTATGATGACACTCTGAAAGATGTCTATTTCACTTGTGGTTTGGCCAAGAAGATACTGACCTTCTTAGAAACCTGTGTGCGTTAATGTCACTTGATGGTGAGCCAGGATGGGTGTGTCTGGTGAGCTGCAATTGCGACAGTAAGTTCCAGCCTCCCACTTTCCATCCAAGGCCTATTTATCCAAAGCTGAGCAACAGTAGTTATTTTTTCCGCTGCTGTCATCCAATGGGTCACATCCAAGGACAACATGGGTACCTCGACGGCCTCGTCAACAAACGGCGTGATCAATGGGAGAGAAGCCCTAGGTCACGAATCAATCAGGGTACTCGCTCCATACGCAGCGGATTTCTCGACAGTGTCAAGTCCTGTTGACCCCTCCTTGGTAGCTTCAGCCCGATGCTCAACGCAGGCCGACATGCACGCGGCCAATGCCACAAGCGCCGGTGGCGTAATCATCACAACCACCATCGAACGGGAGACCAAGCTCGGCGGCGGCAGCAAGTCCCAAGGGAGCCCAGTGGGTATCCCAATGGGCCGCGGATACCAGGAATGCTATGCGGGAGAGGATGGCTGTGCAACTTTCCAAGATGACCCCCAAGGAGCATACGGCTCTAGAGTGAACATCACCGCGGGCTAGCCTTAGCCTGACCCCCCTTGGCTACGGTGGTGGGATGTCTTTGACTTTTTTGAATTCCTTCCTAAACACACTACTTGTACAAGCCACTGGAGATTGTTTGAATACATAGTTGTAAAGGGGGCGTTTTGTAACTAAGCATGTTATCCGTCAATGAGACTGTCCATGGACTACTCCGGACCGAGTGCTCCACAGGACTTTCATTCACTGTCTGTCAAGAATCCTGTCAAAGAGTAGTGCTGTCTCAGCCACCAAGACACTCCATTGTCCATGTCATCACGGCATTTTACCCGCGTCAAGAATGCACTAGTTTCACGGCGGGAGACATTGAAATGCCAGCCCACACTCGCGGAGCTTACTACTATCATGTCCGATATGAGCGGCAAGACATTTGACATTCAAACGCCAGCAAGCAAGCCACAAGTCACGGCATACAATCGAGTGGAGAAAAATGCAAAGACATCAATTGTCGTGGCTCGTAAATCTATGTCCATCCCGGACTGGTGATTCCGTGGTGCAAGATACTCGGGGGGGTGCCGTAAACGAGTGAATAAGCGCATATTCAACCCGCCAAAATAAAAATCCTGGCAACACAAAATGCTTGATCCTGGTGGCCACGGACTTGAGTCTCTCAGGTACGCCATGTGACATGCGAGAGTAAGTCGGCCCAATATATACATGAGAATGGAAGACTTGTTTTGTTGATCCCTTGAGCCCGGTTATGTCCCCCCCGGTGATGTATCTTGCCCTGATTTCTGTAAACCCCCCATGGGTTTGTGCCTACCCCTTATCCGATGAGTGAAGCAAAAAGTGAACTTGGAGAAAACGAAGCGGGTATCCCCTAGCGAGTGTACAAGAAGAAGAAAGAGAATAAGAGAATCGTCAATCAGTTCTTTTTTTTGTATCTAAGCTGAGGCGAAGATCTTGCCGACGGAGCTGAGAGACGTGGCTGATGACAGCAAGCTATTGGGCTGGATCATGAAGTACGAGTAGCCGTAGACGTAGTCGAGAGAATCGAGCTTGGGGATGGCCTTCGTCATGAAGTCATCAATCTCGGAGTCGGAGCCGGTGGGAGCAAACTCGGTCACGAAGATGGGCTTTTTGCCGCAAATTACATGGGCTTCTTCGATGTGTTCGAAGAACTGGTCGAGTTGCGCAGCCGGGGAGTACCAGTGAACGTTGCAGAAGTCGTATTTGCAACCCTTGGTCTCGCACTCAGAGACAAATTGCTTGAGCCAATCTCTACCCTCTCCCGGTACGTTGCTATTGGTGATGGCCGGAGCGCCAACAAGAGCCTTGCCATCGCAAGGATTCATGTACTTTACGTGGTTGGTGGCAGCGTCGGCAGCAGACATGTCGGCCTGGCCTACGTTGTCGGGTTCGTTGAAAGAGAAGACAGCCTTGGCACCGTTGGCCTTGCTGCAAGAAGTGCCCCAGCGATCAAAAAAGTCCATCTTGTTACCCCAGAGCATAGGAATGTAGCTGTAGGAGTTGTCCAGGGATCCAGGAGAGTCGCCCCAGTTGTAAGCCCAACCGCAAGCTCCAGACTTGCACTCCTTTCCGAAAAGGTTGGCAAGGTTAGGGTCGTTATAAGCAAGACCACGCTTGCCAGAGAAAGGGGCTCCCGTGCTGGAACCAGAGCCATCGCCGCTGCCCGAGCTGGGGGCAGGTTTAACCTGGGAGACGGAGCTGGGGGCAGGCTTAACCTGAGTGACCAAGCTGGTGGGAGAGGGAGCCGGCGCCGGAGCAGAGCTGGAGAGAAGAGCCTGGAAGTTGGCAGGAGCGTCGATCTTGGGCGTGGGAGTAACGACGACGTGCTGGGAGGTGACAATGCCGTCGTTGGTCTGGACGGTAGGCTCAGGAGCAGGAGCTCCCTCGGTTACATAGACAGTCGTGAAAACGGTGACCCAGTCGACGACATCCTGCTTCTTCTGCAGCTTGTGCCCATGTCGGTGCAAGCTAAGGGCGGATGCCTGCTCGATGGCGGCGATGGCACCAAGCAAGGCAGAAATCTTGTTGGTGTACATGGTGAAGGCGATTTTGTCTATACCCAAAGTACTGCTTGTAAGGCGTTGTTGATGATGATAAGGATGAAATGCTGCTTCTTAGGAAGTCGAATTGGACTTTACAGTTATCGTGTTCTTGTTGATGAAGGACGGGTAGTTACAGCGCAAACGCAACCTGATATTCTTCGGCACGGCCGTTGAAGGAGAGAAAATCTGGCGAGGCAATCTTTCAAAGATGCGAAAAGGAATGGACAAGTGCAGGTGCAAAAGCAGCAAAAGGAAGAGCTGATTTGCAAAGAGAGGGAAAAAACAAACGGGTCGAAGCTAGCGACCTTGTTGCTGTTGTTCGTGCTCGAAGCAGAAAGGAAGGACAACGGAAGCGTTGCGTGTTGAAGGAATGTAAAGTACCTAGGTGGTGACGGTGAAGAGAAGGGCAAAAGAAAATCGAAACAAAGTGGTGAGGTGGAACGAGGTAGAAATATCGGAAACTAGTTCGGGAGGGAGAAGACAATGTGCACAGTGAATGCCAACGTTGCGGCGTGGTGAGAAGGGTGTGTATGCGGAAATGGGGTGTCGGCCGGCGTGAATGGTGAGTGGCTGGACTCAGGGTGCGTAAGAAAACAGGGTGTGTGTCAATTAACGGCGGGACCTTATCCGTAGATTGGTTCCTAGATCCGCCAAACATCCAGTAAGATTGGTGGCCCAATGAACATTCAATGTTGAAGACGGAGGGAACGAATAGCCGCTGGCAGAACGGCACAGGCGGCACCTCAGGCGGCATCACAGACTTGTGGGCCTGTTCAGACGGTAGCACGAGTCTGGTCTGGTGGGGGAGGCACCCAGGTTCAGAAGCCCAGCGGAGACATGGACGAGCCCCAGGAGCCCACCGATGCGTCCTTTGAAGCCTGCATGTGGTGCTGGTCCCTCAAACGTCGAGAACTAACGCCTGGTCTGGTGCTATTGATGAAATCTCGTGCCTGGCAAAGGCTCAGATTCCAACGAACCACAATGCCAACGCGCCGAGGAGAGCATATGACAGGTACGGCGCCAACTGGGCGAGGTTACAGGCTTTGTTGTCTCCGTAGCACTGCATACAGGATGGAACACGAGACCAAGAGTTGGATCATCCAACCACCGCGAGTAGCGTCGTGTCCGCATCCATGAGGCGGGCCCGTTTGTGTTCAGACGTCCTTTTCACATGGCGTCGTAAGCCGCGTTGTACAGCATCATGATTGGCAACCAATTTGCTGTTTTGCTGCCGCTGCACATGCAAGATTGCCAGCACCGTGCCGCCATTGTAAGGACAGTTGTCTTGCTGTACGTATTGTGTATCGTTTAGGCAACGCAAACACGATAATTTAACAAAACGGACAGCTGCCGAACAGGCGCAGGCACATAAAGGCACTCTCCCTAAGTACATATGCACTTAGTACTCGGTACTCCGCAGGGAAGCAGCAACAAACAAAGCCACTTGGCCCCTTTCTGCAAGGCACCAGACACCACTCCGAACCGGATGCTTATCCGCACTGTTCCATGGCCCCCTTGGCGGAGCATTTATCTTCTCCCTACCTCTACGTGGTGCACATGTGCTTTCTGTTGACAAACACAGTACAATTATGTATCTGCATCCTGTCTTTGCCAGAGCACACGCGGCCCCTTGTTGGATTGCGTTGTCCATCCATGTCGAGCACTACTATTTCTTTGGCAGGCCGGGATGCTTGGACGAGGGATGACTCTGACCCGGGCCAGAACTATCACGCGGCAGGGGTGCCATGCTCTGCTTCTCCATATTACTCAGTACGTCACGAACGACGGCCTCTGAGGATCAAGCCATTGACGAAGCCATGTTCTACGGTCGAGCGTCGAGTCCAGGCTCTTTGACACGATTTGGGCATTGGCGGTGGCGGTGAAAAGAAAAGACAAAGCTCTTGATAGACAGTGCTGAAAGGGGAAATCGGCGTGCACTGCCATGAACTGCTTGGATTGTACAAGTCTCCAGTCGTCCCGTATTCAAAAGGCCAAGGACCAGAATGAAGTCCGAGCTGTATTATTATCTTGGCCCGCAGGACCGCGTGTTTTCGCGGCTGTGTAGCAAGACAGGACAGGGCAGAAACCGTCGAAACTTGAGCCATCTGCAAGCAACCTGAAGGCCGCGAACTTCTAGCTTCTTTCAGCTCCTTCTTAGTTCCGAGGTTGCGTTCCCATCCTAGATTCCTGAGTCGTGCCTAGAAGCGTCAAGTTGGCTTTGCAACAACAAGTGCATCTGTACCGAGTACGTATTCATTGTACCTTTGCCGGCCCCGCCACGGACGGAAAGGGAAACAATGGAGTAAAAACCCCCCGACAATGAGGAAAGGAAAGAACACTGACATTGCTTGGATGCCCCATCAAAGGCAACATGGCAGACATCGTCATTTACTCAGGCGCGGAAGGGCAGGGAGCATATCCGCGAAAGAGTCAACCGCTAGTTCCTTCCAAATGCCTGTCAAGGGCATGTTATTGTTGCTGTATGTACTCCGTACGCACTAGTACGTAAGTGCTCCGTACTCCATAAACCGCGAGGCCCGGATCTGCCTGGGCGGGTTGTTTCTTTTGCTCGCACTGGCCAACGGTGTCAGGAACAGAGATCTCGTTGGCCCATTGGAATCCGTCGCCCCATCGCCCCATCACCTCTTCTGCAGACACACGGGCTAGGCAGGCAAGGTACGGATTCTGCACGTTGCCAGCCCCAGGACCCCCTGTCCAGGAGACAAAGCTCCAGTGGGCTTGCACCTACCACCGCACCTGCCCAAAGATTCCGCCCGTGGCGGCCAATCGCGGCAGGAAACAGCCCATCCGCCGAATGATCTGAAACGACGCTGACTGACGAAGCACATGGTTCTCGTTTCCTCACTCGAACGTTTCGATTGACCGTCATCCACAGCACTTGCAGAGCTTTCCCCCAACTCCCAATTCACCGTCCACGATGACCGCACGGGGTACGGGGTACTAGTACGTACAGAGTACTCCGTCCTCCATATTTCAGGGCAGCCTCTTCTCGGCCCATCTCCAGCCATCGCCCGGTTGCTCCAACGCATCGCCCCTGTCCGATAAAACGCGCTCGTACCTACAGTAGCGCCATGCAACCCTGCAATCATGCCAGCTTTTCGCGTTGGCGGCTGCAGGAACGAAGAGAACAGAAATGCGTGGCCTGGGTGGCCCGATGGCTGGGCAGGAATAGTCATCATTCCCCTACCACATCCGAGAATGCAGCGTTGGGCAAGGCTCAAGGGCTTTTTACGCATTAGCCCGATGAGAACCTTCAATGTTCATCGTCAGCAGGCATTCGCAACATTTTTTACAGTACATTGTTTACGTACTCAAGTACTCTGGCCCATCACATGGTCATGTCTGGCCATGTGCCATACCGATATGCAAGGTTTCTTTCAGTCCTCCTCCACATGACTATGTGGGAACAACTGATTGCTTGTGCAAAAGTTAAAAAATACCGCAACTGTCGAGTCGCACAAGTGGCCTGGTTATCTCCCCCAAAAAAACCACCAAACTGGCCACGAAACCGGACGCTTGAAAGTGTGTTGACTGGCCTAAACAAAGCACTGCGGAACAGGTGTTGGTGCTGGTACCATGTGCAGCAGAGTACTACTACGTACAGCAACTACCTACCTAGTACGTAGACATGGTGGAGAGCATTGTTCAAGTGCTATTGAGCACCAGCCGATATTACCATACCGTTTGTGACGCACTGTACAGTAGTCCTTGGAAGGCACCTCTTTGTGGCATGATTCGTCAGCCGCTTGTTCGTCTGAAGTCTGGAGGCATGATGGATCTGGTCACGGGTCAAACCCAGAGGTGACAATGAAACGTGGCCGACGTGTTCGGCCGAGGATGCTGAATGTTTCAGACGCAAAGGTGTCTGATGTGTCGCTGATGCGCCATGAAGACCGAGGTGATTGAGATGAGGTGGCAACCAATGCAGCCTTGAGCCTGAGATTGAAACTAACCCTCCGTCTCAGCAACGTCTGTTCCTTCAATATTGCTTCAGCAGCAGAAGCAACCTTGAACTACTCGGTACACATGTATCGAACGTCGCCATGGAGGAGTACCAGTGCATCAGGTCAGTGGCTCCTGGTCAAGGTGCCAAACCATGCATACCCGACGCGCGCGTCAGCGAGCCCATTTGTTTGATACCAGTCATCTCATCACCTCTCTGTCGTGGCTGGGCTTACGGGGCCTGAAGGGGTTCAATCCGTATGTACACCCACTGTACATACGTGTCTCTGTTTCATGGCGTGGCCGTCGCGATAATGAATATGGCGTCTCCCGGCGGCAAGCACATGCGGACATGGTCTTGGCGCTTACGTTTGCTCCCTTGGCCAGCAAATCCACGGAACTCTTGATGGCATTGTGCCAAGGGACCGGCGTCGCGTGCCATTGCACAGTAGTACCGTCGACCCCCGGCGGTGGCACTTGCACCTTTTGCGGCATTCTTTTGCCGTGGCTTTTTTTGTGCCAGCTGGGTGAGCCAGGTAGTTGTCATTAATTATCGTGCCCGACACAGAAGCGCTGCCGATTTCCGAACCACCTTGCTACTCATGCACCCTTAGTAGCGGGTTTTAATTTCGCTTCCAGCGTCTGGGTTTGAGGAATTGTCCGCTAGTGAGACTCGATCGGATGGACGGCAGCTCATGGTGAGGAGGCGCATGGGAAATTAAATGTGGTAGGGGTCCAGGGTCACGATCGGGACCGCGCCGGGTGGGTTTTTGGGAGGTTGTCCTTTTCAGGGCTTTGTGGAAATGAGACGGGGAATTGGGCATGACGAGTGATATAAACTCGTCGTGGAAGCTGGTTGGATTCGAATCGTGTGGTTGGGCTGAAGTAGGGAGGTGCTGACGATGTCGAGGAGGGTGCAAGCACAGCAAGGGACATGTTGGCGAGACCCTGGTTGAAACGTCGTTCTGTGGGTGGTCGCGAGGGCTGGCTATACATAGCCCTGTGGACGAATGATACGGAGTACATGATGAGATGAAGGGACGAACGATGGTCAAGAACCGTGCCGTCATGTACTGTCGTTTGATGCGATGCAGCCAGGTAGGTTTTGACATGGTGGTGTGGTATCCATGGCTTCCGTCATGGTATTGGTATCGTGTGTCATGTGCTACGCGCGTCACTGAGCTTGTTGCATGTTCCTGCGGCTCATACGGGTGACTGGAAACCGAGCAGACTATGTATGCCTTCAATTTGGCTGACGGCAAATCACGCTGCTTCTCGCAAGACCATGGTGGCTGGTTGGATATTGTATGTATGCTGCGATGTGGGCGGATGAGCACCAGCTGGACTGGTGGTACATGACGCGCAGCTCCTGTGTCCTTGCCACACTTGAATGACATCAAGTTGCAGTTTGTCTATGCTGTCTGTTGAGATGTATTCGTCTGAATTTAAGACAGGTCCTCATCGAGGTCGTTTCTTACACCAGGGTATCCTTCATAGCAGCATGTTGTTCCGCCAAATGCTGAATCCGTCTCGAGTTGGGTCTCACCTCTGAGGTCCCGGGATCTCAAACAGGGTATATCCTTGTATGCCTGAGTATGAATAATTCCATACGTATTTTTGGCGCTCTGTATTATACATATTTTAAGGTCTAGCAAAACTGATGTCTCTGCAAATATCTTCTGCGCATAGACGCATACGCTATAGGGTAATTCATCACGTTTGGACTTCAAGACTGATTCTGGAACCTTGTCTCTTGTTTCGGATGCTCCATACTCTCCAAGTACTCCGTACATCTCTTGACATTCTTCTCCTGAGTCATCTCATGACAGTTTACTACGATGACAAAGTTTGTTAGTCCCGCTACTCTATCACAGGTGACCAAGACAGAATTAGTTGCCGACGTCAGATTAAGGAACAGCATGCTCATGTTTAATCATGCTGTCAGGTCATGCGCAAACGTTGTGTCACAAGGGTCTAAGACAACGACCGAAAGTAAAACTAGTGGCACGTAGTCACGCTTGTCATAGCAGAGACAGCGGAGCAGAAGTCGTGAGCTACTCCCCCTGAATACGCCGTCACCTTGAAAGAGGAAGCTGGCGTTATGAACCTGTGGCAAGATTGGAATTATGACTCGACAGGACAGAATATGGCTCCAAATAGCCCTGCCATAAGCTCTGCATCACTGAGTTTGAGTGGCAATGACTCTGACCCGGCTGTATGGGGCCGCCTTGCTATCTCGACATCAAGTTGCTAATGAATCGACAGCCGGGCCTGAATTCGCTACGAATCCAGCTGTAGAGGAGCCCATCTACCAGTCACCCCACCGCGAGAATGCCATTAGAAATTTCATAAAGATGGCAGCAGGTTCACGGAAGATCAAGCTATCAGCTACGGAAATCGTTAAAGATGTTGCCAAGAGGACCACGTATGGTGCCATGGCTGGTCTCCCTCTTCCATAGTCTTTGTCGACTTCCATCGCTGACGAGGCAATCTCATCTTCCAGACTCCTTGTCCCAGATGCCTACAACGGTTATTAGCTCCCGTGTGGACGCCATGGCGAATCCGCGCGTCGTATGAACAAACGCAAAACAGACCTGGTCAAGCTCATGGCTTTCGTCGAACAGCTACTCCCGTCGCCAGTATAGGCCCCCGAGCAACTCCTATCAATACATACCGACCACGTTTCCGAGAGTGATTGCAGAAGAAAGGTCACCTTTCTACCAACGAGATATTGCGTGCATGATACAAATCAACTTCCCACGACTATGACACTTGCGCTGAAAAGACGGCGCTGAGAAAATAGGACGCGACTAGACGAACGACTTGCTTATGAAATAGAAACAGATTTTTTTCATCCAACCACAAGGTCTTGTTGGCTCAGAAATGCAACAGGACATTCAGCTCATTTTGGCTTCATAACTCGCCCAACACCCCTGTATTAAGCGTTTACAAAGAAGCCGCTATCGCAAGAGGAAAGGGTGACTTAAAACCCTTGGCCATGTAAATCGTCATGCTGCAAGATTATCCGTGGACAGCCGCGCAGACGTAGACCAGACTGTTGGCCGGACTCAATACATGGTTTACGGCATGTATCCTGCGGGCTTCGATTTACAGACAAGGACGTTTTGGAGACTTGGGGAAATATCATTCAAAGGACAGTACTAGACGTATAGAGGTAGGCTCAGTAAGACTTTTGTCACCCAAACAAGGCCAGACCATAGATGGGTGGAAAGCTGTCTGTCCATGAGTCTGAGTTTCCGTATCAAAAGAGTTGACTTGATTTGTGTCGGTTGGCTCACTAGGACTCCATGCCTACACGCCTGGTACGTGTAATTGGGATTTGCATCCCACATCGCCTAGTACATGATCCACCCGGCAGGATTACAATGCAAAAATGCATAATATATTGAAGCATTCTACTAACTAAATTTCCCCAGACCAGAACAAAGACGCAGAAAACCAAATCTACATGGTAAAAGGGACCCCGGGGTATTCCCTCCCAAAAGAAACCCGCCTAAAAAACACTCACGGCCCGCCCGCCGCACCGGCCAGGACCATAAACTGCGCCGCCCTCCTCCGATCAACCTCCTTCTTCAGCATGACGAGGCAGCTGCTCAGGACGAGGACCTCCGCAGCCCTCGCCTCGGCCTTGCCGCCCGCCCACTCACCCAGGTCCATCAGCAGGCGGCCGCCGTTGCCAGCCGTGGCCCTCGTTGTCCCCGGCGTGCGCAGCGCCTCGCTCCTCACGAGCTGCGCGACCCTCGTCCGCCGCTCCGCCGCCCCGACCCCCGTGACCCGCTCCAAGGTCGGCGCGGACGAGCACGCTGTCGCCGGAGCAGCGCGCGTGCCGGAGCGACTGGTACGCCAGCGGGCCGAGGGAGCCGTCCGGCTGCACGGCGAAGACGCCGATGGGCCACGGGCGAGGCGCAAGGGGCAGCGCGAGGAGTGCGTGGCCCGCGGACTCGACCTGGTAGGTGTGCGTTGGCCGGAGGCCAGCGGCCGACGAGGGCTGCGGCGACACGGCCTCGTCGTAGGCCGGGAGCGACTCGGTGGACGTCCGGGGCGTCGAGAGGCCGCCGAGCTCGATGTAGTCGCCCTCGGCGTATTCGGGGGGCAGCGTGGCCGGCGTGCCGCGCTGCCGGAGTGCGGCTTTGCTGTCGAGCACCTGCGCGGCCATCATGCTCGCTTGTCGTGTAAGTGGTGCCGAGTCTGACAGGGAGTGTCAAGTGTGCGGATTGTCGCAAGTAATTTTGAAGAGTTTCCTTTCCCAAGTCCGCGGTCACAATGTTTATGTGACGACAGGTTTGACTTTTTTCAATAATACCATTTTACGCCTCGAGTTGGCGACAATTATATACTTGTACTCCGAAGAATGAATCTCGCAGGCACCACATTTTGTGAAATAGAACCGGCCCCATATTTTCCCATCGCGAAATACGGCTCCCGCTGATAATGGCGCCACAACGGGCTCCCCCGTCCCCCAGCTTCCTAATTCGCTCAACTCGCCCTAAAAGCGGGGAGCATAACCGTTTTCGCTGTGCTGGGCGATACGATCAATACGATTCACGGGGATGTGGAGCCGCGACTAATCACGCGACTGAGCGAGTGCCGCTGCCCCACAAAGCTTGTTCCAACATTTCTGGAGGCTGCCAGGCGAGCCATGAGGTGCAGCGCAAGGCGTTGCTGGGCTGGGTGGCTGTGCTGTTAGCAGCACAAGAAAAGGGGGGGTTCTGGCGTTTTTTTCGAAGGTTCGATGGAAGGAACTTGGGGCTGTGTGGCCAGGTGAGGGGCTTTTGGTGATTGGTACAAGGGGCATTGCGTGCCAGTATTATGCAATGGCTGTTTGTTGGTCGGCAAGAGAATAGGGCGGGAAAAACGTTGCTGCCTGGCCGTGACGTAGGGAATGGACGCCAGATCACTCACTGACGAGTCAACGACGGTGTGAAGCGTTGATGGCGGCGTGTAAAGTGGGGATGAGCATAATGACACGGGTGCGTCGGTGCAAGGTAGAAGCACATCTCCACGGGAACTGGCTTCGAGTTGCATAGAAGCAGACACTAGAATTGGTAATAATTACAAGAAATATATCCAATTTCACCCCTTGTAGTAGACCCGTAATTCGCATTGGCGCCGCGCCCCCGAACGTCATACTCATAGTCGTCGTCCAAAAAACGTAAGATCCTTGTCCAGTTGTGCTTCTACCCACAACGGCCACTGGTTGTACATTTGATGCTCGTAGTCCACTCTGGCATTGAGAAACTTCAACCACTTCACAAATCCCGGTGCAGGTCCAGCGTCGGTCGAAGCCGTTGGCCTCTTTTCACGAAGGTCGTATTCGCGCTCGGTGATGAATGCCATAATCTGCGACAAGGCGATCCAATGTGCGTGAAGCAGAATCATGCTCTGTCTGTCGAGATTGATAAGCTGCTGGAAGGTGCTATGTGGTAACATCATCCACCATGCATATTGTCTGCCGTTGGATTTATATGCTGCGGGTACAATTAGAGTCTTGTATTGGTAGGCAAGATTTGGAAACAACGAAAAAGCTGCCGCTTACCATCAAAGGAATTTACGTTGAGCTTCTCTGCAATGCCAAGTAGCTGTTCGCAATACTCAACTTCTACTGGTTCGGCGCATAGTGGCCGTAGGTTGGAGATGGCTTCGACAGCGGCGTCAGCCCACCCTCGCTGGATCAACGGTAAATCTCTGAGATATGGCTCCATCATCTCGTTCTGTTGGTCTTCGAATAGCTGCTCGAAAATGGGTTTGATGCCCTTGAACATCATTTGCATCCCGACAATGAGAATGCCTCGAATAAACGTCATATACTCTGCCAGACCGTCTTCTAGACAAACAGACTGGAAGGTCAATGCAAAACAAGTGGCGACGAGGGCGTTAGCTTCTTCGTAGCTTGTCTGGGCGCGCGCAGATTCGGAAAGCCGCTTCTTGATGGCTTTGATAGCTTTGATGCGGTGGTTCATGGCGGCTTGGACGAAGGAGCTGTCGGTGGGGACAAGCTCTGATGCGGCAAAGCCCAATATGGCGTGCATCAAGAATTCATGCTATCGGAAAAAAAAGAAAGTCAATATCCCCGTTTTTGTTTAATCTCGACAAGAGCGTGTGTCACGTAACTTACATTGTGGGCAATGCATGGGATCTCGTGGGTCCAAATCTCCTCTTGCTTCAACGGATGGTGGGGGTAGCACTGGGTGAGGAAGTGCTGGAAGAATCGCATGTCTTGCAGGCTGAAAAGAGGAACCTGATGGTGAGGCTACTATAACGTTAGTCGTGAACGCTGGGATGACATGCCCCATCTTCCCGTGGCTCGTACCTGGTGGGTGATTTGAGGCATGGACGGGTATTCACACTTCAACCCCGTCTTTACGCAATGGCCGCACGCAGGGCGAGTCTCCTGGCACTGTGGCGGCGGGTTAGAGTCTCCAGCCCTTCAGGGATTTGCTCGTGCGAGCAAGAGACTGGTGATAGATACCTTGATGCGCCTCCTCTTGCAGTTATAACATCCGCGTCTGCTCTTGGTATGACCCCTGCGCTCTAACCTCTGCTTCTGAGCGGATTGGCGGCGCGTGACTGACATGTCGACAACAGCAGACGTACTCCGTCCATCCGAGCTCGGGGGTGTTGCTTGGCCCGGAGATGACTCCGAGATGGTTCCTGCTGACGTGCTGTGCGATGGATCTGGGAAAGGGATATCCTCCGTTGGCTGCAGAAAGGTCGAATAGTCAAACTCGGAAGGGTCTGGGTAGGTGAGAATCCCTGGCGGGAAGTGCTGCAACATTTGGTCCATGCTGTAGAGTAGTGGAGGACTCAAGACGCGATCTGAAAACCGATGCTTGTACTCGGTAGAAGATTCGTAACAGAAGCAATTGCTGCTGTAGAAGGGGGGGTTGTGGAAGGGGACTTGACATTGAAATAAGACGAGGAGAGTGACGATAGGCAAGCGTTAAGTGTGACAATGGATACGGAGTAGCTAGGAGGGGGAACAGGGTCGGAAACAAGCCACGCCGATTTGAGTCAAAAATCAGACCAAGAAGAAGAGGCTCTTCATACTCGACCTGCCTGTTCCTTGTTCTCCAATTCCAGTCGGACCCAGATTCTGGCCTTGCAGCATGCAGCGTGCAACGTGGAGCAGGGCAGGGCTGAGGGAGCACTTTGTCGTCACGTGTAGACGTAACTCGACTTTGCCTGACAAGGCGCAAAAAACCGAAGCCGGGTTGGGCAAGATGGGGCGAAAACGAAGCCAATGTGTCAATGGGATGGTTCAATGTTGAGCGTAAGAAAAGGGCTGAACCGGCGGATTGATGGGCCGGGCCTCGTGGCATCGCGACGTTTGGGCCTGCCGACTTGGCTGTGGCTCTCTGCGCCCAGGTGCCAGCACCAGTGACTAGAGTTGACAGTGGACACCAGTTGACCAGTGGAGACATGACATGGACACCAGACAGCGGCTCAGCCCAACATTAGACGCTAAGTGGCCCCCAAGCTGTAGCCTGGGGCCACCCATTGACAGCCTATGGGCGCCACTAACCACCTGGACACCGCTGGCAGCCACTCACAGCACCGCTGGAACATTCGAAAGCTTCACGCTCCAAGTCTCCGTCGTCAACTCGTCGCCATCAACTCCGCATCTGCAACAATCGCCATCAACGGTCCATCATTCAGTGGCGTCAAGGGAAGAGAATGTGCCACAGCCCGAAGCTTGCCTTCCAGACTGCCCGTGGAATTTGTTCCGGTCCGTGCATTTCCGAGTGCCTGTCAAACGGTTTAAAGTTCGTATGTACATGTCATCGGGACGCAGCCAGTGGTTGTGGCCTTCATGTGCAGTTTTGCGGCCGCACCATACGTACGTCACTCCAATACACAAGTCCTTTCTTCTCCGGCATCTCAGCACCGACTTTGCAGAATCACAGAACAATCACTGGCCCATTCGAACGGTGGCTGTCATCATGCCGGCCTGCACCGGCTGGGCGTGAGCAGGGACGCCCAAGCAGCCTGCGAAGCTTCGAAGCTTGGAACCCGGGATTTGCAAGACTTTGTGCCGCTGGAGTGCCTGTCACTTCCGAATTAGAAAAACCCCGTCGTCATAAGGCTGTGGTGCAAACCAATTGGAGGCCCTTCAGCCATCAGCAGAATCAGACCGATACTTGGGGCACCCGCCGGAGTCATGGTGTCCCAGCTTCGCTAAGATCTACATTCCATCTCCATCTCCATCATCCACATGTCAGCATTCAAAGCGGCCGGCAGCCAGCTCAATAACCAGTCCAGTCAACCTGCCCTCAAATTCGGGATCGCTCTCCGCCAAGAGAAGTATCGGAACGCTCCGGAGTACAAGCCCGTCACATTCGACCGTGAGCAAACCAATGTTGCTTGGACCAAAGGCTCATTTGCAATAAGGACTGACGAGAAAGAGGCTGAACACCCATCACTGGACTGTGCACCCCAAATCCAGCCACACCTGACTCCATCCAACAGGACGCTTTGGGGGGGAGTTTTTTCTCCCATTTTTGTATGATGGGTAAAGTCTTGCAGGGCACACCAACACCGTCCTCTTCCTAGGGCCTAGGTATTCTGTGTCACGCCATGTACAAGTAGGACCCTTTGGCCCTGATACAAACTAACTTCCGAACAGGTGGAAACTATTCACAATACCGTCTGGCAACTGCAGATCAAGTTGCTAAATTTGCCGTTGACGAATTTCAGAGTTGTTCCGGCGACAGGTATTGGTGGAAAATACCCTAGCCAAGTCATCATAGTCCGTTGTTGCCAGTCCTTTGGAGCTGTGCTTTTGCATGTTCGATCTTCCGCAACCACATGTTTGACTTGCAAGTAAAGGGGGGCCTGCGGTAACAGTCAATTTGCATGTCGCATCAAAAACTCATGCCGAGCTCTGATGTGGGATAAGGCTGCCTCGGTTGATTGAGCACGCATGCTTGACGTGGTGTAATTAATTGCTGTATGGCAATAGATCACAGATATCGGATGTCGGGACGACTTACCAGCCAATACATCAGCGACCACATGCGGAGTACAGGATTGAGAAAACAAGAGACTGGCAAACGGGTGAGCTGATCCTTGGCGCCTCCTCCGCAGCATTGCTGACAGCTTTCTTCAGGTACACCCGACGTCGAATCGCGCAGAAAACCCCAAAGGCGGCGTCTAGGCCTGGCCAGACTACAGACGAGTCATCCAACAGACAATCTGACAATTGGTCATGTGTAGCTAGTCGAGAAATCCCACCGTGCTAGTCGTTTCGTCTCAGATATTTCGGCACATAGCCCATGATCGGCTCCATACGAGAATTCTGAATTCTTGTCTACTCTGCATCACTGAATGACTTAAAGACTTGGTTTGCTTTTTGGCAGCTGAGATGGCTGCGAATCAACTTACATGGCTAACCTCCAGCCTTGGTTAGTATGTATAAGTGAAATCCTCCAGCCCCTCCAATACCACTTTGCCCCTCTTCACCTGTTGATTTGCGTGCCAGAACCAAATCGACAACCCACCGGTGCAAAGCAGGATACAGACGTTGCAAGCAATGGACGCATAAATTCCCGGAAGGTATCTGGGCTGATCCTGGCTCCTAAAGACCAAGGCGCCGGCGATTCCGCCGATACCACCAAAACCGACCAATGTGGCACTGCAGAATGCGCGTTTCCAGTGCCCGCGAATGTTGTTGGCTTGATACGTCAACACGGGGGGCGTGTTACCACTGGCTCCCGCCACGACGAAGAAGACACCCGTGTATCGAACGGGATACGCATGGTGGAATGCCATGAGTATCAGCCCAACGAGCGCGAGAACCGCGTTGAAGGCTATAATGGGGCCTCGCAGACGATACCGGTCCCCGAGCCAAGCTTGTGCGTACATGAGCAGACCTGTAAAGACCCACGGCGGCACGATGAGACATTGAGATTCTGCGACAGAGAAACCTAGCGGCAAAAGGTAAGACGAAGGAAACGGGGAAGTAGACACGCGGGGTCGAGAACTAACCCATTCCGAGGAGAATCATAGGAAGGAAAAAGTTGATGGAGTAGCCTACAGTCGTGACGCAGAAGAATATAAAGGCAAAGATCCAGATTTTAAAGTCGGCAGCGGGTGCAAGAAACACACCAAGAGAAAAGGGTTCCGTCACAGCATCTCCCCGATCACGGTTGACGCGCCGGATGATAAAATCGCGCTCCTGTCTGTTGATGAAGTTCCACGACTGGTCGGCCTCCTCCGGAAAGCCCACGAGGAAGACGTACGAGACGAGAGCACCGACGCAAGAGAGGACACCTTCAATGATAAAGATCCATCTCCAGCCTCTCAGGCCCGCCAGTCCGTTCATCTGAGAGAGACCAAAGGCCAGAATACCGCCAAGTGCACCGGCGACGCACCCGACGCCATAAAAGACGGTGTAGCGCTTCTGCATGTCGAATCGAGTGTACCAGGTGCTCAGCAGATATACCGCCCCAGGGAAGTAGCCGGCTTCGAAAACACTGACATTGTTCTCATTAGTACCTCTATTTATCACTCTCGGGGAAATCGTTTGTTTATCCCCCCTCCCTTTTGCCCATTCGGGTTTTTTTTTTCTGTTTGTCATCGTTGACGCCTTTTTGTTGGCATACCTCGACATCCTTTACTTACCCTATCAAGACGCGCAGCCCTGCAAGAGTCTGCCAGGAATGGACGAAGCCGTTCCCAATCATGACCACGCCCCAAGCCATTGCGATTGAACTCAGGAACAACCGGGGTCCGATCTTCCGGGTAAGAACCGTGCCGAGGGGCTGAAAGACAGTGTAGGTGATGAAAAACACCGAAATGACAATGGAGTATCGGGCGCCTGTCTGAAGCGCAAGATCGCTGTTGAGGTGCGCGACGGCAGCAGTAGAGATATTGACGCGGTCCACGAGTGATATAATATAGAGGCAGGCCAATACGGTGACGAGTCGAAAGTCGCTACATTTCATGAGCCACTGACGAGGAAGAAGAGGAAATTGAGCTTGCCAGGGGAGAAAACTTGAACCAACATGCGCCGGATGATCCTCTTTTGCTCCTGAAGCGAGTACACCTCGTCGTCGTCTATATCGCGCCGGGCCTGGGGAGACGGCACGGCGGTTTGCCTTTCTGTGTGGGAGCTTGCATACTCTGACTTTTCCATGGTCTATGGTAGCCAGAATTGTGTAGAAGAAGGGGGAGAGTGGCGGAAAATTTGTAGAGCGAAGGGGATTGTATAGAGACCAACACCCATACAGAAGATTGGTTTTATACATGGCGGTTTTACGCTTTTGTCAGACACGCCCCGGGGGTACGGCCAACATGTCTGGTGTAGACTGTAGAGTAAGCGGGTGGCTCGTGGCGTGGACATGGAAGGCTAGTCGAAGGATCGCGGCCACGTGTAAGCACCCCGTAGCATGGCAATTTCAGCTCCCGAAGCCACCCTGAACCCCAAACCTTGAAATATTGGCCTTGGGGTATGCAACCGGAACATCCATGGGGGGCGATACGTTGCAATCAGGACGAGGCCTTTGGTCTGTGTGCTTGATATAACGCCGCGTGCCATCGACGCTGCTGCTGGATGTAGTTGCCACAGGAAAAGCTACGTTTTGCCCCAGCAGCTTGATGATACAGGCGGCACAGTATGATGATACTTTGCGGCTGACCATGAATATGATGAGTATCTACTCCGTACTCGAGTATCTAGTGGGTGGTTGGCTAGTCTATGGAAGCGGCAGTGTTTTGCCATGTGTCAGTGAAGCCTCGTTGCGCTGCGCCAAGGCTAGAAACTCGATAAGCTTGAACCAGCCATGTTGCATTGCCGTGCGTGCTCATTCGCCCCCTATGAAATTCATCGCCCAGGTCCTCCACTGAAGGCGCAGAGTTGCTAGGATGTATTGGACTTGTAGCCAAAGACTGCAGTTTTCGCGAACAAACTCATCCAGAAAGCAAGGGCCGCCATGCACACTCAAGGCCCGGCAGTTATGCTGAGTTTTCGCATTTTCCCGTGCACTCGGAAGGCCATGGTCGGGATAGCATCCCCGCAGCGGCCGAACGCACCGGACTTGTCGGGATATAGCAAATAGTGTCTTGACGAGAACACTCTGAATATGCGGCCTCTGTCTGGGCACCTGCCTACTGGCGGCCGATTCGCAGTTCTGTATTGCACGAATAAGAGCCTGGGCGTCACTGGACCAGGCCGTGTGATTTTCCTCGTGCGGATGAAGCAACGTGTAAGACAGGTAGTCGGATAGCGTCCCGTACGTGATTAACTGCCGATAGAACTGCGGGGTGTGGACTCTGAGACTGAGCACCTCGTGGGAAGGTTGCTGGCTGACACGCAGCTGTAAAAGACTGTAGCTGCGGGAACACGACTTCTCCCCGTCCTGCTCCTCAAGACGAGTTAATACTCCGTATTTGCCAGGTGCCGTGTTGACAATATACTCCATGTACTGGACAAAGATGGACTGCAGAAAGGTTTCTGTGACCGTTGGTCGTCGTGGTACAGCCGACGGACTCGGTTCTGGACGGTACCAAATCTCCAGCTTGCGGACCCGAGCCAGCAAGATTGCCTGGAATAGGATTTTCAGAACTGAATTCTCCCCCGGTCAGCATCCTATCCGCTAGAGAACTAAGCGGCTGGTGAGAACGCCCTTACATGTTGTGAGAACGTTGGAGCCCCAACATATAAGAAGCCATAGCGCCTGGATTGTCGATAGCATTTCCGGATCTATCGCAGGCGTGACTGACCACCAACGAGCCACCAGTTTAGGACGGCCTTTGGAAGAGCGCAACGTGATTGCGACTGAGATTTCCCCCTCGTCAGCGGGATTCAGAGTAGAGAGCGTGTACGCCCCTTTTCTAGAGTTAAACGGGGACACGTGAAAGTCCTTGCCAAGGGTCTGCCTGAACACGCCGGCGTTCCCAGAGGCCGGAAATAAATACATGCGCCGCTCGTCAAACGTGTTGTTGACCTCTGCGACGACGTACTTGAGACTCATGTCTGCCGTGTAGAGATACCAAAACGAGGCCGGGCTGAATGCGTAGTTCAGGAAGCGAGGCGAAGTAAGGAGGTACACGTAGGGAAAGTCGGCTGGGTTGAGGCCCTGTTTGCGAATGGCAAATTAGCCAAGGGACACGTCATGGGCGTCCCGACTTCTGTGCTTGTATACCTCTAGTTGTAGGTATGCGTCGATATTCTCAGAGAGGGTGGCCCCGTCCCGTCCGCGGTTTAAATGGTCCTTGGGCGAGACGTGAAGCCAGCCCCTTGCCCACCATGATGCGGTGTTGACGGAGAGCAACCAGTTGGACGTGGGAGAACGCACGGGGATGCCCACCGACAAGTACGGATAGGCAAAACGGTGCTTCTTTGGAAACAACCGACGGTGTGAGATTTTGCATTTGATGATTTGCGTTTTGTCGATGGAAACATCGCCGCCGTGTTTGGCTGCGAGTTGGAGAGGGAAATTTGTGAGCATTGTCAGCTAGGCAACATTCATGTTAGCTACTGGGTAGACGGAGAGGCAAGGTGCCCCAATAGTTTTTATATGTGAGCAAGATTCAAGAAGGGCAGACTGACGAAATCAAATATACCTACCGAGGAGTCCGTTGCATGATTCCTCCGGTGTTGCATTGATTTCATGTAGACGATTCACACCGGTGCATGTGCCAAACCCTACACCTGCTTACTCGGTAGTTACGCTAAGCTTCCTTCAGTTGGTTCCCACGTCGGTTTAAATCTTTCGATGCCCTCCACACACAGTGCTACATGTGCTTACTCACACAGTCTGCATGACCTGCCTCTGTGCCCCGGATATGACTGCTCGGATTTTACTCTGTTTATACCATTCCGTACATAACTGCCTAGGTAGGTAGTTTTCTGTCGTGTCTTTTTTTCTTTCTCAAGTACCTTGAAACCGACTTGTCCTTCACCGGCACAAGCGTTATTCACGCTGCAACAAGCTGATATGGCATCTGAAAAACACTTTAGACACATTCCTCCGTTCCCTGACGATGTCCCAGTCATCTCCATGAACACCATCTCCCTGGCAGGCTTACGTCTAGGCGACGGGAATGCTGCCCAGCGCATGCTAGCTGCTTGCCAGGAGCTGGGATTTTTTTCCCTCAGTCTCCGCGGGGACAGCCTGGGGGAGGCCATGATGGAAGACATTGACCAGCTTTTTGATGTGGGGAAGGACATCATGAACCTTCCCCAGCATGTCAAACAGCAATATCTGCATGATATCCCGAGGAGCTTTCTGGGGTAAGCCGACCCCCTCTTCCCGCTTCCCCACAGTTTCTGTCTGTCTGACGCCGCAAGGACAGATTCAAGCCTCTCGGCCACGCCAAGACGGAAACAGAGGAGCCTGACCGCTTCGAATGGTTCAACCTGGGCCAAGACGGTCTCATGGGTACCGCCCCGCTTCAACCACTCCCGCCTCTCGTGCACGGCCATCTCGCCCTGTTCACCTCGTTTCTCAAGCACGGCCAGTCTCTGCTCACGACGATATGCTCTGCCCTCGAGGCCCAGCTCTCTCTGCCAGAGGGCATTCTCACGTCCTCGCAGACGCCTACGAAACCCTCGGGGACCGTCATCCGGCTTATCAAAGCCCTTGCCAGCCCACAGGCTGAGGATCTGCGGACGAGCATGATCCACCACACGGATTTTGGCACCATCACGCTTCTAGCAAATGTCATTGGCGGCCTGCAAATCCTGACTCCTGGAGGGTCTGCCACGGATGAAGGCGCCTGGCGCTGGGTGCGTCCCCAGCCAGGCTGCCTGATTGTCAATCTCGGGGATGCCATGGTGCAGTGGACCGGCGGCATCCTGCGCAGCAACGTCCACCGCATTCGATATCCGCCGGGCCAGCAGCGCCATGTTGACCGGTACAGCCTGGCCATTCTCTTCAGGCCAGAGCGGGAGGCAAGCATGAGAGACAAGACGGGCGGAGATGCTGCCGGCGACGTAGAAGACGGCAACTTGACCGCCTGGGAGTGGGAGGTGAAGAAGGCCATGGCCTTGGCAAGGGGAGACGCCGTCGTGCAGAGCAAGGGCGGGAAGCCTCGCAAAGGTTTAGACTAACATGATATTTGACATTTACTACACAATGGCTGCTTCCTTGTCCCATGGATGGACCAGAGTCTGACGGCTTTCCTGCTGCTCCTGCGCATCAACCCTATGTGCCTGTATGTCGATGCTGGTCTCCATATGGACCACCCCGCTGCCCTTTGGAACGCGGGAGGCAAAAGCACTGAGCGGTATTTCATCCTCATTTTCATCCTCGTTATAAGCTGGCCTGGCGTTAGCAGGCCGCGCACTTGCCCCCGCGAAGCCCTTGCTGCCTGAGTCGACGCTACCCGTGTGATCAGAGGCCTTGGCAGTAGAGCCGCTGCGAGAGCCCCGTGACCAAAAGGCATTCGTCTTATTGTGGACGCTGCGGACAAGAGTGAAGGTCGCGGGGAGGTCGGCGATGACATTTGCAAGATTGCGCTCTACGATCGTGCAAAGGTACACCCGGTACAGAGCCCAAGTGAAGTCTGGCTTGTAAAAGTCGCCATCAAAAGCAACGCGAGTAATAGACGAGGCAAAGACCCTGCAGTTTTACGGCGGACTCTGTCAGCACCAGCTACGTCTCGGGCAGGAGCAGGGGAAAACACATACAACAGCCCCGATCCTGTCAATCCAATAATAACGAGCCGCTTCCCAAGACTCATCTGGAGCCTTCCGATAAAGTACACGGGCGATATGGCGTAGAAAAGATCAGTGATGCTATTGATGACTGGGCAACCGCGCTCGTCAGCAAAGAAGACGGAAAACGTGATGGAAGGGGGGTAGGTTCCTCACTGGTAAAGGCAATAATGGACGTGACCAGGGTCTTGACGCTCTTCACCTCGCCGGGAATGTCGGGCTCCCACAGCTTCCGGAGCGGGCTCGCCTGGAGACCCCAGAATATGCCCTGGCAGGTGCTCGCGGTGGTGGTGATGGCGATGAGCGCGTACACGATCCAGGTGGTGCGCCGGTGGACGCCCTGGATCAGGGCCAGGATGAAGAAGCAGACGGAGATCTTGACGGCCCAGAGGGAAATGTTGGCGAACAGGATGTTGTACTGGCTGAAGCGCCGGACGGTGAGCACCTGCTCGCGGGTGAGGAACTGGAGGTGGCGGCCGAAGCCGGACTGGACGGACTGGATCTCGAGCACATTGGCGGTGAGATTGAAGGCCTAGGCTGTGTAAGTTTCTTGGCTCGTTATATATACATATACGCATACATATACACACACATATATATACGTGTGTATGTGTGTGTGTGTGTGTGTATAAGTGTGCAGAATCTGCTGTTCAAAACTCACAAGGGCAATGACGATAAAGTAATCCGCAGCCCCGAGACCAGCCTTGGTCGCGATCTTCATGGCAATACGCGACGTCGTGGATATGCTGATGAGCACGGAAAACACCACACACAAGACCAGGACGACGCTTCCGTTACTCTCGTCGACCAGGGACGGGTCGAACTTGATGAATCCATTAGACATGTCGAAGTGTCCGTACAAAGATGTCACCTCAAACCCGCTGGGAAGAAAAAAAAAGAATGAGCGCCTTGAAAAAGGCCAGATCAGTGCGAGTCTCGACAGTCTTCCAGGGAGTGCAGCACCATAAGTGACGGCAAGGATGAAAAGAGCTGATGGCAGGTCGCGATGCGTATGCTGGCCTGGCCCGTGGCAGTGTCTTGATTCTTTCCGGCGGCATGCCCGTCTGGCAAGAAGCCAAAATACAAAAGCAACAAGTGAGACTTGTTTCGCCAACGTGTCGAGTTGTCGCGTGCATGGCGGGGAAAAACAACGAGAGGGTTTGCCGCCAACTTTGTGGATGGTTGCAGTCAGTGAGAAGCCGCCGGAGATGGCAGCAGTGAGAAGCTACAAACACTCGACCAGACTCAACATGGCCACGTACTCCGTACTCGGTACATCTAAGTCGACGGGGCGTCGAGGCCGCATCGGGCCTTCGGCAGAGACAAATGTCGATCAAATGGCGCCGGCCCCCACGTTTCTTCCTCGGGGGAGGGTGATGAATGGTGACGGGTGGCGAGTTGTGAGTTGTGGCACCCTGCGCGTATGCAGACTCTTGAATTTAATTTGCCATTTCTCGAGTAATCTGCGATTGAGGCGTGAGCCGGGCGCCAATAGGGTTCCGCACACGTCGACGGCTTGGGCGTCTCGGATGGTCAGATTCCATCATGTTGCCATTCCTTTTTCCACCTACCACCAATCCGAGAAGCAATGCGACGCTGACAGCTGACTGAATGAACCATTCTCTTCTCGCCCCAGCTTCGTGACTACCGATCGAGTCTGGTCCCCCAGGTCATGGGGTAATCCGTTCACGAGCCCCGGGTTTGGCTACCGGACACTTCGCAAGGAATGGCCAACGGCCAAAAAGGGCCACATGTTCGATCCGAGGGGTTGTTCAGCCCAAGGCTGCTATTGCTGGATCATTTTTTGCCAGAGGATCCAGACAGCCATCCAGATGACCCAGTCCTGACAGAACGACAAGTCCACCAATAACACTTATATAGCACCAAGAGGTCAACGGTACTCCTAGCGGCATACTTTATTCCCCGGTGTATAGGAACAAAAAACACTCGTAAAAAGATGATACCTAAAAAGAGACAATTCTAATGACAGTACTCTCAACGCCGTATAAATTTGGCCACCAAGCCACCAATAATACTTGACCCATCCCATTCATTACTCACACTGCCTGGCTCTAAACTGGACAAAAGGGCCACTCTCCCAGCTGGCAATAGAATAATGGCTCTCAAAGGTCAATTCAAACTCGGCACCCTCCTCCGCCACAGAGTTGGACACGAGGTGAGGACGGAGGGTACGCTGCTCCCGGCCGAAGCGAAAGTCGTAGTTGACCAGCACGTAAGCATACGCAATGCTGACCATCATCATGGCCACATGGCTCCCAGCGCAGTTCCTAGGCCCGATTGAGAACGGCGTGAACATGTTCTTGGCCCGGCAGAACTCGTCCTCGGGCAGCGTCCCTGGAATCCAGCGCTCCGGCCAGAACCTCACGGGATCGCGGTATATCCTGCCGTCTCTGAAGACGGAGAAGAGGCTCATGCCCACGTCGCTGCCCGCCGACATGGGCACCCTGTCAGGCCCAACCGCGAAGCCCTGCCGCTCGCATTCGCGCCAGTGAACGCCGCACGCCGGCGGCAGCAGTCGCAGGACCTCGTTGATAACGGCGCGGAGGTACACGCTCGACGCGAGGTTGGCGTCCCAGACGATGTCCTCGCCGGGCACGTACCTGCCTCTCATGTCCGCGGCGAGCTTCTCGTACACGCGTGGGTAGTGGCAGAGGTAGTGGAACAGGCCGGAGAGCAAGATGCCATATGCGTCGGCGGAAGAAAACGTGCTGAATGCGCCTTCGGTGACCATCTGCTCCCGGTCGTGGCCGCGGCCTGGAGTCTTGTTCCTGAGCGTCCCCTGGCCGCTCTGGATGACGGGGCCGAATATCCCGTGGCTCTCGGACGTGTTGGTGCTGATGGCGAGCTCCATGAAGCCGTGGTACCATTTGGAAAAGTTGGCCGCCGGGGACGAGACGAGGGGGAACACGGCGCCCACGAGGCGCCCGATGCCCGCGTTACTGAGCATGGGCAGCTGTTCCCAGAGGCCCATCTTCTTCTCGTGCATGTGTAGGGCTGGGAATATATACTCTCTGGCGGAGCTGCGGAGCAGGTCTGTCTTGAGACCTAGCCCGAAATCCGCCATTGTGTCAAAGCCCAGGTAGAGATCTGAACTCGTTAATCAACACTGTTTTGTCTCTTGAGACTGTTTAGGTTTATTTTTATACATCGTGACGTACTCCATTTTCTCATGTTGGCCGCAGCAGTCCAGCCGTCTGGATCCTGGTTCTTCTGTAGCTCGCCAAAGTAAATCTTGAGATGCCGGAGGATAGCGGGCTCGAAGCGCGTTAAGTACTCTGCGCCGAGGCCGGACCTCACTACTGCGCGTAGATTGTGGTGTAGTGTCTTGTCGATCGAGGTCATGGTGCTCCAGCCGTTGGGAGTTGGTATCATGGTTGCATAGCCCTTTGCTTTTCGGAACGGGGCGCCGTGGCTGTATATCGCTTTATTTTTTGTGTGAGCGCCAAAGTGGTTGAGCGTGAATAGGATGGGAGAATCTTTTTCTTGTTGGGTGCAGTTACGAACCATTCATATCCGCAGGGTGAAGTGAGAGAATTTGATTCGGCGCATATCGTATTAGGTCGCCTGCGGATGGATGAGCATTGTTAGTTAGAAACTATGAAAGTAGACCACATACCGTATTCGCGATGACATCGTTGCACGTCGAGGTGCATGGTGCCTCTCCACGAGTGCCATGCAGAATACACGCTTGTTATTTTTGCAAGAAAAGGCCCGGGGACTTTGCTATATGGGTGAGAGTAAATTCTCCGGATGACAGTAATAACCACCTGGACTTTTTAGTTATGGCTTCAACGTTGAAGCGGAGCAAAGACATACGTAAGATATGGCTGCCGCAGCGGTTAGAGCAGCGTAAAGAGATATAGAAGAGCCGAATAGTCCAAACATCATGTGCAGACTCTCTTGAACTGAGCAAAGATTGTAAGTTAATAAGAGATGGAAAGATCGTGGGGCAAGATTCCACGACGGAAAGCTGTCTGGCTTTATTCGCTGGTGAAGGACAATACGCATACCGCAGGCAATCAGTCCACATCTTTCTTGTCTTGGTTCTTAGCTCAGCCTGATCTGATACTTGCTTACGGCAAAGGGCATATAACCAGGCATGCCGTTTGTGGATATCAGACGCTGAGTGACTGGGTATACTTGACTTTTGATTTTATTTCCCTAAATTTAGACGTCAGAGCGCAATATTCGACTATGTAGAGGCATCTTTTAACTCGCTAGGCAACAGAGTTACCGAGGCGCATCCGTCGATTGCCGTTTATAGCAGTCTGTGTTGGACTTCCACACCTAATTATAGTTACATTAGTGAGCCACCATTTCAGAGTTCGCAGAGAAGGTCGTCAAACCGCGAGACCCTGTTCACGGTAGTTGCATAGTTCCTTTCCTGTAGATTCTAAAGCCACTTTGAAAGCCGCCCGCCCGTCGATGACAGCAGCCGGCGCCTTTTGGCCCCCAGTGACGACAGGTCACCATGTGCGTCACATTTCGACATCCCCTGGGCATGACAGCTGGCGTCCTCATCTTGATAGGTCAAAAATTGAGACGTTGGGGGAGTCACTCTCAAATTTGAGACCAGTCAAAAAAAAAGAAAAGAGAAACAAAATTTTGGCTGGCCCAAGTGTCGGCGTCTATTGGCTCTTGCAATTTGTCTGCCCCTATCCTTGACAGGCACAGGAAACACTATTAGCACTGTACGGAGTACAGAGCACGAATAATTCAACAATCGATCCTTTCCGATGTGTCACTTAGTAAGTCGGAGTCGGATAACAACCCGGGATTCTAGACCAAGGTAAGATTCAGTGTCTGGCGGGCAAAACTCTGGTGGAGTCTGAACCCAGACATGCAGAGACATGTCGCCCCGTGATTACTACCCTCGATGCAGATCTTGTCAGCACATATGGAGTACGGAGTAGCTTGGTTGAAAAGAAGGGAAAAGAAGGGGGCCAAGAGAGACTCACAGGCTTGGGAGTTCCCACTGGATGTGCCACGCCACGCACCTACAGTGGGAGGCAATGCAATAAATATTTGTCTACCCGGTGGCGCATAAGGGTGGGCAAATACTTATTGCCTCTGACTGTACTCGTGCTTCTGATCTCGTATGGTACTCTCTGGTTCTGCCTGGCGGGAGACACTATGACAGGCTCACCAAGGCGAATCGCCATTGTTGGCGGAGGCATCGCGGGCATAGCTTGCTCGTGGGAGTTGCGAAAGCACAGCGCCCGCAACGTCAGAGTAGATATCTATGAGTTGGAGAGTAAACTCGGCGGGCACGCCAATTCGGTGCCCTTCAAAGGCAATGGCACAAGCGTCGACGTTGACACGGGCTTCATTGTAATGGACGAAGCTACGTATCGTGAGTTGCGAGAAGATAAGAAAAAAGAGTCCAAACTCAGCTCGGGTCCATGGTTAACCATCTACTAATACAGCCCGCTTCAACACGTTTCTCGGTGATTTAGGCATCAAGACAATCCCCACGGATATGTCATTTGGCGTCACGACCACCGACAAAACTTTCGAGTGGAGCAGTCGTTCCATGGGCAGCTTCGTCGCCACTCTCACGCTGCTGTTGAGCCCCTGGGTATGGCGTCTGATATTTGATATTGTTCGCTTTAGCCTGTTCGCCGAAGATATCCTCTACGAGCGAGGTACTACTCCTAGACGCGGCGAGGAAGAAAGCTGCCTCATGTCAACGTCTCTAGAGTCTATCGGTAGCTACTTAACAAGGCGGGGATACTCCAGTCAATTCACGACTTATTTCTTGATCCCAATGGTAGCTGCTCCTTGGTGCATTGATCCAGATGAGTTCAGCAGGAGTTTCCCTGCAAGGCCGCTAATACACTTTATGTAAATTCCCTCCAAATATCTTCTCCTGTACATGGAAAAAAAGGGGGCAAAAAGATGATGCTGATACCTTCTGAAAAGGAAAACCCACGGCCTGCTAGATACAGCCACAAAAACACTCCAGTGGCGCTCGTTTCGAAACGGGTCAAGAACATATATCGATGCGTTCCAAGACACTCTTCCTCAGGGACACAATTTGCATCTGAACACGTCTGTACATGAGGTGACACGAATTGGTGACGAGGTCTTGGTCAGCTTCTCGGATGGCTCTGCAAAGACTTTTGATCATGTTGTTCTTGCCGTTCATGCCAACCAAGCTGTCACTCTCTTGGGAGAAAATGCCACAGCTTTGGAGCGTAGGATTCTTGGTAGCTTCAAGACTAGCAGGAACCTATGCTACCTGCATTCTGACACCTCTGTGAGTACCTAGTTGGACTGCACAGTTTTTTTTTCAAGCGAGCGAACAGTCCTGTTAATTGATGTCAGCTCCTGCCAGAACGTTCATCAACTCGCGCGGCATGGAACTGCATGCTTGTACCTCACCAGTCGACCACAGCGCAGGACCATCTGACACAGAATGAACACAAGTGCGGAAGGAAGCTATCACTGACATTTGACATGAATAAACTCCAAGATATTCCAAGTCCAGGAGAACCTGGAAGTCCGGGTAGGGTTCTTGTGAGCATGAATCCAATACATGTGCCTTGCTCGGTGCAAAGCAGCCATGTATATTACCATCCCATCATTAACTCAGAGTGTATCCTTATGGCGCGCCACCTTCATAGGATCAACGGCATCAATAAAATCAGTTTCGCGGGAGCTTGGATGGGATTTGGCTTTCATGAGGATGGCTTCGTGGCTGGTGTCCATGCTGCACGTACCTTCATGGACGGCTGGGATAAGATTCCTCCGTTGGATCTTATAGGTGATACCAAGGACATGCGGCCCCCTCGGACTGGGTTTCTTAGAGCGGTTCTCAGATTAGGAGTTCTTGTCATGCAGCAGCTTCTACATGCGCAGCCATGGTTATAACATGGGTTATAGCTTGCTGTACCGACAGTCATCAAAGTCGTCCAGAAACAGGTTTTTGGAGATGGATGTAATTACGTCTAGCTGCAATTGACCTCCGTAGACAAAAGGATCCAGAATGTTCTAGTCAAAAATGCTAAATTTTAGCCTGGGTGGTCTTTGAGGATTTAGGATGATCCTTGTCCCATTTCTCCTTCAACTGGTTTGCACGCTCGGATTTTTTCGTGAAGCCTTCGTATAAAGCCGGAAAACAGCCACCAAGTGTACGAATGTCCACCGGGCGGCCAGTTTTAGCATCAATGTAGGTTGTTGAACCTCGGACCTGGGCGACAATAGCTTGCTGCTTGAGCGAGAAAAGCACAGTGGTTCCATGGTTTCGTGTAGGCTCTATGCGATCCTGCCGGTAAGCGGCAATTAACTTTGGGACAGAAATTAGTTGACGGACTGGCTATGGAATCATGCAAACAGAGCAACTACGAACCGAGTCGGGATATTTAACCTGCCGCCGAATGTCTAGTTCATACCTGCGTACAACAGGAATAACCGTTTTAGCTTGAATCATGTCGTCGCACTCCTCCTTGCTCAAGAACTCGTCATAGCTCTCCATGACACGCCAGAAGCATGCTCCCAAGAAGCTCATGTACTGGCCTTGCATGACATGACCAAAGGGGTCCTGATGTTCAGCCCAGAGGACCCCATGCTCGATCATGGTATTAGGGTCGAACCCCATAGCCTCTAAAGTAGAGAGCGCCCTGCCACGGAGGGCTGCGTACGGATCAGTGTTGGGATGAGGGCGTGGAGCACCAGCACGCGTATACGGCGAGTGATAGGAAGAGTCAGCCAGACGAGCCGACGTGGGATTGGCTGTGTCGTCTGCCATGGTGAAAGCTGGTGCCAAGTATGAGAGGATACAATAGGCGCCGAGAGTCAGCTTCGATCGGAAGAAAACTCTGATGAGGCTGTAAATGAAGGAAATGAAGGGCTTCGAGGGACAAGAGTTGATGCTGGCATCAACAAAGGTTGCGTGAGGCAGCAAAGACAGACTGGAACGAAACAGGCAGGGGTGCTTACTGCTCAGGGAGGGGGTTGGCAGGAGCGGCCTAAGACAGAAGAGGTCAACGGTGTGGTTACTTTGTCAACCACATACTTGACTCCATGTCCGTACCACGCACTGCAACGCAGCGTAAATACGTTGCAACTCTTAACCATTCCCTTGCAGCCATATCCGTCCAGTGACACCCTATCTGTCTTAACATTGAACGTACAAAGTCTGACTGCTGAACGAGGCCCGGCACGGCTCAGTGCTCATGCTCTGTCATGCACATAAGCAGATTGCGGATCGATTGGCTTTCAGTACTCCGTACTCGGTACAGATATTCATCTGCCGCTCACATCCAGTCGGTGAACTTACTCCGCAAAGAGGAAACCATTGGCAGCACGGAGTGCTTTTGCAAATCCGTGTCTCTCAAGGATAGCACGGGCACTCAGCACTGTCTTACCCTCCAGGCTCCAGCCAACATGTTGACCAATACAGTAGGGATGTTCACATACCGTGAGGCGTGCCCGAAATATAGGCACAGTACTCCGTAGCCAACCTGGAATTTTGATGGAAGCCCTCTATCGTGGTATATACATACTACCGGGGTTTAGAAAAAATGATTTTGTCTTCTAATCCACGATTCCAGGGGCTCTCTCTCTCTTGCAGCTTCACTCTCACCTGCTGCCGTCGCGCGCCGCTCCAGTGTCCTTGAATCATACTTCTGGAACCGACTATTGTCTTTTCGTCAGTAAGAATGAAAAACAAAATGATTGCCACTACTCCAGATGGTGGCCGGGATGGTATGTCATCCACCACTGCCGTGAATGGCAGTCCCGCCGAAGATGCCTCGCCTTCGCCAACTTCGCCTCGGATCGGCCGCCGTCGATGGCTTCAGATTCTGAGTACCTTTATTGTTTTCATGAATACATGGTAAGTCTATTATAGAATATTTTCCTCAAACCATCCATCTCGATTGGCTAAATGCCTGCCGTCAAGGGGATTTCTCCTCACATCGGGTGCCTTCCAAGCGCATTACGAGCTGTTCCTCATCCGTGATCAATCCAGCTCCAACATAGCTTGGATATCAACGACATCGGCTTTTTTAGTCTTTGCAGCCGGCATTGTGACCGGTCCGCTTTATGATCGAGGCTTTTACAAGCCACTTCTGGTGGCCGGCAGCCTTTTGCAGGTCTTTGGCTTCATGATGCTTAGTATTTCTACTGAATACTACCAGCTCTTCCTCAGCCAGGCTATTTGCATCGGCATTGGCTCTGGCATTGTCTTTACACCAAGTGTATCGGCTGCCGCTGCCTGCTTGCCGAATCCTGCCACCCGTGCTAAGGCGATGGGCCTCATGGCATGTGGCAGCTGCGTTGGTACGGAACACACCCATATGCTTCGCTGCTTGCAATCCCTTAATTTAACCTGGTAGACTAGGCGGCATCGTTTTTCCAACCATGTTCCGTGCTCTTGTGCCCCGAGTCGGCTTTCCGTGGACTGTCCGCTCCATCGGATTTCTAATCCTGGCATTATACCTTCTGTCTTATCTAGTGTTAATCGATGGACGGCCCAAAACCTCCCGTGCCCCGGTCATCCGGCGCTTCTTCGACATCTCAGCCTTTACCGATCTGCCGTTCATGCTTCTTTCTGTTGCCTCCGTCTTCAGTGCTACCGCTTTTTATATCCCCCTGCTTTACCTGCCGCTCTTTACCAAGGTTCGGGTGCCATCTATTAGCCCTGATCTCACTATTGATCTTCTTTCTATCCTCAACGGCGTTTCCGTGATTGGCCGACTGGTAGCAGGTCTCGCAGCTGCCATCTTTGGCCCGACGGAGACTATTGCAGTCTCTCTCGTGGCAGGATCCGTCCTGTTATTTTGTTGGATTCCCGTTGATACAGTTGCTGGCACTATCGTGTGGGCCATATTTTGGGGCATGGTATCCGGTATTCTGGTTACTCTTCCAGGAGCATTCATACCTTTATTCTGCCCGTCAGTGACCGTGATAGGCTCCCGGACAGGTATGTATTGGAGCTGGGTTGGCCTGGGGATGCTAATAGGCAGTCCCATTGGCGGTGCAATCTACGATGTGAAATCGGCAGGATCAGACTATTGGCGTCTGCAGGTATTTGCTGGTGTCTTTATGATGGCTGCTGCGCTTCTTACTATTTACCCCATCTTGTATTTACGCCGGAAGGGGCGAATGACTTCTGTGGGCTCAGAGCAGATTTACTAGGTACTTTTTTTATTATAGATTAATACTTCATTCTCTCCTCGCGCTCACTCATGTTGACAACTAACCTGGACTTTAAAAAGGACATTGCAGCCAATATCGCAAGTTTTCTCAAAACAATGGTATTTTGCAAATCCTTTGTAGTGTACAACCTAGCTGTTCCATAACCTACTCATCCAACGTTTCACTGCCTCTGGTACCGAACTTGGTGATTTCTGTGCGCATTTCTCTGACCCCAAATGGCGCTTAACCTAATAGCGTGCAGCAAGCATTTCATTTTAAACGGCCTCTAGGGTCTGCCACAGATGCAAAGCTGGGTATAAATGGACACGGGTAAATCATGCCCGCCACAGTTTCTGCTGATTATCATCCAAGCTTTGATATCCTCGGCACTGAAGCCATCTACGAAACGTCAAAAGGCCGCCGTATCATTCTGATCCAGAGGCATCCTGTCTGCTCTCATCTGCCCCGGATTCGGGTTATCCGTACCCTGAACCTCAGCCTCCGCACTCTTCGCATCGGCCATGGCCCGCATCTTGGAAACATCTCGTCTGCCTGGAAAGAAACTCTCATCCTTACACGACTTCCCCCACAGCTCAACAATCAATACATACGCCGTTAGACCCAAGGTGGTGGAAATGAGAGACAAGCTGTCCAGATGAGTAGCCATGGGAAGCAAGAACATGATGATACAGACCAGCACGCGGTTGATGAGGCGGACTGGCTTGGAGAGACGCATCGTAGAGGGTGTGCGGTGTGAGTGGCTCAGGGAAATGAATGCCATTGAGAGCAGAGCGATTGCTAGTCCCTGGCAGTAGAAGAAACGGACACCGCTGCTGAGGTGCTCCTCCGCTCGCACCGAGTATGGAGGGCGAAGTTGGTCGCGCTCGGTGTTGGGGACGTCGAGGGCTAGGACGAGCGTGGAGAGCGCAGACGTGGCTACAATATAGCCCATGACGAAGGGGAGATGGGCGAATTGCCATAGCACGGCTGGCCGTTGTTAGCAACTAATAGAGTCCTGTCGCCTGTGGGCAGCGTAGTTGAGCGTCATGGTCCATGGACATACCTCCGTTGGCGGAATGCCGAATTGCGTGGACGTTGATTGTACTCGCATCCACGTCAAAGTAAATCCAATTGAAAAAGAAGGCCTGCATAAGCCCCAATACCGCCTTTCCCAGAAACGCATTCACATTGTACCCGCCATTGCTCTGGAACAAGATTCCTACGACGGAGTAGCCCAAGACTAGCGAAACAAAGGCGTTCATCCGCTCGACTTTGTGCTCGATGTTCATGGCGGGATAAAACTCGAAGAGTTTGTTCAACTTCTTGCCCATGGACGTGTCTGCGCCGGCGCTACGGGCGTAGCGGAACAGGCCGATGAAGATTCCTGATCCGTACATGTCGAGTGCGAGAGCGGGCCAGATAAGACCTAGGCGACCGGGCATTTCGACATGGATGCTGGCGATCCAGAGTGCTGACGGGACGAGGACGGTGATGGCGGATGTGATCATGGCGCCGCGGACCATGGGGACCAAGTAGGCGATTACGACGTAGTGTACGGAGAACAGGAGGCGCGCGGCGAGGTAGAATGATACTAGTTGGGTGTAGGTATTGTGGGCGGGATCATCGACAAAGCAGTTGGTCATGTTGGTGGTGAAGCTACGTCTATTAGCTGACTGACGCCGTGAGATGAGGTTTGGGAGAACGCACGCCAACAAGAGGGCAATCTCGAACAAGATCTCGAGCCTGGTCAGCACGTCGTCGGTTTCGAACCAACTAAGCGCCATGGTGACGTCGGTCCAGATTTTCCAGGACATGATGAAGGTCACGGCGAAGCGCAGCAGTTCCTCGCCATTCGGCTCCTCGGACATGTGCTCGCCGTTGCTGTGAATAATGCCAACTAGACTTGCAGTTAGCAATCGTGCCATGGGTCGCAAGACGAGCAGCTTACCGTATAAAAGGTCGAAGAATAGTTCCACGGCCATAATCTCGGTCTGCTCTGACCCTCTCCACAGGACATTCCTATGAAACCACTGCCTCACCACCGGCCGCTTGGCCAGTTTAATCGTTGACACTTGTCGATATCCCTCGTGGTGAGTCTCGTCGGCTCGCTCATTCCCTTCTCCAGACCCATTCGCCTCGCCTTGGCCATCATCATAAGTCCTTACACCAGCGTCGAAGCCAAACTTGCCAAAGTTTCCATGTAGGCCCGAGGTATTCGTGGACATGCGCGACAATTGAGCGGTTACGGAATTCAATTGGTTCTGGACATCCTCCCACTCATCGAATGCCGCGCCGTGACGCTCCTTAAGATCCGCACGGCGACTCTCATGGTGCTGCCGGCTCTGTTTAAGATAGTTGGTGTGCTCGGCCGATCCTTGAACTACAACCTCGACATCGTCAGTGCTGTTGGAGTAGTGCCTGCGCAGAGATGGGACTGCGTCTGCGAGCGCGGCAATGACCTTTTTGCCAGAGGGGAGGGTGAATTCTTGGGGTGGTCGACGCCGCCCGCCTGGTGTGGATGAGGACATGGGAATCGGGATGTAGATGTGGTTTCACAGGGTTAGCCAACTGCTCGAGGATAGCTAGTAAGAAATAAAGGCACAAACACAGAATGACGAGAAGAAACAGGGAAGAGTCTTATATGGGCAAAGGACAAGCCAGAATGCATTTAGCACGGTCCTCTGTTACTAGAGAAATTTGAAGTTGATGCTTATTTGCTGCCCCATCACTGACTAGTGTCCGACTGCCGCCATTGGTGTTGGTTTCGACCCTATGTATGTACATTGTATGCTGTACTACGATACAACTCGCACCGACAAGGTTTTTCTCTTTTTTAGCGTGAATCATGTGTTACCCTGTCCCCTGTGTTGATATACAACTCCGTATTGGATGGATTGCAACATGGCTTCGGAAGGTTTTAGGCGTTAGGCGTTAAAAGTCAGAGAGTGGGGACAAGCAAAAGTGGATGGCAACGGGCTGGCCTGGCTGTAGGCTTAAGCTCAAACAAACAATTTTCACGTGACCCGACTCACTTGGTGCCTCAGGCCGGATGCTCCCGATCAATTCGAGCAAACATTCGGCTGCCAGTCACTCATCATTGATCACATACCCGATAACCTCACCTCTCCAATACCGCCAAAATGACTGCTGCGTGGAAAGCCGCTGGTTTGACGTATGTCCATTGACCCTCTTTCTTGCCGACACACACACCGATGCACCGATTGCGACTGCCACCATGTTTACGCGCGCTACTGCCGGAGAACCGAAGATGCTAACATAACGACCTCAATAGCTACAACCGCTACCTGGCCATTGCGGCCCGCGCCGTTCGCCGCAGCCTCAAGGAGGATCAGAGAATTGCCGCTGAGCGTCGCGGCGAGATGGACCTGCGTTTTGCCAAGTGGTCGGTATGTGTTTGCTGAACTTCGAATTTGAGCAAGCGGTAATTGGAGGGAAGCTAACCGATAATTACCGCAACAGAACGGCAAGCAGGGTGACGCCAAGGACCTCGGAGCCGCCAACGCTGCTGCCATGGCCGAGAGCGCTTCGTCCTAATTTTCTGCATACCGACGAGATGGAAGAAGGGCACCGGGCTTGTGACGGAGCAAGACGCAGACGAGAGTGGTGAATAGGGGCCCAGGAGTTGTTGGAGAGGCACGAAGATGTGCTTGGAGCTCCTTGCAAAAAGCAATAGTGCCGCTGTATCATACCGATTGCTAGACTACTTCAATCCAACATGGCGAACATTTCGTATGCATCACTTGCATTTTGCGCGTTTTTGTCGAACCGTATGCATGGGACCGGCGACAAGACGCCCAACCTGTGGTCAATCAGTGAAGTAATCTGTTGTCAAAACACGACTGCTAAATTATAACGTACTGCAATTGAACTGTGCTGGGGGTAAAAAAAAAGAGCGATGTCATGGTGCTTTATTGCCAGATGGTTCTTTCCCAAGGTTAGTGTCACGCACGCACGCACGCACTGGAGCCCCTCGCCCCATCCACTTGAGAACCTCAGAGGCTCAGACCTTGTGCCAGCTAGCCACGACGTCTCAACAACTCGACATTTGTATATCTACACCAACATCCCAGGCTATTAAGCTATGCCGCCATTTTGGCTGTAGTGTCTTCGAGATGGCCGATCATGGAATCGGCGCCGCAGACGGTACATTTTAATTTTTTTTGTCATATCCCATGACCTGTAGTCTTTGCTAATGGCACGTGCAGAACTCTCCCAACTATCATTAGGCGGCCACGGTCCTGAGCCGCCCATGCCGCCACCCAACTTAAGGACCGCGGGCATCATTGCCACTGACATTTCAGATAATTTTGCGGCAGCGGTCAGAAGTATGTATCTGGCCTTGTGGGAGAATATCGTGCAGCGACTGAATGTGTTGTAGCGCTGGAACCCGGCGAGCTAGTCAAGGATGGCTTCTTCACACTTTTTGACTCCGTCGCCGCCCTGGAAGTTGGTATTTATGTTACCTCGTATTCGATTGATATCTCACTAACGGTTGTGGTAGATTATGGATCCTAAAATGGACAGCGGATGTGTCCAGCCGGGGGAGGAATTTGAGGTGCTCTATGACGTGTCACGACCGTTGCTTCCGGAGGAGGTGCTTGGTATAATGGATCAACTGTTGTGCCATGAGGTGAGTGGACCGACGAGAAAGTTGGTGTAAATATGTGAATACGGACTGATATAATGATCGTTGCAAAGATGTCCTGGCATTTGGGATACCCCTTGTCGCAAACAATATTTACCAGTGTTTACGTGGACGCGCTTTTGATGCCTGCACCTGGCAGTATCCGACAGGCAAAATTCATTAGGAATGGACATCAGAATGTGAATCAAGAGCCTATGCTTGATATTCTCCGGGCTTATTGCCTAGGAATGCTTAAAGCATGTGGACATGTTAATGAACGCATCAAGTCTGAGCACTTCTACGAGGTATGCTGCCCCCTTCACTACAACTTGATCTTTCTACTGAATACAGCTCTAGGAGGAAGACTTTGTACCTAATACATACAATCGTACTTTGTTAACTGAATTTCCCACACAAGACGTCAAAGATGTACTGAAAGCAGCAAGGGAGACCGTTGAATCTCTGAAGGGCTCGATACCTGACGGCGTTTCTGAAGCACTCACGAGTCGCTTGGACCTGCGTTACATCTTTTTGGATGCTACAGAATCGCCGCAGTATTTGAAGAATCTTCCCAAGGCGAGGTTGCCATGGGAGGAGGCGATTGCTATCTTGCCTCGGATATCTTCGACACATTCCTTGACTAAGTCGGTCGAGGACGCTTTCAGCACCAAACTACAGAGGAAATTGGCTAGTACTATGCCGCCGCGACCAATTGTTCAGCTCAAGTTTGATGATGCGTTTAACCATCTATCGCGATTGCTTAAGGACGGCCTCGATGTCATTGGTGTCCTAGAATATACTAATTCGCAATGCCTTCAGGTAAGACATTATTCCCCTCTCTCACTACAAGACACATCTAACATTGTTAGAACTTCGTGTATACCTTTCAATCAAAGAAACCTCAACCAATGGTTTACGTGCGAACCCTTCTACAAACATTCCTCTTCAACGCTATGGAGATTCTGGGCTCTATGAGCATTCGCCAACTCCTCGACGACGACCTCTCCATTATCACCCTCCCCGCAAACACGTTCCTTGACAGGGATAATGACGAGATCGAAGCCGTCCATGATCCTCGTTTCGTCATGTCCCAACAAATGGAGCTCTTCCGTCAAAAAGCCGCGCAACCATTCCTCGACATTTTCAGAACCGCCTGCCAAAACAGATGTCGCGTCCGTCGAACTCTGTGCCACTTGATTCGAGACTGGGAGAATCTGCAAGTCGACGCTGAGGACATTGACCAAATCCTGCAGATCAAGACTAAAGAGCCGCCACTGCTGCAGCGATCTACGTTGGGCCTCAGCCCTGTTGAAACTTACTCCCTACCTTTGTCATCGTGGACGTATCTATATAAGCTGCAACAAATGGAGGCCATTGTCCAGCTAGGCTTCGAGCTTGAGGTCTATCAGGCAGATGAGCTGGCTGGAATGTACTGGTACTTGAACTACCTGGCAAAATCCCGCCTCCAACACACCGAAAGAATCAAGACATTCGTTGTGCGTCAGGCTACTACGGTTCGATCCTTACACACCATCGACCCGAGCCAAGAGGCCCAGCTTCAACGATCTCTTGCGTACATGAGACTTTCTTTGCTGCAAGCAGCAGTGACCTGGGAGCTCTCCGATGCCCTCAGCTGCATATACACTGTCCTGAACCGCTACGCAATCGTCAAACCGCCCCCACGCCCATACAGCAACGACCAGCTACGCTACGATCTCCGCATGCGACCATTCGCTTCCATCGGCTTGCCCTCTCTCCCCAGCTTTGAAGAATTTACTCTCGGCACAAAGCAGCCGGATACTAGCACAGAAGAACTTCTCGAATACGCCGAACGCGCAGCGACAGGTGCAAAGAGAGGCTTTGAAACACTTAGCAAGTACTCGGCAGAGGATAGTTTTTCTGTAGGATCACACGAAGCATGGACTACCTCGGTGAAAGGCGCACTGAAGGCGTGTATAGCTGCGGGAGTTGCAATTTCCAGTCTGCAAAAGGCGTTGCGGCGTACAGTTGGCGAAAATGGCACGGGTGATGTGCTGCATGTCACGGCGACGGTACCGACTCCAGATAAGGCGTATCACGAGTGGTGGATTGTACCGAGGATCGTTCCAGTTGTGACAATGGAGATGGGTAACTAAGCGATGAATTGGGCTAAGATGAGTTTTTAATGAAGTAAATTGATAATGGATCCGTCTACTACAATCCTGGTGGTACAGATATTTTTCTGGTATCAAGCTCTCGTATGTTCATCTCTTCCTTTCTCCCCTCATGATGGTATTTCTTTGTCTGTTCTTTTCCTTTTTTTTTTTTTTTTAATTCACCCTTGTTTGTTTCCAACATCTCCTCGTCACGCATCAAGGCACAAAGGTGCCACAGCTGGCGACCGACTTTTCTTGCTTGAGTTTATTCCTCTTGTGAACAAGTAAAACACACTTCACAGGAGGCTGACTTGTAATGCGCTCTCTGACAGAGAGCCGTTCCTTTTGGCTCCACTTTCGCATTGACTAGCATCGGCAGTCTAAGAAGTGATTTAAGCCTTGCGGCTTTGACGAAGGCGAACAGTCTGCTCATACAGCGCATCCTTGAAGGCGAACAAGAGAGCGGCAGTCAAGACACTCTGGGTGACCTTGGGACCAATGCCTGAGTCACCACGTTAGCTGTTGCGCTCATACCAGATGAAGTAGAAGAAGCGGGAAACCACATACCCTTGTACAGACCGGCGTATCCCTCCTCCCGGATCACTCTGCGCAGAGCTTCGGTCATGCCCTCCTTCTTATTGCTATGGCTACCAGCAACGTGCATCTGGCTCTTGACAGTAATGTAGGGGTACGTCACCGACGTGGCGAAGAGCTTGCCAAGGGCACCGAGGAAGAAGGCCACTGTGGGCGTGACCTTTCTTCTCTTTTCGACATAGTTCTTCATCTGCTCGAAGAGCGTATACTGAAGAATGGGGTTGATGACCAGGACCAACGCCGGCAGGACGCCGGAGAAGAGAGCCTGGGGACCCTCGTTCTTAAGGAGGGCCATCAGCGTGCCCAAGGTTGTGGGCTTCCTGGCAGGCTTGCCAGACTCCAGGTCGGCCTCGGAGTTCTGCTGGCGCGTGGTGACGCGAGTGTTGACAACCCAGATGGGGTTGGTGATGATGACGGTGGCAGAGCCGGCGATGGCGCCGGCAATCATGGACTCAACAGTGGTGAGCTTCTTGCTGGCGCGGCCAGCCGTGGCGGCGGCCTTCTCGAAGAAGGCCCGGGTCCACTCATACCAGTAGTAGTAGACAAAGTTGGTGACGCTGATGCCAAAGAGCGCCGAATTGATGCCCGCATACAGTCCGGGAATCCCCTCGCGCGCGACAATCTTCTGGACGGCGTCGATGAACTTGCTCTCGGCCTTTTTGGACTCGACCTGAGCGCGGGTGGAGAGGGTAATGAGAGGATAGCTGTAGGTCGCAAAAGTCAGGTAAGCATTCCCGCGCGCATTCAATTGGTAAATGTGTGATTCTCATACGTCAACACCATGGACAGGATGCCGCCGCCGGCGCCAGCGAGGGCGTGAGCGACGTTGTCATTCTGAGGGACCGGGGCTTTGGCAGCCATTTTATTATTCTGGGGGGCCGGGGGTTGGAGGAACAAAAGGAACGAGTCCAGATATTATATTACAAGAAATTGGCTTTAAAAAATCCTAAAACGTCTCTGAAGGCCAGCAGGGAGTTTAAGTCAAAAAAGATCTGAAAGCGAAGCGACGCCATGCAACGGCTGCTGGTAGTAACGAGCCGAGGTACTCTCTGGTAGGCTGATGCCGAAGGGCAAGAGTGCATTGCACATCGAGCGAGGCAGGAGCAACCCCAGGACCCACCGTCGCTTTGCGGAGGGCCGAAATGAAGTCATGCTTCCGTAGCGTCCCGTAGTCTGCACAGCACGCCGTCAGCCGGTGCCTGTGGTCGCTGCACTGGGGTTTTGATGCATGTGACCAGAGTGGGCGTACCAGACGCCTTTGCCTGTGACAGAGGTCTCCGGAAGAACCATAATTGCGCGGTCACAGTGACAGGACGGGACCCTGGCTGCCGCTAGTCCCGACAGGGAATGAAGTAAACAAAATTGGCAAGACCACCGCCATTCACGCAGCGAGTCAAGACATGCCCATCCACGACTTGGGCACGCTCCACGTTAATCGTCCATGAAGCGGTGGGCTTGCATTCCATGCGCAGCCCTTCAGCACCCACGGTTGAGAGCCGACACCAACCAGTGAACCCAGAATTTGAATCATACACACAAAAGCAGCATTGTCGCTCCGGCTGAGCGGTCAAGAATTCGTTGCAAAGGCTGAGCGCCACATCATGTCATCGCCGGATCCTCTCAACGATTCGACGATGGCAGAGCTCGCCTCAGTACCCCCCTCCTCCGTGGCTCGCCGTGTCACGCGAAGTCAGTCGTCGCAAAGGTTCCTAGCTCTCGGCAGTTCGCCTAGAAAACAAATGTTTGAATTGCAAGTTGGCGATCGGATGTCGCCACAGCGGCTGCTTGTCACGGTTGAGACGGATGGACAGCAAGAGGATATCAGTATTGGGAGCAATGCCAAGCGCAAGTTGTTTCAATCGCCTATTTCCACGTTGTCAACACCTGCGCGGCGGCTAAGAGGACGAACCACCACAACAACTGTTCCTCTGCGGGAGTCAATAGAAGAAGACGGCGATGACGCGACAACCCCGAAAGCACGAGGCCGGCAACGAAAATCGAATGGAACCCCAATGCCCAGCGCGGGCACGAAAAGGCGCGCAGGTACTCCTGTGAGGAGAACACCTAGGCGCCTGCGAACATTAGCCAGCACAGATGGCGAGGAGCCGTCTTCAGAGGCTAGTGAAGAGGCCAACGTGCAGACCACACCAACACCGCGACGACGCAATTTGCGCCCGCGCAAGACTTCGAGGCCGGCTCCTTCGAGCGAACTTGGAACAGATATCACACCACGGCCTTCTACAGCAAGGAGGGGGAGGCGGAGGCGTCAGGCACTAGCACCGGATGAACTGCTGGAACTTGCCGATGAAGTTGGGGACATCAATCTTGACACAACGCAGCTGCCACCCGTTACGAGCGAAGACGAGGTGGACCTCGTGAGGGCACCTTCGGAGTCGACGGATGATGGATCTCTCAACGCGCCGGATCCTGCGCCTGCTCCTCCTCCGGCCCCTGCTGTGCCATCATCCCCGTCACCCAACTTTGCGCCAGCTGTTGCTGAGCCCGATTCAGACATTTGGATAGGAAGCGCTTCGAATGAGGCCACTCAACGCGCTTCAGCCCGAACACGAAAAGATGTGATACCCGAGTCGTCGCCTCGCTTCCCGCTGACTACCTATACAGAACCACAACTGGATCGGTTTGAGACTTCTCAAGAGGGCTATTACGGTGACTATGGATACGCAGATGCGGGAGCAGCCGCCAGTGATCGATCTTCGATTGATGAGCCGCTTGAGGATGAAGACCCCGCCGCAACTGCCGCTCCGGCTGGTTATGACACTATTGCGCAAGGCGAGGACTTCAGCATGATATTCATGGACTCAATACCCTCCTTGCAAGCCGAGTTTAACAGCTCTGTGCATCCGGTTGTGCACGAGGAGCTAGGCGATGAGACCAATCTCATCATCAACAACACCTTGGAATCCCTCCGACAGGCTGATCGTGACGATCCCGAAGAAGATAATGATGTGGTAGATACTATTGAGCCAGCTGAGCCACAGCCAGGGGAGGAATTGGCAATGGAGGAGCCGCTAGTTGAGAGGGAGCTGGTTGGCGAGGAGGTACCAGAGAGAAGCGCAACCCCAATCCTTCAATCGCCGTCGCCGAACAGGCCAAGCCCAAGATGGTCACGCAGTCCTCGAAAGTCTACTAATTCGTCACCGCTTCGGCATCGGGTTTTGAAACAGAACGCATTGCAAACTGCAGAGTCTCCTGCACAAACCAAGCAGACTGATAAGCTTCTCTCATCACCATGGTCTGATCGTCGACTGCGAAGTGCGGACCGTCTAGAGGAAGAGGTCTCTAAGTCATATGAGGATTCCTTTTCTGAGATCCCAGAAGCTGTGCTCACGGCTGCTACTCCGCGACGGCCACAAGCAAGTGTTTCCTACGACGATTTGGAAGATGAAATAGATCAAGTACGAATGGTGGACGAGGATGACGATGCGGTAGCGCCTGATGAAGACCAGCAACAAGTCGATGAGCCTGTCAAAATGACAGAAGCGGCTATAGGGCAGGGAGAAGAACATATTCGAAGCTTCGAGCCTCCTCAGCAGATCATGGAACAGCAAGTAGACGAGTCGCAGGAAGTGGATGAACCCGAAGGCGAAGGTGTCGAAGAATTTGGAGAAGACGATCAAACAGAAGAAATCGGGGTTGAACTAGACCACGATCATGACGAAGAAGTGACATCGAGGCAAGACATGTTGCAAGAAAGTGAGAGCGAAGAAGAAGTGGGAGAGTACGATCTAGTTCTGGATGAGAAGTTAAAGTTACATCCCGAGTCTGTGCCAGAGCAGGTTCAAGCCCTGCCTTTGAAAGCAAATACGAATGAACGGCGGGACGGAGAGTATGAATATGACGAGGATGAGCTGGATGACGCTGAGCTAGCTGAACTGGAAACAGAGCAGGGGTCGGCAGTTATGGATCAGACGGCTGATGCTGACGAGGACGAGGAACTAGACCGCACGGAAGACATGGTTGCTTCATCTCAGTTGGATGAGGAGGATCAAGAGGACGCTGATGAAGAGATGGCTGATGAGGTAAATGAAGATGAAGACTATGAAGTTGTGGACGAGCCTGCTTTGGTTGCCGCCGCAATTGCCAGCGCGGCGCTTCAGTCTAGCCCTTCGCGCTTACCGACTCCTGATGATACGCCGCCACAGGCTGAGCTTCAGACAGCAGATGATGTTGCAGGAAAATCAGCCCGGGGCTCACGGCCCCCGTCTAGTCTTCGATCTTCGTCTATATCACCTGGCCATTTCAGAGAGACTCTTCGCGCCACCGTTGAGCAACCCCAGGAAATTGAAGACCTTGGGGAGGAAGAGGTTCCCGAAGTGGAAGAGGTGTCTGAAGAGGAAGAGATGCCTGAAGAGGAAGAGATGCCTGAAGAGGAAGAGATGCCTGAAGAGGAAGAGGATCAAGAAATGGAAGAGGATCAACAAATGGAGGATGAGGTGCCTGTGTACGAGAAAAACCCAGAGGGCGAACTCTTCGTCCCAGAGGCTCAACAAGAGCCATCACTGGATGAAAGTACTCGACGTTCCGTGGATGCGACTCCTCCGCAGCAAATCTCGTCACCGGTTCAAGAGCCTGCATCACTGCAGCACGAGACTTCGTCGGACAAAATGGTACGGCCCCATCTCTCTACAATTATACGAGCGGGGCGGGTACTCCAGAGCATCACCTCAGATCCCCCATCTCCTGAAGGGCGTGAGAAGCAACTCGGAAGCCCATTCAGGAGTTCTGGCAGTAAGGATTCGTGGAGTGGTTCAAGAGACAGTCAGACGAGTCGTCGAATGAGTGGAAGTCCCTTGCAGGGCCGTAGCGCGGTCCCAACTAGAATCGAAATAGACAACCAAGCACAACAGGAGACTTCTGATTCTGCATTGAGAAGCGCAAGATATCCTAGTTTTCTAAGTCCGGTTCGACGCAGCAAAGAACCATCCGTGGAACGGAACAGATCAGATGGGTCGCCATCGAGACATTCATCGGCAAGCTCGATGCGTATTACACCCCCAAGCGATGGGGTTATGAGCTGGGTTGAGAGAGAGGGGCCGATTAGCCCAAGTTTGCGGGGAGATAATTCTCTGCGAGAGGCTGCTAGATTGCCAGAATTGAGCGCCAAGATCGAGGAACCTCGTTCCGCTGGGCAGGTTGATGCTCCTCTGGTTCAAGCTACCGTGGCTGAGCCGCCTCGAGAATCCACGCCAGTGGTCGAGGAGCCAGAGGCAGAGCAGGATGCGTCAGATGATGAGACTGATATTTGGGAACTGGAGGCACAGCGAGAAACGCCTCGCTCTGTTAGGCAACGGCCCTTTGGCAAGCGTGTTCCAACAAGCAGCAATCGCCGGGGAGCTATTCCAAGTCCTTGGACGAAGAGGAGTGTTCATCGACCAGCAATCTCAAGGATGATTTCACAGGCAGTGCCAGATCTATCTCATCTCACAGAGGAGCCGAGTGCCATCCCTGATCAACCTCCCCAGTCCAGCTCTCCAGATGAATACTCTCGTCTTGCTCAAAGCCAGAAGGAAGAGGCTGAAGCCAAGAGAGCGGCCAACGCTTCCGAATCAGCCGCCAAGGCTAGCAAGTTCGATCTTTCTTCGTTTTTCTCGTCTCCAGCAGCAATCCCGGGCATGCTGGCTCAAAAGCTCATGCCAGCAAGAACGCAATCGACGGTTCAACCAGCAAATCCTCCCATGTCGATGGCCGGACAGGCTCCTCCTGTTGTCCCCACAAGCTCCATGTTTCCGCAAATTCCTCAAAAGGATTTCCGGCCCGGCAGTAGCAACAGAAGCAGTATATTCTCGCCAGCGCGGCGCAAACAGCCGTCGTCCCCGCTTGAACTGCAGGAAGAATCTCCTGAGCAGCAGCAGCAGCAGCAGCAGCCGAAGGCCGACGCTGAAAGGCCATCCTCTCCTACGACGCCAGAGCAAGTCCCAATGCCCACCATCGCCCAGAAGCAAAACTTTACCCCTCGACCGGGACAAGCAAGCAACTCGTTCTTCCATTCCTCTTCCAATTCCACTGCGGCCGTCACCCCTCCCAGGATGCAGCTCTCCCACGCAGACATCCACAGATGGACACAACAAACGTCCAACGCAAGTGAAGCCTCTTCCGACTTCCAGCGCCCTCTTCTCCGTCCCTTGCCACCCAAGAACGCGTCTCCGACAAAGTCCAGTCTCCGGTCTCCCCTCAAGCCCCGTACACCGGGCCGTGTGGTCGAATTCACCAGCTCCGTCCTCTCACCAGCCGAGCAAGCGAAAGCCCGCCTGGATAACCGCTCAGCACAATCCAACTCCATCCTCTCCCAGGACTTCTTTGCTCCTCCACCCCCTCAGTCCATTGTCCAAGTCGACAAGGAAAACGCCTCCATGGACGATATCTCCATGGACGACGCACCGCCTCTCACCAAGCCTCCTCCCCCTGAACCCTTGTCCCAAACAACCTGGTCCCGCCGGCACTGGCTCCTGCTGGACCAACTGTTGCAGTATCGTCGGTCATCGCCATTTCCTGTAAATTACACCCGTGGAGCGGACAACTATCTCGGGAAAACGGTTAAGAGCCACGGCGAGGCGATGACCCTCGACAGGTGGCATTTAGATGTCGTGGATGCGTTCAAGGCAGAGGTGGGGGGTTGGGACGCAGACATCTTGGCCAAGAGACTGTTTGCACTTATTCTAGGCGAGGCGAGACGCATGGAAGCAAGAGACCGGAGAGTCATGTTTCACTAATGATTATGATGATGAATGTTTCTCATTTTTTTAAAGCATTTTTTACCTTGTGAGTCTTGGATACGAGGAATTCGGGGGGCACGGCGCTGGCGGAATGCACTTTGTTTACAGATACCACTTCATATGGTTGAGAATTGGGTTTTTTCTCTCTCTTTTGCCCACAAGATACCTACCTAGTACGATCCGCTAAGACGGGATTAGAATACAGAGCAAGTCATTGCACTTGGGTAACAGGACAGTCAGTCGTCTTTGGACGGGAATATGCTTGCATCACTTTTCCCCTGATAACAGGGTCAAGCCTTCTTGAACGCCTCATCTACCGTGACATATTACAATACAAGACACCATTGCACCCTTGTGTTTACTCTAGCATGGAAGCTTGGTTTGTATACAGCACATCCACCACGTTGCTCAACTTGTCGATTGTTGCCAGTGCTGCGTCGTACGATTCGTCGCGTTGCGTCTCGTCATAGATGATGAGACAGCCTGCTCCTTGGTCCAGCACACCGATGATGACCTTGTCCAAGATCATCTGCGACAGTTTTCGCTCGACCTGCTGGGTGTCGAGGCCGACCATCTTGGCAATATGGTCGATTTCGACGCGGGAAAATGGCTCAATGACCTTGATGAGATTCTGCTCCAACATGGCGTCATACAATCGGCGGAGATGGTTGCGGATAAAGGCGTCGCTGCCGAGTTCGTACCGGTAAGCGGAGAGGGCACGTTCGTACTCCTCCAGGGAGCGGTTCGAGTGTGCTCTGGCAATGGCCTTCATGGCTTCGAGATTCTTGCCGGCATACTTGACTGCTTGCTTGGAGGACATGAGCTGGTTCACGTCGTCGGCGAGATTGAGCATGATCTTGCAAAGGAGCATGTACTGCAGAGCGGCTTGGGCCTTGGCGCTCTCGTCTAGACTGTCGTAGCCGTCAAGTGCCTCGATAAAGTAGGAAAATGCCGTGTTAAAGTCCTTGTCCTCGGCGTGGAGCATGCCGCTCTGCATGTCTAGGTTGGCCTGCAGCAGGGGCGGAGTGTAGACACTCGCCGCGCTTGTTCGCGCCGTGGTGAGGGCCGCACGGGCCTTGGGGATGTTTCCAAGGGCGTGATAGACTCTTGATTCGAGAAGCTGGACTTCCACCAGGCGGAGTTTGTCGTCGAGGCGCTTCAGCTCACGCAGGAGGCTGTTGATGAGGGTAAGTGCATCGTAGTACGACTGCTTGGTCATGTAGAGCGCAACAAGGCGTACTTCGAGGTCCTGGCGCTGGAATGCGCGGCGCTCGGCGGTGGCCCATTCAATGCAGTCCTTTGTGATGTGTACTTCAATGTCGGTGCTGTTAGGGATCTCCTTGAAGAGGTCGAGCAGTTGCCGCACTAGAAAAGGATGGTTAGATGGGAGTGGTTCTGTTACCCAGAGAGCTAGCAGTCACCTACCCAGCTTTGATGATTTTGCCTTGGCAAAGGAAGAAAATACTGAACGGCTCTCTCGAACGAGATCTACCAACTCCTGTGTCTTCCTGCGAGTATGGGTTAGCGGCGACTTGAAATATTCATGTTGCAGCACAGCTTTGTCCCCTCGTGCGTGCAGTCATCCAATGGCCACTGACTTCTCGTCCCGATACAGTTCTCCCAGACTGATGAGCGCCGACTCATACTCGCGAGTGGCCGCATCCGACGTGGCAGCAGGTGCTTTGGAGGTGATTTCCTTGTAAATGGCTTCAGACTTTCGCGGGTCCGTCTTGGCAAGCTTCTGGGCTTCTTGGAGCCGGCTTGAATCGGCGGCCGCCATTCTGGAGGTGGAGCGGCGAAGGAGCGTCTTCTAACGGGGAATCGGGTTTTACGAGAGCGAAAACGGTCAAAAATGCTCGTTAGAGACGGAGACGGTCGGGTTGTTGACAGAAGAGAGGTTGCGTGAGCGGTATGTGGATGATGATGAGGTGCAATGCTGGATATCGAATTGGACGGAGCTCTGATTGGAGTTCCATTCTTCTTTCAGGTTGCCACAGAGCGCGTGTCGCAGGCCCCAGCCAACAGCCCCCTTGCCTGGTCGGGCGGCTGCACCCACCAACCAGCTCCGGGTTTGAAGCTGGTACCTTCCACGGCAGACTGGCAGACGGCCCGGGGTTGATCCGCCGCCTCCTTTGCCTCCGTTATCCGGCCTTGAAATTTCAGAGCAGCCGTGTAGACATTTCCCAGCTCACGCGATACCCTCAATTAACTGCACATTCACAGCTGAACCCTCCGCCCCTCCGCATCTCCGCCATATTTCCTCCCACAATGTTGCGCCAGGCTTTCTCTACCTCCTCCCGAGCTTTGCGCTCTGCTCCTCGCCTGGCAGCCAGCCAGCCTCTGCTGCGAACTCAATTCCAGAGAGCACCTGCTGCGTGGTCATCAAGAGCGGCCCAGCCAGCCGTGGCTCGGTGGTATAGCGATGCTAAGGAGGCACCTGCAGAGGGAGAGAAAGCTGAGAAATCTGAGGCCAAAGAGGAGGCTGGTGAGACGGATGCTGTCGCTGAGCTGAAGAAGTCTCTCGAAGCAAAGGACGCCGAAGCTCGTGACTGGAAGGTAAAATCTATGGCCCAGCCACAAATTCACCGGCTACACTTCCTTCTGGATAATATCTCACAATTTTGATAGGATAAATGCATGCGCACCGTTGCCGACTTCCGCAATCTGCAAGACCGCACTCAGCGTGAGGTCAAGACGGCCCGAGAATTCGCGATCCAAAAGTTCGCAAAGGATCTCGTCGAGAGCGTCGACAATCTGGACCGCGCCCTGACCATGGTTCCCTCCGAGAAGCTTGTCGTCAAGGACGAAGCTTCTCAGGACCTTGTCAACTTGTACGACGGCCTCAAGATGACCGAGGACATCCTGATGCAGACTCTTGCCAAGCACGGCCTGGAGCGGCTAAACCCGGAAGGCGAAAAATTCAACCCCAACGAGCATGAGGCCACCTTTATGGCGCCCCAACCCGACAAGGACAACAATCACGTTTTTCACGTCCAGCAGAAGGGCTTCAAGCTCAATGGCCGTGTTTTGCGCGCCGCCAAGGTCGGCGTCGTCAAGAACGCTTAAACCCATCACCCTCATTCATCAACAGAACAACATATACTCCTCCACTCTTCTAACTCACCAACATACTACTTCTCCGTCCTCTCAAAACAGCATGGACACCACCTCATTATAAAATATTAAAAGCGTGCGGCTGTGGATAAAACGCATGTCATTGTACTACTATGGGTGAAAATCAACCAAAAACTATGAATCTTCAAAGGGCCGGCGTTGGGTCAAGATGTATAATGCTCCTCTTATGATGGTAGAACAAGAAATTTCTATTACTTGTATTTTCAGGATTTTTTGTTTCTGCATGGCGGGTTTTGGAAGTCAAAGATGATTACGATGCGACTTGGACAAGAAAAAATCGTTGAGTGTACGAGTGGGTTTCGTGTACCTGTATATAGACGCATCTATCCGGCTCTAAGATGAGACCGCTTAATCCATCGTTGTCTAATGGATGTTTCCATGACTACATTACATATTTCTACGGGGTTACCTAGCGCTGCAAGCAAGGACCGGAGACCACTGGCTTGCCCCACAACTTGCTGTCATGTCACAACCCCACCACCCCAGTACGCGTTTCTACATCGCAACCGCGAGTCCGCGACGCACCTTATCCGCAACGACTTTTGCACATCAGGCCGCGCCCTGGACGAGACGACATGGCTAAGCGCCAACGCACCTCGGAAACGGACCCCGTCCGCGAAAAATCCTACTTTGACCAGCAGCGCGAAGCACTCCTCAGCGACATCGCGCTGGTTCGTTGCACCCCCCCTTCTCCAGCTCCAAACTGCAAGCCTGGCAATAAAGGCAAAGCTAACGAACTGCCCAGAGTTTTGAACACGTCCTCGCCAACATCAATAAACTAAACCGATCTCTTGAATCTGTCATAGAGGTAGGCCCCCGCCTCTCTCTAAGCTAAGACGTAACGCCCAGTCTAACAAGATAGGTCGGCAATGAATTCTCCTCCGTCGAAGCACTCTGGTCACAATTCGAAAACGTCATGGCAAAGGATGAAGCGAAACACCAGGGCGAAAAGACAGAGCCACCTGGTGACGAAGGGCGTGAATGATACCAATCTAAAAAAGAGCATGTATTACGATATAAATTACAGGTTGGAACGCGCATGAGCAGGCCTCATACGTTGGGACAATCACACACGACGATACGAAGAATTGCACGTCATTTTATAATTCCCTACCCAACTTACACTCAAGTTACTCAACAGGCCATCGTACAAATGAAAACGAGAGCAACAAAAATGCAAATATACCATGTAACAAAATTCGCAACCCAATCCGTATAAGAACAACCAGACTTGACCTTATCATGCTCATTCCCACGACTCCCGCAGTCTCCTACATTCCGTCCGTCATATCCTCCGTTCCACTCGGGTTCAGCTTCATGCCTAAGCCGACGTACTATGTACCAAAACCTCGGGAGAGCATAAGCATAATTCAAGCCCAGGATACCTGCCCTGCCTTCGACCATGCTATTTCTTCTACCCCCGAGGCAGAGTGTGTCCATGTTGTTCGTAATAAGTGCAATCGTAAAAAAAAAGGAAAAGGAAAAAACAAGTGTTAAAGCGTCGAGATCTCATGCGATGGTCATTACAATTCTGTATGCGACAGGCCAGTCCTATATGATTGATCGCGCTCGTTGGGGGTCGGAAATGGTTATCGTCAAGGGGCAATTAAAGAATCTGGCATCGTCTCTTCTTCTTTTTGGGTGGCTTCATTCCGGGAATCGGCAACATCTTTTCATTACCAGAGCCGGATCCCATGGCGTCATAGTTCCGCCTGTCATTGGCAACAACTGTTAGAATGGCGCGCTCAAAGATCTCGTCGACTCCTAGCATTTCTTTACTGCTGCACTCCATGTACTGAGCGCCCATCTTCTCGGAAACGGCCAGTCCCTGTTCCGTGGTGACTGGTGTCAGGCCCTGGGTTTTGAGCATGTCAATGCAAGACTTTTTGTAGCGCAAATCTGACTTGAGGCCGACCAGAATGAGCGGCGTGTACGGGCAGAAGTGAAGGACTTCGGGGTACCACTAGGCATTGTCAGCATCAACAATATCATGTTACGGTTGGTCGAAACCGCAGTAAAATACCTTGTCCAGAACATTGTCCAGTGAATTTGGGCAGTCAATCGCGAAGCAGACGAAAATCAAGTCCGTCTCAGGATAAGAAAGAGGGCGAAGACGGTCGTATTCTTCTTGACCGGCGGTATCCCACAATGCCAGCTCAACAGTCTTTCCAGTAGGACTATGTGTGGGGTAGGTGATGTAGTTTTCGAAAACGGTTGGGACATATTTCTATCAATATTGTTGTCAGTGGCCTGATGCAGAAACAAAACAAAAAATGACGCAGGCGCTTTCGTCTCACCTCTGGGAAATAACCTTGGCTGTAGCTGATAAGCAAGCACGTCTTGCCACAACCGCCATCGCCGACCACAACAATCTTCTTCGAGTAGGCTGGCACGTCCGTCATGTGGGTTGCTGCAGACTCCCGTCCAGAGGACGAGCTCACTGTGGTACTGACAGTTCCGTTGCTCGAGCGCGTGCGCTCTTGTCGCCGCGGCTGCTCATTGCTGGCCGGTGCGTAGTATGAATTGCTGTAATGCGAAGCCATCCCCCCTGCGCCGTGCGAAAAGTACGTGCGGCAGAAAGCAAAAAAAAAAAAACCAAAGAAAGAGTCGTTTGCGCCAAGGGAGTGGTTCAAACGCGACTTGAACCCACTTTCACTCGATGACAGTCTCTGGAATGCTGCTTGCCGGCTGGCGGGGATAGGAATAATAGAGGTGGTCTGTGGAGAGGACGACGCTTAATGCTTGTTTTCGGGTTATATCTGCTTCACCAAGCGGCGGGTGAGTACGGCAATGTTGACGGTGAGGATAATGGTGACGATGCGATCGACGCTGAGAATGTCGAAAAGAAAGAGAGGTGAAGATGGAAAGGTGTGGAAGAATTGCACTTGTGCGTCTCTCTAGTCGGGCTCGAACTGGGCAACAAGTGAAATGGCGGGCGAACGTTGAGGTGCAGCAGCCGAAACACCAGGGCGTCGATCTGTTGGCGAGGCAACTGAGACACGCTGGCCAATGAGAGGGCGCCGGCAGACGGTAAGCTTCTGGAGGTTCTTTTGTGGAAAAATGGGACCGCATGGGTACCTCAGCTAGCATGCACAATCGACCGACCCACTTTTGACTATTAAAACTTTCGCGCAAGCATTTCCACACTCGTCCTTTCACACTCTCTCCGTCACACTCTGCCTCCTCGCCAAGCACTCAGTATGGCGATGCTGCAGGCACCGAGCAAGTATGTCACTTTGGTCTCAGGCGATGGCTTCGAATTTGTCGTCCTGCGCGAGGCCGCCATGGTGAGCCCTATCATCAAGGGCATGTTGGATGTGCGAAGTGCGTGAATGCCATGGCTTTGCTGCATATTTCCAAGATATGTTCGAGTTCGATTCAGCTCACACCAGGTGCAGGCCAGTTCGCCGAGGCTAAGGATGCACGCTGCGTTTTTCAAGAGATGAGGTAAGCTTTTGGCAGCCGGATTGAGTAGTGCATGATGCTTCATCTGCGTGTGTGCCTTGGCCAGTAGGATGAAGACAGAGCAATCACGATGCAACACCATGTTCATCCGTCCATGACAGAACGCCGCTTCTTAGCTGGCCGGGCTGCTTGATTGTTCACTACACTTGAACTGATGGTCGGGGCATGCTCAATACCCTGGCCCGCCCGTCCGCGATGGTTTCTGCGGCCTTGATGTTGCACGATCCGGCAGCTGACGTTTTCATTTCCTTCCCTATCGCAGCGGCATGGTTCTCGACAAAGTGGTCGAGTACTTTCACTACTGGTACCGTTATCGAAATAGCGATGATGTTCCCGATATGGACATTCCCGTAGAATTATGTTTGGAACTACTAGCTGCGGCTGACTACTTGGGGCTGGATCAGTAAGGCTCTCCGTGTTTGATGAATCTGGAATATACCTAACGCTACGCGATTAGGGGCAATACGAACATGAAGTGACGAGGCAGACGATGCATTGATTTGGCGCAATGGCGTTGGGGATACGGCGTCATTAGGAAGGATGGTTTCCAAAGGCATCTCAGAACAGAACGTTTCAATGGTAACGAGAGAATTTGTTCAATTTATATTCGACAATATTTCTATTCCTTGCCCTCTGAATCACCAGCGAAAGCATGTTTCGGTTGAGCAATTCACCATGGACGAACTTTGGTCCCATTTCAGCATATACGTTCTTCTCTTCACTCCTCCGTGAGTCGAACGTCTATTAGAGATGGAAGATTGACAAATTCCCTCTCACTCTGCGTTGCTCAGTTGTGCATTGAGTTTTCGCTTTTTCTGCAGGGATACATGCAATATTGTGCTACTTATTCTAGCATTAGTTCGTGTCCACTCGTCTGATGTGACGGTGAAAATCCAGTATTTGATGTTGTGGTTTCCGGGCAGACTACGTGCGACGATTATTCGTCGCGTCCCGCGTCTGGCCAGGGCCATCGGGATACGCTATATATACATTTGCTCAATTACCCTTGGTAAACTGGAAGAAATAACGCAGCATCGGATGCTATATCCTGATTCGGCTGCCAGAGATGGTGAAACCAAAAGTTGCGAGACCGCAATGTGATATCAGCAGCCCCGGCGCCAACCTGGTCCGGTGCGGACTATAACGCCAGCCAAAAATTGCTGAAACCAAAGCAAGGCAAAGTAAAAGGGTCAGGGTCAGGGTCAGGAACAGATTAGATATCCCTTGTTTACCGCATATATAAAGCATACTGCTTTTCGCATCTGCATCCCGTCGGCGAGGTGGGCTCGGAGAACAGCCGGCTATTCCGTCCCAGATATTCCCAGGCACAAGAATCCTCCATCAATCTTCTTAGACTCTGTCGATTCCGTAAACCAAGCCATACTGGAGCTACGGTTATTTTTTGTGATTATTTAGCTCAACTTGTTTTTTGTCTGTCAGTATTCCCGTCAACGTTCAGTGATGCGCCTGGCAACTCACTAGCTTGACAGCATACGTGCAAAGGTAAAGGAGTTTCATGACAATTGAAGCCTACCCATCGCTGGCTACACTATCACTCTGAATGTGCACAGGTCTAATTTTTGTAACGGGCCAGGGTTCTAGCGAATAATAAGTAACTAAGATTTTAAAGATATATAAGTATATAAAAATATACTAGTTTATTATTCTTAATAATAAAGTATTTTTAAGTATTTTTAAGTATTATAAAAGAAGTGGGTTAAATACATTAATTGGACCTGCGCACATTCAGAGGGATAGTACACTGTGATAGATTGGTGTCAACTCACTTCATGGTATGCAAGTATACTTGCCACGGGCTATACTCATACAAGTCATTTAACAGCGGCAAAGATTCGAGAGTGGTGTTCTTGCAGCGCTTATTTTATTTTATTTTATTTTATTTTATTTTATTTTTTCCTTCAATGCTTAGCATTCAGCATCGATTGGACAGAGAATCTCCAGTTACTACCATGTAGAGAGGCCGCTCGAGCGGCATGGCCGAGTCCACAAGGGAGGTGGATTGGCTTGACGCGAACAAAGAAAAAGGGAGGAAATCTATGTCAGGCAGCCCTCTATCTTAGTCATGAACATTTCACTGTGCACTCTATCCAGATAAGTAAGGTACGTCTTCAAAATGAGGCGGGCGGTATTTATTAAACAATTTAAGAGCCGGGTCTCGGTCATTCCGTGCCCTTGTGTTTTGAGCATGATCAGATTTGAACACGTCGACAGCAGCAAGGAACATCATCTGAACACTGCGTCATAAAGCCTGTGAATCGTTTTGTGCCCTTCGATATGACATGCTCTGAAACCGTTTTAATTTTTGACGTTATTGTACGCGCAGTGTTCAGACTCCAGAGGCGTTGAACAGCAGTGTCTTTTTTTTTTCACGTCCATCTCCGAATAAGGCTGTGATGGCATACATTGTTCGCTTCATGATACCTGAGTGTTCACATGGTCACAATTGGCCGGATTTCTATCATGGCCGCACTTATGCATCTTGGGTCTTGTGCTCATGCGGGCTCTGACCATGCAGACAGCACCTGGGCAGTATAACGATAGTGTTCAGTATCAGTTCGTGAGGCTGTGTCACGGCAATTTTCTGTGTATAAATAATCGAAAATACCGCTGGCAATGGCTTGGATGTCTTTGGACGCAGACACAACCACGCAAGCACACTTTTATATCACATCCATCTAAACACCCATCTACACATCCTACCTATTACCGCCTGGGACTTCGCAACTATTATACGGGAAATAACACACGTCATTAAAAGTCTCCATCCGGAGGAGGGCTCCTCTTTTGGTAGCTCAACAGCAACAAATCCTCTTGTTTCGCTATGGACTCTGATGATCCCCTGTCGGGGGGGCGACCGATGGCCAATACTTCTAACACTATCAACTGCAACAAGACTGTCAGTCATTTTCTTGTCGTTTTAATCTGGCCAGAGGGGGAAGAAAAGGCTAAGGGTCTCCGCGAGACTCTGGGTAGTAACTCCCATAACTATCAGCTACGCCAGGGACTTCCTCATACTCCTTTTCGTGGATTTCTCCTTTTCTTGGCCGGCTTCCACGGGCAAGAACAGTGTAACCGCTGGGGGGGAATTATTATACGGGACCACTGGGATGACATTATTGATTCGTGAGTAAATTTACATTTCCTTTTCTGTGCCGTTCAAAGCGCAAGGTAGAGAAGCCAACACCAAGATGCATTTAGTATTCACGTCTTTGATCACGACTCCCGCTGTCTGGAAACTTTGACGGGGACTGAATGGCCAATTGATCTGAGTGACTTTTCGCAACTCGACATGGAACAAATCGGCATGGAAGACGGGGCAGGAGCTGCATCTGATTTGGAGGGGATGAATCAGATGATTGGCAATTTGAAGGTCAGTACATGTCGCATTCTCACCAGTTGGCGAACCGTGGTCAATGATGCTGGCTTATTAACTATATCACCCTTGTAACTAGTTGGAGATGAATTAAAATACTCGCTCTACATCTTAATTTTGAATTGAAAGGCACTCGTATGTCGTTCGCTAAACGTCCACCGCCGATGCGGCCAAACGCCCCCGGCGACAGCCTGGATGGATAGGCTCTTATGTGTCAATACTGTGTACTTCGACCTTTCTCCTAATAGCGCATGGCGGAGGCTATTTTTCTGGGGATCTTGTAGCTTATAAAATGGCGAGATCACGTTGGACAATGGTCATGATGAAGAGAGGGCCAACGTGTGCCGACGCTGAGTTTTACATAGTTCTACAAAGTTAATGAGAAGAGAGTCCCAGACCATGTATAGCATCTCAAAGCTGCCCTCATACTTTATGTGAAATCTTGCGGGTATCGCGGTACAAGTCTTCCAGGGCCAAGTCACAAAGTATGTACATGTTCACAACTCCACAAGTCTAATATCTGTCCAGCCCAAAGACACGACGCCTATTCTACCGGACCCTTTGTGAATATTGTGCATGGGACAGGCATCATGTTGTAACGGAGTCTCAAGCGTCAATCTTTGCCATTGCTACGTTGGCTTATGCATCACTGAGGACCCTAGGTGCGTGTCCTCCCGATTCCCGAAAGAGATTGTGGCTTACAGGAGGGGAAGCAAAGGCGGTGTTGTCTCATCCAGATTTTTCATACTGTTGGCGTTATTTCACCCAGTAATGAGGCCCATTGAGGACGGCAAAGATACGTCCTAGTACTCGGCATGTAAGCGGCGAGACAGCCACAGAGTGTCACACCGCCATGGCCCCTTCAGGGCTGAGGAATCGCATGGCAAGCTGCAGTGATTGATCCGTCCGGGTACAAGTACTGCCGAGTTACCGCTCGGAACACCTTGAATGGCATGGTTCGATTGCTTTACATCTCTTGCAGGGACAAGTCGTGGATTCGGCATGGCGGCCGCCAGGTCCTAGCTAGGCTCTGATCAGGAATGATGGTCCCGCGATAACTGCGTAAAGCAAGAACTACAAGTACAGCTTGCTTCCTGCTCTGCACCACAAGTAGCCTCAACGATGATGTTCAGAAAATGGGGTGTGCGGATGGTATAAGGTCAATGGGTGGGTGCATCGATCATGGCGGCGGGAGGAAACATTGTCTCGATTGACACGGCTAGGTCGAAATATGAAATGGCACAACCGGCGGTCTGAGACCTTTTCGACAACTCCTAAGCATAAAAATGTTTCATCTTCACATCAGCCGTGAATGCATAACTTTGCGCGGTGCTAATTGGCTCACGACCTCGGCGCACCTTCCGTTGATTTATCCCGAGTCTTGAGTCCTGGCTACTCCACGTTCATCTTGAGATTTCATGTCAATACTAGTTCAATTCTTCCATCTCTAATCGTGTATTCCGTAGTGACTCGCAACATGCCGGAATCGGCTCCCAAGTCCTCGAAATTTCGCCCGCTTCTTCCTGCTCCGCCTTCTGATGATGGCAGCATCGCCTCTAGTTCTCGTCGTTTGGCGAAGCAGTCTTCTCCCGTGACATCAGCTTGCATAGAATGTCGAAAGCGTAAAACCAAGGTAAGGCCGTGATACTCCCATGCTCTCCTAAGCTGGGCTCTTCCGTCCTGCTCGAGTTGCTCCTCCCCAAGCTGACAAATCTTTGCCGTCTCAGTGTAGTGGTAGTCGCCCTACGTGCACTGCGTGTATACGGCGACATGTGGAATGCATTTACGATAGGGGTCCTGACGAGACACAAGCCAAAGTGGTCAAACGCAAGTACGAAGAACTCAAGAGCCACAGCACTCCATATGAACGTATATTTGACGCAATTCGCTCCCGGTCTGAGGCTGATGTGGGAGCCATTGTACGGAAGATACGGAGGGGCGAAAACGTAGATGACATTGCCCGTCAGGTCGAGCACGGCGACTTGCTTCTGCAATCGTTTCTCGTACCCGAGGCAAGATATCGCTACGAGTTCCCGCTTTCTTCGAACCTGCCTCCCCATCTCTTGCTTCAGTCCAATGTCTATCTGAAGTCGCTGATATATAAGTGGGCTCCCCCATTGTCACTAGGAGATGCCGCCGAGTCTGGACCTTCTTCCTCACATCAACAGCCGGAGAATGCGTTTTCGGAAGCCGAGGCCCCCTACTTGATGCCGTACCATGCAGCCAAGATAATCAATACTCGTCTCAGTTCCATTGCGCCATCAAAGTGGACCAGTGTCAGCTCGGATGATCTGTTGATGAGAAGACTCCTCAGCGCATTCTTCCTCCAAGACCATGACTGGTGGACCGCATTCCAAAAGGACTACTTTCTTGAAGACATGTCCAAGATGCACGATGAACTCTGCTCGTCTCTACTTGTAAATGCGTTACTTGCATTGTCTTGTGTGAGTACATCCATCTCAGCATCTTTGACCAGAATCTATTTGCTGATTGAGCATGGCGGCCCTAGAACTATTATCGCGGCCTCGATGGCCGCACTGAGTTTTGGAATCCTCAAACCCTAGGCTACCGCTTTTTGGCAGAGGCCAAGAGGCTGTGGGAGTATGAGAAGGGTCTCGATAAGCTAACGACCATCCAGGCTGCTCTTGTTTTCCACATCATCTACAGCGGAACTGGGGCTGACAAGATCGGATACGCCTACACAGTCCAAGCATGTGCCATTGCCCACAAGATTGATCTATTCAACCCAACCTCTGTCACGGAAAATACCAGGTTACGTGACGCCAGGCATTACACGGCATGGGCATTGTTTAGTTGGCAGAGGTAGGTCTACGATCCCGAAACAGATATCTCGGTAAAAAAAGAAGGAGAAAAAAGAAAAGAAAAAAACTTTCCGTTTCATAGCCGGACTAATACGGATTCCCAGTCTTATGTCATTCCATTACTTCAGGCCTCCTCTCTTCAATCGACCACCAGCTAGCTTGCCAGATCCGAAGCATGAACCAGAGTGGTACGGCGAAATCTGGCTCAAGTACCCTCTTGGTAGGACTCTGTTTCCCAGTAGCTCAGGGGACGTTTTCAAGGCAAGGGCCGAGTTTGCCGTAATACAAAACGAGGCAGCACAGAGATTGTTTGCCGGTTCAACGCCAGCTCCGCAGCTCTCTGCTGCAGAAGTTGCAGTTTTCTATTTCCGGTTTAAGGGCTGGTACGACAGCTTGCCGGAAGCACTGTCTCCTCGAAGAGCCGTGCTTCCATCCCATCTCAAACTTCAGTAAGTACAACCTTCAAATTACTTTGTACTGGGTAGTTACTTTGCCAATGTGCTCTGTCTGCTGTTTTCGTCACGAACCCTGGCAATGACAGGGGCGGCTGTGCTTCTTGGCGCACTTGCCGAAACGTGGTACTAGTAAGACATATCTTCTAACAAAGACTACTCAGTATGCACTATTTCCAGATTCTTCTCAGACTTTTCCAGTCCCCAAGTCTCATAAATGAGCCCGGGTCAGAAGCGGACGCAGCCGTGGTTAATCTCTTTGGCCAACCGCCCCAGGAGCTCCTCTCATACGCAAAAGTCAGTCTAGAGACTTTGCTGCGAGCTTACTACTTACGACATGGCTTTGAGTGGCTCGACACATATCTCCTTTCTCTAATGCTAGACGTGGCTTTCATCGCTATTGAAGGAATGAAAGTCCAGGACAGTGACGCAGATCTCTCCGCACTACGTTCAACTATCATCCTGCTTGCCAAGGGTATCTACGAGCAAGGCCAGAATTTGTTCCTGGGGAAACTGGTATTTAATGTGGTGAGAGGCAAGATGCGCTCCGAGGACTTGGATACACTGGGGCAACTTGCCAGGATTGAAAAGATAGGGGAGAAGGAAGCCATCGGCCTCCAGCAAGCTCAGATGGAATGGCCGGTTCAGATCACTAGCATGGCGGACGATCCAGGGTCAAAGAAAATTGGCGATTTATCCAAGCAACTTATGGAGACGTCGCTAGAATTACCTGGTGAGGATATCACTTTATAGTTTAGTAAATACAACCGGTCTCTGGGGCTGATGGAGTTGTCATGACGATTCGAGACTGCTAGGCAAAGGCAGGAGGTTCTCAAAGGCCAAGCCACGAATGACTATTGGGCTTATCTCTCGTGATGTCATAACCACTGTTCGTTTATTGGAAGGAAGGCCCGGCAGCAGTCGAAGCAGGAAGCGCCAACGCCCAGCTCCTGCACTTTGTTTCACCCCAATTCACGACGCGTTGCGCGGCAAAGCAAAATTCTGAGAGTATTTACTCTACGCCACAAGTTTTCGTTTGTCGTATTTTTCCCTTGCTGTTGACTTTGGATTTTATTCATAGCGGATACGTATCAGCTGAACCGAGTCCCGAGTCCCGGCAAACACTAGCCCGCCAGCGCATCATGTCTTCCGGCGAAGGAGAAATGGGCGACGTCCACCTCGGGCTCGAGTACAGGGAAAAAGTAGTGGCGCTCTGGGACCGCAAGGGGTGGGATTTCGATGCGGTAGTCAGGTTGACGATGGGATTCAGCAAGGTCAAGACGGGGCACATCTCGAGGCACGAGAAAGTGGTGTGGTTTGTGGAGTGTGCTTCCAAAGACGAGTGTCGCGATGCGTGGCACCATTGCGTGTTGGCGCTTAGGCGTCGTTTTGTCGTTGTTCCTACTCCCTGGCGGTGAGTGCTGCTGCCGACGGGGGCGGGGTGTACGTGGTGCTGTTGATTTTGACGTTTGCGCAGAGTGTGCGTCGTTGCCACTGTTGGGAATGACATGGCGTCGTTTGAGGATCTTGAGCTCGTTTAGGGTGTTGGATTGGCCGGGATTGGGGGTCTTTCAGGGAAGACTGCTGCCGGACGATGAGTTTGGTGAGCTTCTGGACGGATAATCAGGGGCTCGCTCTTTTCAGGGGGAAAGGAGGTCTAGAGATGGATGTTGATGTTGATGTGAGCGAATTGTTGAGGTGATGGCTGGCGAGTCGGCTTGGGGAGCAGGGAATGCGAGGATTCCTTGTATGTATCGTCGGTTACATCAATAAATGAACTATTAGAGGATAACCGCCGAGTCGGCCCAGGGGCCGGGAGTGTGAGGAGTCGTTGGTCATGTTGATGTAAATGAACTATTGAAGGGACAACTGGCGACTCAAATCGGAGTGGAAGGCGTGTGAGCCATCAATGTCAGATGGAAGTAAACGAAATTCCCAAGAGAAAAGTGGCGGCTCGGCTGAAGAGGCATGTAGTTGGACGATTCTCAACTTGCACCTCCTGATGGGCATAATTCTTGTTGGAAGGAAAATGAAGGAGACCAACCAAAATAAGACCTCCTCTTCTGGGAGGCCTCCAATTTTGGCAGAGTCGTTAAATAATTCTGAACAAACAGCTCGTGACTCGGATCAACGGAAGACACAGCTGCTGGTGGTCAGTTTTGATGCGACGCATCGACTGCGTCTGGGCTGCGCCATCCATCTAGCTCTACCGGTAGAGCTCATGGGCGTGGTTACTCAAAACCGCGACTGGTATCAGATAAGAATAGCCAGCTCATCACATAGATCCGCGGCTGGTGAGACTGCGTAATCACCTCTGCCGATAGTTCCATGTGAACTGTAGATGACGTTGGACACCCGTGGCCAGGAGGGTTTATCTCGACGTCTGTTCATCTTGATCAGGGCGGACAGTTCCAATATAGGTTGCCAGCTGATGGCTCTTCTGCCCGATGATACCCCTTTGTTTCATAAGATGGAGCAAATATCTCCGTCTGTGCTTCGACACGAGCCACAGCAGACAATGGCCGCCTTTGAACGGAGCGAATCAGGGGAGACGTCTCTTTGTCTTCATCAGGGTATTTTGTCGGGGTTAAATCTTCCAGGCCCCGGCTTTGCTTTCACTTTTCCAGTCTCGATGCGTCCAGGATGGGCTCCCAGGCCATTGACCTGCTCTCGCTACCATAGAAACACTCTTTGAACAGCATTGGAAAGCTGTGCCCCTGCTTTCGGTTTGACACAGCCTCCATGCGTCCAGACTGGCCTTTCGTACCGTGGCTCAACTTTCATTCACAGATTCATGCCGAAGGCCATGGCCTGGAACACAATGGCCCTGCTTCCGCTTCTACACAGCCGCCATGCGTCCAGACTGCAGACTGGCCTTTCGTACCGTGGCTCAACTTTCATTCACAGATTCATGCTCAAGGCTAGGGTCTGGAACACAATGGCCTTGCTTTCACTCATGCGCAGTCTCCTTTTGGCCCCTCAGACTCCGAACTTGCTTCTTCTGATTGAGACTCGCTCTAAACAGCGTGGTGTTCCTGTCAATACAGCTACCAAGCCACGCTGTTTAGAAAATCTTGCTGCCCAGTCCAGCCCTGGGGAATCGGAGAATCATCTCGCATAGCACCATTTGCTGATGCTGACGTTCGAGTATAACGGAGGAGTTACTCTGTGGTGTAGTTGAGAAGGTCCTGGGAGCACCATGGATAGAACGGTCACTTTGGCAAAAAGAACGCGCTCTAATTGAACAGCGACTATACCCCCTTGTATTTTCGTTTACATTCACCAAAACTCAAAGAAAAACGAAAATGTCAGTGGGTGTCGAGGCACACATCACTCTGCTCTCTTGCGGCAATGAGAATAGTCTACATGGCATTCCAGACTTTCACATGTAAACCTCGAGTAACCGAGAGCTTTTTAAATGCAGCTCTCTTTTTGGATGGTGCTTGAAATGCATAACAAGACTTGCGGTGTGGTGTGCTGCACGAGAGAGCAGGACGCCACATCGTAAAGTGCAGGACTCGGTTTGAACACTCGCAAAACTCAGTCATTATTCCCACGAGCATACAATCAGGCACTCCATGAGACCTGAAAATTCATGCTCCTCGTTTGTCGCGTTGGGCTGATCGGGCCAGTACATTCTTTGAACACACGACGCCAGACAGTAGGGGGGAACGTACAAAGACGCACGGCGTGTCCTTGAATAGCTACGAACAAGATAAGCTGCTGCTTTGTGAATCAGATGTGATAGCATTCATCTATGAACATGTGGAATATGAAACACCATGCACGTACTGGAAGCTGCATGCATGTGTCGTTTCCAGGAGGCTCCGTATTTCCACTCACTTCTCATTTCGAGCTTCATTGCCAGTCTTACTCGTGCTGACTTGGTGGGCGGCAGAGATGATGAACAGCCTGGACTCGTGGGCTCATGAAATGACAGAGTGGGGGAGTGGTGGAATAATAGAATGATAGAACCGTCTATATAATGGCTCTCTTTCTTCCTCCAGTTTGAGGTTTCATCTCTGGCCACGGACAACCTCACGAAATACCGTTCAACACACACACACACACACAGTTACTCATACACATACGCATACACACCTTCAGCCAGGGCAGTCACGACAAGTTTCTCGCACTATCACCATGCCAGACCGCCCGAACACATCTTCCTCCACCTCCTCCGAGGAGCCACTAAATGCTGAACCAGTACCCAACTGGGACGACCGCAGCCCCCTTTTCAGCATCCGGCTATGCGTAGACAACATGTCGAGCTTTCCTAGTTTAGAAGCCGATGTAAAGTCGATGTTCTGTAAGTAGCGATTGCGATTCAAAAGGAGAGTCGGGCATGTAACTAATATGTAAATGACATACAGATCCAGAGGCTCCATATCCAAGCATGATTGAAGTCCAAAAATGGCAACATGGGCCAATGTTTGGCGTTGTTTTAACGTGGGACGGAGCTCGATTCAATAATGAACCACTTAAACCCAGAGTCGTTTGGAACCTTGCTGTGCAGCATATGGGGGACTTTGATATTGTGGAGTGAGTGGAAATTAAATCATCTTTTATTTGGGACGACTACGGCATCTTGTTCCGAGGCTAACATGTTATATATAGAATAAAGTACGAGTTTCCCGACCGCCAAACACCCTGCCCCAGTGGCTGGGAGCCGATGGAGCAGGCAATCTTTCTCACACAATGGACCTGTTGAGTCAACAACAGCAACGTAGCCGAGTGGGATCCGGGTGCTCTTCTAGCTCAAGATTCAGACGTCAACTCTTGGGCACCGTGTCTACGCACGTGGCCGGCTCTCACGGCTCTCTCTTTCTCTCTCCCTCCGTGGCGGAGGCGCATGATCGGTGTACGCCAGCAAATGTTGATCAGAACGTGACGGCATATCACGTTTGCCTTTAATACGGAGCTTCCTTTCTGCGACTACATTTCGTGAGATGCCACGACTACTGCCGAGTTAATAGGCTGTTACGCCAAGATGGGGGAGAGAAAATCCGGCTGGGAAGTTTTTTTTCTTTTTCCACGTCTTGTTGGATTTCAATGGGTTGCATTTCTGTGGTTGAGATTTGGTAGACTTTAAGGGGAGATTGGTGGAATGTACGGCATGGGGTTTTTCTTCCTGGTACCTTGGGGAACGGCCCGAGCCGAAATCTCTAAGAGTGCGACCTTTTTTCTTCTGTTCTTGATGGATGTGGTTCAGGGAGTCTGGATCGAGTTTTGGAGATTAATACGACACTTGGATTGCCAACTTCAAATCACCTATTTCACTTTACACTACACTAGTAGTTGCATTTCGAATTGTGATTGATACGGTTCCGGGTCATTCATACAAAATATGCAGTTAAATGGCACAGTTACCTGCCAAGAGGAATTCTAGCATGGAGGCGAAGCCGTAGCCGTTGACTGGATGAATTGTAGTTGACGCATGTCGTCGTGCAGCCTGCAGATGTTGCCTAAACCAAGTAATAAGTGGGCGGCCCGAGTTGCCGCATCTAGATCGGGAAAATGCACCCGCAACTTTAATTGAGTCGTGCATAAATGCGCGCCCTGTGTCAACATCCCGCCAAGTTCCGTCAATGTGGAGCCTCGCGCTAGTTTGTGATGTGGTGTTCAAGGTGCGTTGACATGAGAAACCGCACGGCGGCAGTCAATATAAATACTATACCTCAGTACCGGCCAATACGCAGATGTGCCTGAAATAACTACAAAGCACAAAATTCAGTCGCTTCCGTTGAAAACGCTGCACCCCCCAGCCTACTGCCTCATCTTGCCATCTTTAATTTCCCCTTCAGTAACCCCCATCAGCCTCACAGACCCTCCACAATGGGCAGCACATCCGCCGCTCACAAAATACTGCAGTCGGCGCACGTCGCCCCCGAAATCTACAAGCTACGACCCGACTACCGCGCCCTGCTCATGGTCGTCGAGGGCATCCCCCCCGGCCCCAGCGACGACAGCAGCGAGGCCCTCCTCCTCGAAGCCGAAGCCTCGGCCAAGCACCTGCTGGCCGAGCACGCCGTCACCGAGGTCCCGCACATCGCCGCATGGCGCGAAACGTACAGGGCCTTTGGGGCGAAGCCGCAAAAGACGCGCAACAGCCTCGAGGCGCTCACCCGCCGCGCCGCAGCGGCCGGTGGCCTGCCACGCATGAACCGCCTGACGGACATGTACAACGCCGTCTCGGTGAAGCACCAGGTTCCCCTGGGCGGCGAGGACCTCGACAAGTACGACGGGGCGCCGTTTCTGACCCGCGCCAGCGGCCGGGAGGAGTTCCGCAGCCTGGCCGGCGGCGAGGCGCAGGTCGAGTGCGCCGCGCCCGGGGAGCCCGTCTGGTGCGACGATGCCGGCGTCACTTGCCGCCGCTGGAACTGGCGGCAGGGCCCGCGGACGGCGCTGACTGACGATACGACGCGCGTGCTGTTTATCCTGGATGCGCTGGGGCCGCTTTCGGATGAGGCTTTGGGGAGGGCCGCCGAGGAGCTTGCTCTGGCGTTGGGGCGGTTGTCTCCGGAGGTGCGGGTTGCGCAGAGAATGCTGAGTGCTTTGGATGCAGCCGGGGGTGGTTCGTGATGTCACTTTGTGTGAACATTGGAGGCTTGGAGGTAGAGGCTGGGAGCAGTAGTCAGCGGGTAGTCTTGACTCTTGACAATGTGGGGATCCATCACGGTGGATTCGGTGTCTCAATCTCGGATGATTGTAGATGATGTAAACCTGCTTTAAATGCCCTTGTCAATGACGTAGTTTCTCCAATATTGTCTCAAAATGAAGGTTGGACGCTTTGAATGCTTGATGTTGTGAGACCTGGAGGCACAGGCACCAGTTGACCAGTTGTGCAGCCGCAGAACTCGGTAGGAGTGGAGACCTTAGGCTACAAGCACTGTGCTTCAATGTTGCTGCACTTGAGAGCAGGTCTGGTCCGCCTACAAAGATTCAGGCCTTCCCGTGACAGCTGAACGGATTCGACTTCTTCACATATTTCTCACACAATACCATGGCCCCCACACGCATTCTCAAATTCTCCCAAAGCGAAAACGAATCATCATATGTCCTCGTCCAAGTTTCGTCAAAGGGCTCAAAGCCACTGGACCTGAAATTGGTCGGCACAGAAGGCGAGGCGCCCTACGTGTGTTCATGTGAGTGAACAGTAGCCCGCGCCTTTGTCCCCAACACTCTCGCCCATCCCATATACACGGACAAAAAAAAATACATGCAGGAACTTTACTAAATCCATCCCAGTACGGCATGACCGTGTTGCATCTCTCCGCGTCAAAAACTGCCCCGTCTCCGAAGCCGAATGGCAGACCATACTGCAGTCCGTCTTCGAGCAGCAGCCGCTTCCAGATATCCAGGCATCCGCCACCGTGCAAAGCGGATCGTCGGTGTCTCTCACCATCCGGAAACAAGTCCAAGGCATCACTGTACGTGCTTACCCCGTCTCTCACATAATTGCCAAACCTAAGTCTTGCAGCAACGTCTCGGCGCCATCACGCTCACCCACGATGGGGGCGAGGCCATCGAGCTGTTTGAATGGTGCGCCACGTCCGTCGACGCCGTCACCCAAACCAATGCAGCCGCGTCCGCGTCTGACGCCCGGGTCCGAGACCTGCAAACTGCTGTGGGTGAGCTCAAGTCCCAGCTGGATGAGCTGGTCGCCGCCAAGCAGGAGGACGAGGTGGTGCTGCTGCAAAAGTTTCGAGATTTGCTCAACGAGAAGAAGGTCAAGATTCGGGAGCAGCAGAAGATCATTACGGACTTGTCTGCGAATGACGCCCCCCGGGAAGAAGTAGACGAGGTGGACGAGGTGGACGAGGTACAGACTGCCAAGAGGGGGAGGAAGGCGCCCAAGAGAAAGGCCCAGGCTGTTGAGAATGAGTCCCCCGAGGAGGATGTCGATATGACGGCTGAGAAGGGGGAGTCGGAGGATGAGGATGCGGAGAGTACGACGGAGGCGACGGCCTCTGTGGCCAATGACGAGGACGAGGACGAGGACGAGGACGAGGACATGGACATGGACAGGACGGCGGACGAAGCGGCACGGGAGCCATTACCGCCACAAAAGACACAGGGTGCACCTCCGCCGCCGCGGGCTCTGCCGTTTCAAAAGAAGAAGCAGGCAGTCGCTGCGGATGATTCGGACGACGATGAACTATGAGGTTGGGGGCTCGGGAAGCTGCCATATCCTCGAGGGTGTATGCTAGGCATCACGAATTTCTCCCAACACATATAATTTACAAAGGTAAAAACAATATTCATGTTTGTTTTCCCACGGCAAATACTACTGTCCTATGTGGGAATTAATCGACAGCCTTGCCTTACCGCCTGTCATCCGGGCCAAATTTGTTCAACCAAAAACCACGAAAGTGATACCGGTTGCCCACCTCCGCTATCCGCGCCACCTCCTCCTGCGTGAGCTCAAACGTACCCAACTTGGCCAGATAGTCCTGCAGCCGGCCCTTATTCGAGCTCGTCGTGAGCGCAACCAGGCCCTGGTCCAAGATCCACCTCAGTCCAATCTCAGACTCGGAAACGCCATACTTGCCCGCCAGCTCCGACCACACGGCGTCAATGGGCCCGCCCTTGGCCCTCGTCAGCGGAAGCAACGGGCCGTAGCACGAAACAGCAATGTTGTGCTTCTTGTGGAAGGCGACCAGGTCGCCGTGCTGGAGGTACGGGTGGTACTCGATCTGGTTGATGGCCGGGACCACCTTGGCCGTCTGAAGGATGACCTCGACGTGCTCCTGGAGGAAGTTGGAGACGCCGATGGACTTGGCCTTGCCCGAGGCCTTGATGGCCTCGAGGTCGGCCCACTTCTGCTGCAGCTCCTCGTGCGAGGCGGCGAACCAGGGCCCGTGGAGGAGGTAGAGGTCGACGTGGTCGAGGCCCAGCTTCTGGAGGGACAGCTCGAAGGCTTCCTGCGTGGGCTTTTGCTGCTCGCCGTGCGCCTTGGTGGTGACGAAGAGCTGGCTTCTGGGGACGCCGGACGCCTTGATGGCCGCGCCGAGCTCTTCTTCGTTTCCGTACACTGGGCTCTTGTTAGTGCGTCTGGTGTGCTGGTGGGGGCGTGGCTGCGCTTGCCCTCTGCTCCATCAAGGTGGTGATATCCGAGGTCTATGGCCGTCTTGGTGATGGCGACGACGGACTGGTCGTAGCCCGAGGTGCTCTTGTAGTTGGCGGTTCCGAGGCCGTATGCGAGCTGTGATTTTATTAGTATCCAGTGGATTTGAATATCCGACAAGAGGGGTGTGGGAAGGGGGCCAGGAGAAAGAGTGAACCGTGTCATGCTCGCTGGGTACTTACCACTGGGATCTCATTGCCGTCGTTGAGCTTTAGGGTTGGTGGGAACGAGCCCTTGGAAGCTGTGTCACTTGAGGCCATGTTGTTGGACTTGTATGAGAGTAGGAGCGTGGTTTGGTAATGTAGAGCTTTTGGAGGATGAGGCTACTGATATATAGGACGAGAAGAAAATGAGCAGAGCACAGTCGCAATGTGCCAAGTCGTTGAACATATTGCGACATGATACTGACGGCTCCCCGCAACAGTGGAGGCCGGGCTAGTTATGTAACTGCCGCGCGCCAACGTCGGAACCGGAGTTAAGAACGGAAACATGGCGTGTTACAAATACAAGCCCGACTATGGAGAGGGTGACACAGTAAGTCACGCAACTCACCTTGTTTTTTTCTCTCATTTCTTCCTCTTCCTCAAGTCCGGATGCAGGTGTATGATGTGGAAATTAAGCCGATGGAGTTGATGCATGCAAGCACGGCAGGCACTGATATGATATATTGTAGGGTAAGCATCTGGTCGGAACCGACGTTGACGGCAAATGGTCATCTGGCGGATAAGTCTGGAAAAGCTTGTAAATGGCTGGGTTTCTATTACCGATGATTACTTCATCTACCTACTTATCCTCTCTAACATTTGCCTTGTATTTTCATTTTTTAATTTACTCAACTTGCTGCGCAGTGCCGCTTACACACACACGGTGCATGTCCAAACGCCCGCAATGTGGGGCTGAAATGATGTTATCCATCCGGGCCGACACCGTCGCATTGACGTCAACCCTCCAGTCTACCAGGCAACTACATAGCCACCGGACCGCAGGAGCAGCAGTCTCTGGAACATGATCCACCGCCGAGCCTTGCACTGATCCAAGCCCATCCCAAGCTCGTGCAGCAGCGAAACCCAAGGCTGAACCTCCGTCGATGCTATACCGCGCAGTTGTGCGAAGAGCTGTTCCGCGACTCCGAGCTCCGTTCATCATGGCCGTGAACCACTCGACGGCCGTAGGCGCCACGCTTCAAGACCTCCCCAAGTCGTGGCACTTTACCGAATCCCTACCGCCCGATTCGGCCTTCCCAACACCCGCCGACTCGCACAAGACACCCCGCGATCAGATCCTGCCGAGGCAAGTCCGCAACGCCCTGTTCACCTGGGTCCGGCCGGAGCAGCAGAAAGACCCGGAGCTGTTGGCCGTGAGCCCAGCCGCCCTCCGCGACATCGGCATCAAGGCCGGAGAGGACAAGACGGACGACTTTCGACAGCTTGCCGCGGGCAACAAGCTGTACGGATGGGACGAGGACAAGCTGCAGGGCGGCTACCCGTGGGCGCAGTGCTACGGCGGCTTCCAGTTTGGCCAGTGGGCCGGCCAGCTGGGCGACGGGCGCGCCATATCCCTCTTCGAGTCGCGGAACCCGGACACGGGCAAGAGGTACGAGCTGCAGCTCAAGGGCGCCGGCCTGACGCCGTACTCGCGCTTCGCCGACGGCAAGGCCGTCCTGCGCTCCAGCATCCGCGAGTTCGTCGTGTCCGAGGCCCTCAACGCCCTCGGCATACCCTCCACCCGCGCGCTGTCCCTCACCCTCCTCCCGCACTCCAAGGTTCTGCGCGAGACCGTCGAGCCGGGGGCCATTGTGCTGCGCTTCGCGGAGTCTTGGCTGCGCCTGGGCAACTTTGACATTCTGCGCGCCCGGGGCGACCGCGACTTGATACGGAGGCTGGCCACGTATGTCGCCGAGGACGTCTTTGGCGGCTGGGAGAAGCTGCCTGCGCGGCTGGAGGATCCCGAGAAGCCTGGGGAGTCGCCTGTCCCGGGGCGTGGAGTGCCGGAGAAGGAACTCCAGGGGCCTGCTGAGACGGCTGAGAATAGGTTCACCCGGCTGTATCGCGAGATTGCGCGCCGCAGCGCCAAGACGGTGGCCGCCTGGCAGGCGTACGGCTTTATGAATGGTGTTTTGGTAAGTCCGGTTGAGCGTGATGGATGACCTTGACGTCTGGCAGGTGGAACTGACTATTTTTTTTTCTTGGCAGAATACTGATAATACGTCTGTATATGGCCTCTCGATAGACTTTGGCCCGTTTGCATTCATGGACAATTTCGACCCGTCGTATACGCCAAACCACGACGATCATATGCTACGATATAGTTATAGAAATCAGCCCACCATTATTTGGTGGAATCTTGTACGATTCGGCGAGGCTGTTGGGGAGTTGATGGGCGCGGCAGGGCTTGCTGACGATGCCGCCTTCATATCGGAGGGCGTCAAGGAAGACCAGCAGGAGGAAGTCATATCACGAGCGGAGAAGCTCATCATGCAAACCGGCGATGAGTACAAGGAGGTCTTTCTGGGAGAGTACAAGAGATTGATGACGCTCAGGCTGGGCCTGCGGGAACGCAAACCCGCTGATTTTGATGAGCTACTGAGTCCGGCTCTCGACACCCTTGAAGCCCTAGAACTCGACTTCAACCACTTCTTCCGTCGACTTAGCAATGTCAAATTGGCAGAGGTGTCCTCGCCGGAAGGGAGAAGGGAAAAGGCTGCCGTCTTCTTCCACACGGAGGGACCGCCGAGTACCGTGAGTGAGGATGAGGCTCGCGACCGTATCGCGAAATGGTTGGACAAGTGGCATGCTCGCGTGGTGGAGGACTGGAAAGATGGGGAACTAGTGTCGGACGAAAAGGACCAGGAGAGAATTGAGGCCATGAAACGAGTAAATCCAAACTTCGTTCCTAGGGGCTGGGTCTTGGATGAGGTTATTCGGCGAGTCGAGAAGGAAGGAGAGCGAGATGTTCTGAACCGCATCATGCACATGGCCCTGAACCCGTTCGAAGACGGGTGGCATGGCAAGACAGTTGATGGTGTTGCATACAAAGGGGATGCCGAGGAGGAACAAAGATGGGTTGGCGAGGTTCCTCGACCGGGACGGCTCATGCAGTGCAGCTGTAGCTCATAGCGAGTTTTTCAACATATCATAGCCCTCTAAAGACACATCCCTATCCAACCACCACGACCAACTCTTGCGAGTTTCAATCTACACATATCATTGCCAAGGGTAAAGTCATTTGATGGAATGTAACGACCGGCGGTAAGAGGCAGCGCTCATCGAGATTAATTTCTCTCCCATGCTTCCATAATCGGCGTACTGAAAATTTTCTCTGGGGCACAAGATAGAGGAAGACTCGACTGAAGACATCGCGTCCACTGGTGCGGATGCGAAGCTCAAGCTCACCTACAATAAAATGTGCTCGTGTACAATTAATTTGGAAAGAGAAAAAAGAGAGCTTGCAGCTCCGCAAATTTCGGACGAAGTTTATGGTGGATTCGATTGGAGGTTCCGGCCTCAGGCATTCACCCACCGGCAGCTAGCCAATCAGAGCGCATGTAAATTAATCGGTGTTTTGTGGATCATTGCTAATGCTTCCGCTCGGCCACTTCTCTTCCAGACGTCAATGATTGAGCCTTTATTTCGCTGCAACGCCTTGCATTGTCTATTCCCTTTATTCCGTCAAGGCGACACGATGCTCCGACAGTCTCTGGCACGTTCGGCTTGGCGGACAAGCAGGCGGACCGTCAACGCCTCGCGGACCTTCGCTACCACCCCCAGACGCCAGGCGGAGGTTGAACTGACAGTTGGTGAGCAGCTTTTTGCCCTGCCCTGCCATTGACGCCCGCACACGTGCTAACGCCATGCTAGATGGAAAGAAAGTTTCGATCGAAGGTACGAGATGACTATTGTAGAAGGTCTGGCGCCAATTGTTGTTGACCCGGAGTGTAGCTGGTTCTGCCCTGATCCAAGCGTGCGAGAAAGCAGGCGTTACGATTCCTAGGTGAGTGCGGGCCCCAGGAGATGCCACCCGGTCAAGGAAGATTGCTAACGGTTGAATTAGATATTGCTACCATGAGTACGATTCCCCGTTTGATTAGCCGATGCCGAACACGAGCCCCCCCTAACAAATGTGTTACAGAAAACTCATGATTGCCGGAAACTGCCGAATGTGCCTGGTTGAGGTCGAAAAAGCCCCCAAGCCCGTGGCCTCATGTGCCTGGCCAGTGCAGCCCGGCATGGTCGTCAAGACCAACTCACCCATTACTCACAAGGCCCGGGAGGGTGTCATGGAATTCTTGCTCGCCAACCACCCGCTCGACTGCCCCATTTGCGACCAGGGAGGCGAGTGTGATCTCCAGGACCAGTCTATGCGATACGGAGCCGACCGCGGCCGATTCCACGAGATTGGCGGCAAGCGTGCCGTCGAAGACAAGAATATCGGACCGCTGATCAAGACGTCGATGAACCGATGCATCCACTGCACTCGATGTGTCCGATTTGCCAACGACATCGCTGGTGCTCCTGAGCTCGGCTCTACCGGCCGCGGCAACGACTTGCAGATTGGTACCTACCTTGAGCAGAGTCTGGATTCTGAGCTTTCTGGAAACGTCATCGACCTCTGCCCCGTCGGTGCTTTGACCTCTAAACCCTACGCCTTCCGTGCCCGACCCTGGGAGCTGAAACACACCGAGTCCATTGATGTTCTCGACGGCCTCGGTTCCAACATTCGTGTCGACTCTCGGGGTTTGGAGGTTATGCGTATTACCCCGCGTCTCAACGATGATGTGAACGAGGAATGGATCAATGACAAGACCCGATTTGCCTGCGATGGTCTCAAGACCCAGCGACTGACCATGCCTTTGATTCGTCGCGAGGGCAAGTTCGAGCCCGCTGACTGGGAAGAGGCCCTTGCTGAGGTTGCCAGGGCCTGGGCGGCCAAGAAGCCCCAGGGCAACGAGTTCAAGATCATCTCTGGTGCTTTGACCGAGGTCGAGTCCTTGGTTGTCGCCAAGGACATGGCCAACAAGCTTGGATCCGACAATCTCGCCCTCGACACTCCCACCGGTAGCCAGCCTATTGCCCACGGAGTCGATGTTCGATCCAACTATCTGTTCAACTCACGTATCTGGGGCATTGAGGAGGCCGACTGCATCCTGATTGTTGGCAGCAACCCCCGACACGAGGCCGCCGTCTTGAACGCCCGCATTCGCAAGCAGTGGCTGCGATCCGACCTCGAGATTGGTGTTGTTGGTGAGACGTGGGATTCTACCTTTGAGTTTGAGAACCTCGGAACCGACCATGCCGCCCTGAAGAAGGCCCTCGCCGGCCCCTTCGGCAAGAAGCTACAGGCTGCCAAGAGGCCCATGATTATCGTTGGCTCTGGTGTTACCGACCATGCTGATGCCAAGGCCTTCTACGAGACTGTTGGTGCCTTTGTTGAGAAGAACGCTGCAAATTTTACCACTCCTGAATGGGATGGCTACAACGTTCTGCAGAGAGAAGCTTCAAGAGCCGGTGCTTTCGAAGTTGGCTTCACGACGCCTTCAGCCGAGGTTGCCCAGACCAAGCCCAAGTTCGTCTGGTTGCTGGGTGCTGATGAGTTCAACGAGGCCGACATCCCTCAGGATGCCTTTGTAGTCTACCAGGGCCACCACGGTGACCGTGGCGCTCAGATTGCCGACATCATCCTGCCGGGCGCTGCTTACACGGAAAAGGCCGGTACTTATATCAACACCGAGGGCCGTGTCCAGACCACACGTGCTGCCACTTCTCTACCGGGCGCTTCCCGCACTGACTGGAAGATCCTCCGCGCTGCCAGTGAATTCCTGGATGTGTCTCTACCTTATGACGACCTCGCTGCTGTTCGGGACCGTATGATTGAGGTTTCACCGGCCCTGGCTGCGTATGACATTGTTGAGCCCGTTGCCCTTCGACAGCTTAGCAAGGTTCAGTTGGTGGATCAGAACAAGGGGTCAAAGGCTACTGGAGAGCCTTTGAAGAAGGTTATCGACAACTTTTATTTCACAGACGTCATCTCTAGAAGGTATGTTTGAAGTCAAATCGCTCTGATTGCTGAGTTCCAGCTGCTAACTACTTTCTTTTTCTCAGTTCACCAACCATGGCACGCTGCTCCGCGTCCAAAGCTACGGGTGACCCCAGGACAAACTTTATGGCTCCTGGAATGGAGGAAGATAAGCCCATGGGCCAGGTTGCTTATGGAGTGTAAGAAGACTCTGTCGGCTGTACCAAATTAAAAAGATTCCATTTGTCAGCTTCGGTGGTTGCTGGTGTCTCTTGTACATATATGACGGCGGGCTAGGAGAAGAGTGAGTAGTTGGGGTAAATAATTACCATATTTTCAGTACTGCGCATGTGTTTATTCTCTTCTTTCCTCTTCTTCTTTTTTCGTGATGCTCTACCAGCCGTCTCCCCATCTCGCGCCGTACCTTTACCCTTCATCAACCATAGGTCAGTCCTTGCCCCTTCCCACAAAGGCGTTTCTCGCCGCGCATCTACTCCCACCGCACGAATTACTTCTCCTCGTCGCGTTCCCGCTCCCGCTCACGCTCACGCTCCCTCCGTTCCTCCCTCTCCAGCGCCTCCTCATACCGAGCCCTCACCCTCCCGACGTGCTCCCCGAACCCCTTCAAGTCGGCCATGGTCCTGGCCACCGTCCTCAGCACCTCCCTTTCCCCCCACTCGCGGGGTCCCGAGACGAGCCAGCCCGAAAAGTCGGGCGTCCGCGGCAGCTCCCTGTCCGCGCCGGGCTCCCACGGCGCCTGCATGTTGGCGACCATGGCGGCCTTGTCCGCGGCGCTGACGACCCTGCTCCTGGGCGGGGGCAACGGCGCGCCCGCCTGCGCCGCCTCCTGGATCTCGGCGTCGCGCGACACCCGGCGGCACTCCTGCTCCGTCAGCGCGAGGATGTTGGCGCGCACGTGGGCCGAGTGCGCGTCCAGCGCGGCCATAGACTCGCGGATCTGGGCGGCGCGCGTGGCCGGCGGCGGCGTGTGGGTGAAGAAGGCGCCTGTTACGGGGACGAAGATGGCCGGCAGGAGCGTGGTGAGCGGTGGGATGTCGTTTTGGAGGCCTGCCGTGGAGGAGGGCGTTGGTGGTTTTGGGGTGGACATTTTCTTTTTCTTTTTTGGGGAATTGTATCGAGGTTTCGGTTATCTAATGGTTGGAGTGGAAGAGTTGGAGAGGACAGGAGATGAGAAGGCGTGTTGGTATGGGGAGGTAGTGATTTGGGTAGACGTGGAATCAGATGCGTTTGACGGCCGTGAGCAGCTGCGGCGGCTGTCGAGTTGCCCGTTTGATGGGAGAACTGGCTGGCGTCCGAGTTGACTTGGGTACGGGGGGACTGTTCAACATGCACAACTTCATCATGCCTGAGCTCATTTGCGTCTGGGGTTGGTAGATGGGCGACATGCGCCATGTTCCTTCTATTTGGATTTATTTCTTAGCCTTGAGCACGGCTGATAACACAATTACCTCCTGGTATAACTTGTACATGTAAATCCTCATGAGTCGTCTATTAAACAGAATAAAGATCCCACCAGACCTCTTAAAGACAGCTTACCTGGTGCTGAGCGCTAGAGGCAGATCTAGCGTTTCTGCACAAGCAGAGCCTGGTTTTGAACTGTTTGTCCACCATATATGTATTTCTGTCCTGGCGAGGGGTGGACAGAAGCGTGCCCAACGCTGGTGTTACGTCTAGGGCATGCTGGAAATGTCTACGCATTTGCGCCCCCGAGAGACGGATCTGCTAGACGTCATGGATGCCGCAGGCAGCGTGCCCGTCTCTTGATACCATCGCCCCTGGCGATGTTTGTGGCAAGCTTAAGCGTGGTGGGTTGTGCCGTCGTTGGTTATTGTAGGGAATTTCGTTCATTCACCTCGACGGCAGAATATTTCGGACATATTCTCGTATAATCTTCAGTGCAGACCGGACCAAGTCTTCCAAGCGCCTGTCCTTGCGTTTCCGCATCCATAACAAGACAATGGAAAGAATGACGCAATCCAGAAGCAAATGCTTCAGGAATATCCAGAGAAGCCAGCCAAACCACGCAGGAAAGCTTCGCTCTTTCTTTGATCGCCACTCCCTACCAGTCGAAATCTGTTCTCTTAAAGCGGCAACCTCTGCCGACAGCTTAGTAACGGCGCGCTCGACCTTTTTCTGCCATCGCGATGACTTTTGGTCTTGGCTTTCTGGCTCTCGGCTTTCTTCCACGGCATCGTCCAGGTCCATCATACGTTGAGATCGCAATTCAGCTTCGTCTTGCTCGCTCATGGGGCTCAATATTTTCATAGGGCCATCAGTGCCACTCAAAGGTTCTTGGAACGTCCTAGGGGCCTTGCTGGACGCGGGCGCCTTCGGCGATGAATCGGTTGAGCTTGGAGAGTTGTGCTTTATTTGGTTCCAAACGAACTCTAGTTCGGTGACAAGCTCGATGGCATCACTGCAATATCACATCAGTAACCTTGCCGGCGACAATGGAAATCGATACAAGAAACGTACGATGTGTTGGCATATCGGTACATAGTTTCGATAAGCGCCTCCACATATCTGCGCTTGGCTTCCGTTCGGCTCAGTCCCTTTTGCGAGTTCCAAGCATCCCACTTGTCTCTCTCCCTGTGCAATTCTTCGGCTGTGAGGAACGGCCCAGCGGTGGGTTGTTCCATGACACCATCGACATCCCCCTCCATCGCTTGCTTGTAGAGGCCATAGAGGCGGAGGCGATCGGATGGCGGCGGCCGTGATGCGCCGGTCTTGGGGATCTTCTTGACTGTGTTGAGGGCATGGACAAACACACGATCTGATGGCAGCAACGGCTCTGATTAGCATCCTGGTAGGGCCAATATCTGCGGCGTGGTGGTTGATAAACAGTAAGTTGACGTACCTACGGAGTCGGCCATGGTGACACTGATTGGCCCAGCGTCTGCCGCACCTGGATATCTATATTGTATGCGTTTTGTTGAGCAGCTCAGCTAGTTGAATCGGCAAGGTGCTTTTGATGGCTGGTTTGTATGGCAATTCGATATGCCATTCGCTGCTATCGACGCGCCGATAAGGATGGTGGATGGTGGACAGCAGACTAGGTTAGGCGGCGGACCGTGGGAAAGATTGGACTGAAAAGAGGAGGAAATGACAGGCGGGCGGAAATTGCAAGGCTTTCGCGCCTCAACGAGAATGTCTTTGTTGCCGTCGCGTGTCCAATCGAGACAGAATGAAATTTGCGTCTACCGCGATGCTGAGGAAGGCCATTTGATGGATGGGCGAGCAGAGTGGCGGGAAGGTCGATCAATTGATGGCTGTCAACCGAGGCCCCTGGAGCCGCCACTGCGGAAGCAGGTGGGTTGTGGATGGACGCCCAAAAGCACGACATGAGCAGACTGGCAGGTGCAGCCTGCGATTTGGTCCCGACCGAGGCTAGAGATGGATGGTGTGTCAACGGGTGACCAGACTGGTCCTAATTCGGCACCCGGTCACGTCTAATTGGTCCGTTCCCCGGACTTCTTTACCTTTCGCGTTATCGACATGGTTTCTAGAATGACAAAGGCCGTGTGCTTCGGATATCTTGGACAGTTTCCGGAGGTGGCGGGCGCTCTGCATTTATTGTCTAACCTGTGAGTAAATGGTTCACCGTGAGTCGATCCGTGGCCCTGTTGCGGTGCCACTGCTGCGAAGAGCAAGGCGGATTCCCAATTCCGTTACGGTCGCCATGCCATATGTATTTACGGAATACAGCACCCCATGTCATATCTCAGTGAGGCTCTTGCATTTTGTGTCAGTGTACCAGACATCCTGGAGCATTTAGACAGTGGAGATGCAAATGGCGACGTGGATGGTAGGCAGACGTTTCCCGCACGGGATAGCACTAGTCCGAGGCGACAAACACACATCGACTCGAGCAGACGCAAGTGGCGGATGATTGAATATATCGCTGCGGTTCATCATATGCATTTTCTGAACAGATCTGGCAAGTACCTGACAAACTGTGTTATGAGCAAAGGAGAAAACGGAATGGCCCTTTTGAAACCCATGCAGTAGGGGAAAAATCCTCATTTCCCCCGTACTGAATGTTCCGCCCTGTTCTCTTCTCCTATGATAACTCCCCTTTGTGCGATTGTACAAAATGATCGGTAACCGTTATGGGTATCATGACAAGCAAATTCTATCTACACCGCAGACATCGTTCCACAATCAAGATATTGTGTCCCCTTCCTCGGAAGCCTTGGTGGCCTCCATGGCCTCCATAAACGCAGCCTTCTTTGCCACGTACGGTTTGAGGAGCTTCTTATTTTCCAGCGCCTGTTGCGCTGCTTTCTGTGCCGCTTCTTTTTTCCCAAGAGCCGTCCCCGTGCCGAGGAGCTTGTTTCTTTCACCCCACCCATCCAAATACGCACCGACTGTGTAGAGAGGCAAGCCAAGGTCCCTATCTCTGCCCATTCTGGGCATGTCCTCGTACCGAACGAGAACGCCTTTAACTCCAATCTCTATACGCAGCTTCTCTTTGGCGCTTAGATTGCTGTGAGACGACATGTCTTTGGTGCTTCCCTGCTCTGTGGAATTGGGTTGAGTAGCCATCTTGCGTTTTCTGTCGTTGGCCACAATTTGGTCCTTGATGGTCCTGGCCCAAAGCAATTTGAGCCAAGATGCTGTGTTGGCCATGCCGTTCTCAGGGTCAGAAATAATAGCGGCGGCAACATATGCCTCAAACATGTCGGCTTGGGTCTTGATAATATCCTTGTCACTCGAACTTCCGCGACCGCGTGAAATGTCCTTCTTCAAGTCACCTGGTAGCTGAGCCTTGGATTCTAAGCCGTACTCGCGAAAGTACTGTGCCAGAGTTTTGTTTCGGATCAGTATTTCTCTCAGTTGAGAACATCTTCCAACAGGAGTGGAGGTGAATGTCTGGTAGATCAAGCTAGATGCAATCAATTCCAAGTAGGCATCACCTAGCCATTCGAGACGTTCATAGCCGCGGAGAGGGTCACTCAGACCTGGATGCAGGAAAACCGTCGCTTCAAGCTCCGGGTCTAAAATCTTGGGAATACAAGGCAGACTTGAAGGTATATCTGAAGGAAGCCAAGGCGTCAATCCAAACATGGCTGGGATAGGACCAGGTATTCTGATGTTTGGTGCCACATTTTCGTCGGTAGAACCGCTATATCTTTTCCTTTTGCTCTCTTGGCTGGCATTATCATCTGCGGGTCTCTTCGACATGTTTTCAAAAACAAAGGGTAAGGATGATGAAGCTTTGAAATTTACTTTTAAGAAAATTATCGAAGACATTGTAGCAAGGCAACCTTGACAAACTATGAGGTGGCCCCACATTGAGGTATGTAGCCAATCAGAAGTGATGGATCACGTGCGCCTTCAGTCCAGTGTCAAAATATGTAGTTACATGTTGATGTGTAAATGTGTATGTTGGTCATGTATTCGTGTTTGTATATATTTTTTGAATTCCTATTAATGTATTGCCTACGGAGTACGGAATACGTCTCTGCAATTTCCTAGTCAATTGTTCTGCCTCTGGAGCAATCGAGTTTTTTGAACCGAAATTCTGGATAAATCAAGTAATTAGTGGGTCCAAGCAACAGGGCAAAGCTCCCTGCCAACGTCAACTCTGAACTTGACCAGAAAAGTTGCATGACGGCCTCTGCAATTATAAAGTATTACGAAGATGAGTGTACCACGAGCCCGGTTACTAGACTTAATGAAGGTTTGATTCACTATATCCAACTCATCTGCGACTACCCATCTGACATTTTGCAGGCGCAATGCCAGGTCTTCGCGACGACATACAACCCGGAGGGCGTGCGCATGGGCAACAAGGTCCTGCGGCAGCGATTAAAAGGCCCGGCCCTCGCCGCCTACTATCCGAGAAAGGTTGCTACCATCAAGGACGTGAAACGAGAGTTTGGACCTGTATTAGCAACGTGGGATGAGGCCGAAGAGGACCGATTTGAATACATTGAAGAGTACGCTGCACGAACGACTCAGACCCTGAATGTAACGACAACGATTCTGACCTATAATGTGTAGGTTGAAGCAGCGGGGAAAGAGCGCGCCAAAAAAGAAGAATGGCCCTCCTGGTACGTACAGACTTCGATTGAGAGGGCAGAGCCTATGCTAACGTACTGAGCAGCCGAGAAGCCGGGCAGGAAGCGATAAAACGACCGGCTGGCGGCACTGGAGGGTCATATGCGAGAATGACGTGAGCGCATAAACAGAGGCGTCGTTTTGCGATTTGAAAATAACTTCAACGAGAATCCTGATACCATCTAGATGGCCTCCATTCGTGGGGTGTGTATATTATACTGTACGAATTACCCATACATTTTCGATCGTGCGAATAAAATACGAATATATCGAGAGCATCGTGACGTGTGCCGAATCCTCAAGTTAATAGAACGCGGGTGGGAAATATTAAAACACTGGGCTATGCGAAATGAAGTTGGTATTTTGACAGTGTTGATGCTGGCCGTGTCGTGAAGTATGTTAAAATAGTTGTGGCGCTAACAGGCCGAAGCTAGTACGAACAGCATGAGAAGTACTCTTTGCGGGATGATTAGGTCTGGAGCTGACCTATAAGATATTGAGGTGATTGATTCACTCCCATGATCGTTTGTTGGGTCTCATGGCGTAAGCAACTGTTGCATTCTACTAAAGTACTGAAGTTGTTTGACCTCTTCTGCACCGACGCTTTGAGCACCTGCCGGCATCAGTTCGCCAGGTGTAAGCAGCTGCAGCTCATAGCAGTCGGCCTGCCCTAGCGTTAACTTAAAGCTCGGTCGAGTCTACTGGATTTGCCTAAACCTCCCCTCGTCTGTCTCCGGTCCTCCGTCTTGCCCTTCCACTTCCACTTTCACTTCCACGATTCTTCCGCCTCTCTGTCCCTCCACTCTCCCTCCCCGGCGACGAGGCTCGCTAGTATCTCGTTTGCCGCCATATATCTTGCCTTTTCTTCTAATCTGCACGCCGGAAATGACCCAGGCCATCTTCACACTAGCCGGCACTTGCCTTTTTCTCTGTCAGGTCGCTCTTTCAAGCTCGTCGTCAATCTAGCATATTAGTGCAGCCATCTGTCGTCACACCATCTTTTTCCTTTCTCTTCCTTTTGTTCCCCATCTCTTCTGATTTCTTCGCACCACTGTCTTGGTTTTCCCACATCACCTCTGTCTGCGATCTAACAGGTCTGTTTTTTGAGTGAAATCTTCATAATCTTTATTGCCTGTGTCCGCTTCAAATAGGCACAGTCGTTTGTTATTTATTTCTTTTCAATACTTTCCAGCGTTGTGGCTGCAGTACGCTCCAACATGGTCTCCTCCGAATCACGCGGTTCACCTCCTCAGCGAACCGGCAGCATTCCAGTCATCACTTTCCAGGAAGAACCCATGAGCACAAGTGGTGATCGACCATCACCCGTGAGCCAAGCCGGTGTAAGTATCTTGCTGATCCTCCTGTTGTTTGCCCTCTACGCGGGGCGTCCTCTTCTATGCAGCATCCTATTCACCCAAATCCCCTTGACAGCCACGAACACGTCTGATGTGGTCTACAGGACAACACGCCATTCACCACTGGTCAGAAGAATATCACTGTGCTTGCCACGTCGAAGCTGATTAATCAAGCCGTTCCCAAGGTGAGTTGATCACATGTTGCTGTCCATATCCAACAACTCACTAACGAGACAAAATACAGCAGTCAACAACTGAAGGATCCTCCAACATGAGCGAAGCTTACCCCATGGACAAGCTCCTAGCAAGGCTATCGGAACAGCAAGCCGTGCTCAGCCAGCAGAACGAGGCACTCAAATCTGGAGATGACGAGGGAAACATGTGCCAGCGACTCCCTGGACACACATCCTCCAGTAACTCCCTGCCAATCACACCAGCCACGGATGGTTTCTCGTCTACCGCACCAAGCACCCGTCCAGCCAGTGCTACTCTTGAAGAAGCTCGTTCCGACTCTGATGAAGTTCTTCGCCTAAAGCTTCAGCTAGCACAAGCCCAGAACAAAATATCCAAGTTAGATCAGGAATTGTCTATCCGCACAATCAAAGGTGAATCGGAAATGCAGGCTATCAACGCAGCTCGAGGCATGGACACAACCGCTCGTGACAGCGTCTGGATGGCAACAGATGATGACCATTCAGACACCAGTGAAGCCATGTCTACTACTACCTTCACTCGTACCAAGGGCATTTGGGGAACCACCAAAGGATCATTTGCTGGCAATGTTCTTCAAGGCGCCGCAGCTGAGCCACAGCCAGGAACCTGGCTGGGAGGACGAGGGTTCAACCAAAGTTTCACCGACGGGAGCTCGTCCTACCAAGCGATGGAAGGATATCGTGGAGATCGCCTAAGCCCCGATCCGGATCTTGTCATGCGTCAATCCGCAACCAGACGACCCAACCGGTACGATCATCGAGCCAGTAACTCTCACCACTTTGCCAGTGTCGGTTACAACCCTGTGAATGGACCAATGGCCCAATTTGAAGCAATTGGGGGTCCAATGGCTTCTGCAAATATGCATCCGCCTCCTGGACTTGGCGCCATGGGGATGGGAGCTTATGCTGGGTACCAGCAACAGCCCGTCGGTACCCCACTGTCTCCTCATGCATCCGAGTTTACATCCAAGACTCACTGGAAGAACGAAGTAAGTACATAGCCATCTCCATACATCCTCTCACACCACCCGCTCATTCTGGCCAAAGGGACTTCCGACCGAGGGCCCGACCTATTTGCCTCCAACTGAACCTCTCAACTATCGTCGTCTTCTCGATCGTAATGTGACGTGCAATTGGAAATACATAGTCGATAAGATTGTGTGCAATAATGATCAACAAGCCTCCATATTCTTACAGCAAAAGCTAAAAGTTGGCACACCGGACCAGAAATACGACATTGTTGAAGCTATTGTGGCCCAAGCTTATCCTCTGATGGTAAACAGATTTGGCAATTTCTTAGTTCAGAGATGCTTTGAGCACGGAACCCCTGAGCAGGTGATTAACATTGCCCGGGCTATCCGTGGCAATACTCTCAACTTATCCATGGACCCCTTTGGATGCCATGTAGTCCAAAAGGCATTCGATTCGGTCCCCGAAGAGTACAAGGCAATCATGGTTCACGAGCTTCTCCGCCGCATCCCTGAAACAGTTATACATCGATATGCTTGTCATGTATGGCAGAAACTCTTTGAGCTTCGATGGACTGAATCTCCACCTCAAATTATGAAATACGTTAATGAAGCTTTGCGCGGCATGTGGCATGAAGTAGCCCTGGGAGAAACTGGCAGCTTGGTTGTTCAAAATATCTTCGAGAATTGTTTGGAGGAAGACAAGGTAAGTGTGTTTGTAGTAGCTCGACGAGCATCGCTTGCCTTCGTTTTCGCTAACTCTCTCACAGCGCCCCTGCATTGAGGAAGTCCTCGCCAACATCGATATTGTTGCGCATGGACAATTCGGAAACTGGTGTATCCAACACATCTGCGAACATGGCGCACCGCCAGACCGTGGCAGGGCTGTTGATCACGTCATTCGTTACGCCGCTGAGTACAGCACTGATCAATTTGCTTCCAAGGTGGTAGAGAAGTGTTTGAAGATTGGGAACAGCGAGTTCTTGGGTCGTTATCTGGACCGGGTCTGTGAAGGCCGCTTGGACCGGACTCGAATTCCGCTGATTGACATTGCGAGTGACCAGTATGGCAATTATCTTGTGCAGTGGATTCTTAACAATGCTACACCTCAGCACCGCGAGATGGTGGCGGCCCACATTCGAAAGCATATGGTTTCTCTCCGGGGCTCCAAGTTTGGATCCCGAGTTGGCATGCTCTGCACCAACCACGCCGTCACTACGCGGCCTGGACCTGGAGTTGGGCCTGGTATGGGTAGTCGTATGGGTCCTGGACCACGATTTGCAGGGGCATATCGTTAGACAAACCTTTGTGTGTGTAGTCGGATCTTGAAGTCATTATCGCCTTTGCATAATATAAGAATTTTGCTTTACGACTTTTAGCCTAATGTGACGATGTCTGCTGTAGTGTAGTCCTGCTAATACTCGCCAAAGCTTGATGTATGGTATTTTCCTTGCAGCTACGTAATAAGCCCATCCATTAAGTATGCTCTTTAAAATAAGTTTTGCCTCAGTTTTTCAACCCAGGTTCATGGCTTGAATTGCGGTCATCGAGACCATATGAGCAAACAAAAAGAAAGAAAGAAAAGGCCAGCCAGTCCTTAACGCCTTGTTCACCATGCAAAATAATGGTTTAAACAAAATATAAAGGATACGCGCCGCATTAGAACGTTATGAAGCTACGGGATCAGCTGCCGATGTTGCCTCAGCAGTCTCGGTGTCTAGTTGAGGAAACTCGGTGTCGAGAGCTTTGGGAAGATTCACTTCCGGGGCCATCTGAGGGTTGTCCCGTTCCCAGGGCTTCTTGGGAGCTGCCCGAGAACCAACGGGTTTGACTGACTGTGACGAAGGATGAGTCTGAGCTTCTTGCCAGGCGAGCACAAGTGATTTTACGAAAATTGGCTCAAGACTTACCGGATCCCTGACAACGGTATTGGGAATCTGCTTTATCCCGGGAATGGGCTTCCCTTCCTGCAACAGCTTGAGCATCTCGGCAAAGCCCATCGGGTAGCTGGGTTGGTCGCCGGTCGCATTCTCAGCTGCGGCTTTACGGTCGACGTAGAGATCGGCCTTGGGGGCGGCTTGTTGCCAGGGGAGCGGAGGTTCAGAGGGCGAGGGCGCGGAAGGGGAGCGGTATTCTTCCGGTAGGACTTGGGGCGGTGTGTGGCCCGGGTGTCTGGACAGCCAGTCTTTGTATTGGGCAAAGTCGATTTGGACGCCTATGCGCTGGGCGTAGTAGAAGATGCGGGCGTGGACGGCCATGTCTGACGGGGAGCCGGGTGTGTCTGGGGGGCCGAGGATGGCGGACAGACCGGACTGGCGGTGTTAACAAGCTTGTCGGCGGGAGAGGGGGTTGATTGGATGAACGAGAAGGGGGAAGGGCAGCGTACGAGGAACATTGTGTCTTTTGTCCAGGGATATGCGTCGAAGGCTTGGAATATAGACTCTTCATCTTTGAGGGAGCGGATGCGGTCGGCGCCCGGGAGAGAGGGCTCGGGCTGTGCCATTTGGCGGGGCCGTAGGTGGTTGAGGTGAGATTGGGTGAGGAATGGGTGTGAAATTGAGTCGAGGTCGGGATGGGAAATATGAGATGAGCTTGTGAGGAACAGATGTGAGTGTGAAAGCTGTGTGTGTGTGACTGTGTATGGTGTGGCATGGACAGCATGTGATGGATGATGGGAGGGTGGCGGGGCGGCAAAATCTGGGGTCTGGCATATGCGAGAGAAAGTGCTCGCATGAGCTCGGGACGCTCTGATGGGTGTCATGGTGCCGTATGTATGAATTCAGAAAGTCAGGCGGGGTACGGAGTATTAGTATCCGTTTATTCATTCACTTGCGAATAGCATCCTTTTTGCGTTTTAGGCCATGAGTCGGCTCTCAGTTCACCTTGTCACGTGCAGCCTGCGTTGGGCATCGTCATGTGAGAGGTTTAGGGACAAGGACGAGTGAGCCCGTTCCATCCGACCTCGCCGGGGACAAAGGGCGCCATGTGCTACAGGTGTTTTGGTGATGGACATAGTGTTCATGTTTCCAACATTGAAGCTACCCAAGTATTGAAACAAGCCATGAGCGTTTGATGGTCCAAACCGATTCCAAGGGACAGAGACCAGGGACTTTGACGGACGGGGCTGCCGAGACGTGGCACTAGGAACTGCTGGCTGCTTGGCCAATCCCGTGCCGACTTTTCCCCCAACTGCATCACGAACACCATCGACACTCCCTCGCATTACTGGCTAGCTTAAATGTAGACGTTCCTCCACCACGTCAACTACCGCCGCCACCTCCTACGCCCTTGTCTGCCCGCGAACTCTCCTCCGCCCTACCCCATCCACGGAGTACCGAGTGCATCGAGACGTAGCGGCATCAGCATTTCGTCGGCCAGCCACAGTCGCTGCCTTCAGACCTCGCACGACTGGGTGGTCTCGACATTGACCAACTTCAAAACCCACGTCTCTCCATCGCCATCTCTCCATTCCAGTCGCCCAGATGCACCGTGCGGCCTTGAGAGCGTTCCGGACGACTTCCACCTGCTTCAGCGCCGTCCGCAACCTCTCCCGCACCTCACGAGCATCCCACCGAGCTCTCTTCTCCGCCGCCAGCCAAGCCGCCCATCGCCAGCCCGTCGCTAATGAGCCTCTGAGGTCCTCCATGTACTTCCGCCGCCTGCCCGTCGCCCTGGTCTCCAGTATTGTTGTGGGATACGGCGCCTGGTACTCGTACAACTCGACTGGCGGCGTTCCCGGCGGACCATCCGTCGCGCGAAGCTTCACTTCCACCCAGGGTTCCAGCGATGCCCTGCCGACCAGGACTGTTCTCGTTGTCGGCGCAGACGAGCTTCGACAGGGCACCATTGTGGGGGAAGGGCCTATCCTTAAGCCCACAGCTGACGGGCGCCGAATCGTCGAGATGTTGACCCCGGAGCAAGCTACCGAGAAGTTGAGGGCGCTGGAGCAGTCATTCTCTGTGAACAGGGGGCAGGGCGTGACGAGGTACGACCTCGTCCAGTTGCCGAGTAATGATCCCATCGAGGACGATCATGCCGAAAAGATTGTTCAAGTTCCCAGCCGGTCTGCCGGTGCCGAGGGACAGAGCAGTGACTGGATGTTCTGGGGTGTCTTTGACGGCCATTCGTGAGTTTTGCCCATTTGCCTACCCTTATTTCTTGATGCTGATTCATCCCTAGCGGCTGGACAACATCAGCAACTCTTCGCGAGAGCTTAATCAGCTACGTCGCCCGCGAACTCAACGAGACGTACAAATCCGCCAAAAGCAACTCCCCCACCGACGAAGCCATCGACTCGGCCATCAAGACCGGCTTCACCCGCCTGGACCACGAAATCGTTCACAAAAGCGTGGAGAAGGTGTTCAAAGCCAGTTCCAAAGCCGTAGCCGCCGAGCTCCTCCAGCCCGCCCTCTCAGGCTCGTGCGCCCTGCTCTCCTTCTACGACACTCGCAGCAACCTCCTCCGGGTAGCATGCACCGGTGACTCGCGCGCCGTCCTCGGCCGCCGCTCAGAATCCGGCAAATGGACTGCCACCGCGCTCTCCGAGGACCAGACGGGCGGCAACCCCAGCGAGGCGGCACGCATGCGCAAGGAGCACCCCGGCGAGGACGGCGTTGTCCGCAACGGCCGCGTCCTCGGGGGCCTCGAGCCAACCCGCGCCTTTGGCGACGCCGTCTACAAATGGTCCCGCGACGTGGCCGGTAAACTGCGCGCGTCCTTCTTCGGCCGCAGCCCCTCCCCCTTGCTCAAAACACCCCCCTACGTCACCGCCGAGCCCGTCGTCACCACCACCAAGGTCAACCCCGAAAAGGGCGACTTCCTGGTCCTCGCCACCGACGGCCTCTGGGAAATGCTCACCAACGAAGAAGTCGTCGGCCTCGTGGGCCAATGGATAGAGAGCCAGGCCTCGTCGTCCGGCTCGTCAACGTCTCAGTTCGAAGCGGCGTGGTCCAAAATCTTTGGCTCCCAGAACAAGCCGCTTCCCGTGGAACAGTCCAAGACGGGAGCAAACGACGGCCAGCGGACGCCCATTCGTCTCCAGCAGTGGGGCATCAACCCCGACGCCAAAGACCGCTTCACCGTCAAGGATAAGAACGTCGCTACGCACTTGGTTAGGAATGCCCTGGGGGGGCACAACGACGAGCAAGTGAGGGCTTTGCTTACTCTTCCCTCACCGTTTTCCAGAAGATATCGGTATGTGTTAATTTTCCCTTGTCCCCCCCCCTTTTTTTTTTTTTTGCGCCTTGTTCCTCATATGTAGATGTATCTGTATATGGTGCAAGTACACACAGTTCATGGGCATGTGCTAACCTGTCCAAGGGATGACTTGACGGTCCAGGTAATTTTCTTCGGGGACGGCCTCAAAACAGGCGAGGTTACGATAAATCTCGATGCTACCGCCGAAACGGCCGAGCCCAAGCCCAAGCTGTGATTGTCTTTAGCGGCGTCTTTATTTCTACATAATGGGCGGTGACATGGAATATTGATGGATGATTCAGGCATCTGACGTGGCTTAGCGTGTATATTGTAGCGGATCAAAACGGAAACTTAGAGCGCAGGAGCTTGTATTTTAGTCAACTGGTCCCTACGGATAGAGTAGGGTGCAAATAATAAAGGCATTTAATGGCCATATTTGCGGCATCTTCCAATGAGGGATTCAAGAATTTTCACCGCTGATGAATGTTTTTTAAATTGTTTGGACTTCTCTGAGTATCCCTTTCCTAAGCTAAATGCCAGACACGAGCCCAAGGTGCAATAATGACCTGGTATTAGGACGAGGGAGCGACTGGCTCTGGGACCTGGTGGGCTAGACACCTTCCTCTGGCCAAAGTAAGCTTTCTGTTCCATAAGCTGTGGAGCATTTTTGACAAATACGCTACCCAGACTATGATGAGGATGATTTGTCATGACAGCACCGAATAGATGCAGGCCATTACTATTGAATTTGTCGCCCATGGCCTCTGTGGCTATGACCTGCGGAACATGTGAGAAGAGCGATGCAAAAGGGATTGGAAGGGCCGTACCAGTCCCATGTTTGAAAACGTTGATGACTGCTACGTTATTTAGAACGGCATCTTGTGTCCTGAATATGTGTGCTTCCAAAGCGATCCAAAGGACTCAAAAACAGTTACAATGATAATCTCCACAGCCAAGGAGCGACAAGGACACAATCTTGATTACATCGGCCGCATTGGAGTCTTGGAACCTCTTCAGCAACAATCTTTGGCATAGCCTCTTAGAAGTGCTGTCAGAGGTCAGAATGCAAAACAAACAGAGATACTGATCGACATCAACGTACCAATACTTGCGGCGGTGAATGCAAACAGTCCAATAGATATCAACTGAATAGTTCGTAGTGTAGGTTGGTTTCACCGAAATATCGACATGCCGCTCCCGGCCGCTGCATGTCTTGCCATAGATACTGCGTCATGAGACGGTATATAAAGGAAACCAGACACCCTTCCCCTTGTGTTGTTGCGCAAACGGAGACAGTGGCGCCGTTGATAAACCGCAGGTGTCTAGGTATTTCCGCTGCGGCGGCGAGGTTTGCGACGAAAGGGCCGGTCAAAAAGAAGCGGATACATGAGAAACACCCACGTAGGTGTCATAGCACGAGCGGAAAGCTCTCCGTCTTCGTATTAGCCACGTTCATTCCATCTGCTATTGCTGCAACGGCGTACAAAGTTGTCCACGGGTCAAGGTACAAGCCAGTGCTGGGGACCGCACCCAAGCCAGCGTCCATCGTCCGCAACAGCCAGGTTCCACAATGTGGAACTCCATACTGGCATATCTTTATGAGAATGATGGCGATTCTGCTTTGATAAGTTCAAGTCAAATTATTCGGGTTGGAAATTCTCTCGGGACAAAGTGATTATGCGAGTGTGGCGCTGGTAAGAGGAATATGCAACTTGACAGTCCGCTGGCTTGCAAACTCTAGTATGAAGAGCAATTCGACTTGGTCGGTGAATGAGTGTGTGAAGCTCCCGGGCCGCCTACAAAAGCGTGGCGAAATTAAGATACAATCGAGAAGCAAGTACGATATTCAATGTACAAAACGAGATACCGACAATAACGTCCCAGCGCGTTTGATGGCAGACTATGGCCCTCTTAGCGCTTGCTTCACGTTGGAGCCTCCCAGAATTCCTCACCGTAATGAAGTACATTGGCCATACCACCTGTAGGCATAGTCTACGTGCATGGTTAGCGAGACGGCAGATGTGTAAGGTTTATCATGTCATACCATTGTAAAATAGGCCCATTGATAGTATGCAATCCGGTATTCGAGAGTTGCTTTACCACGAGGTTGTAATTTCTCAGACTTTCTCATCGTATGAGATGCGTGGTGCTGAGTAGCCAGCGTCATACCTGAATGAAATGAATCCATTACGGGAGTGACCTCATTGCCAGATGACTGTGAGACACAAGACTGCCCTGTTGGGGCCGACCACGGCGTTGGAACTGCCAACTGCGACCGTTGAATGCTGGACACGTTTGAAGACGAATTAAAGAGGCCAAGCTGGTTCACATGATGAGGAGACTCATGCCCGCACCGAGGTAAGTCGCATGATGTATTGGTGTTGCTCACCACTTGGGCGTGGTCGGAGGCCATGTTGCCGGGTCCAAATCCTCGGGTCTTCGGGCCAACAGCTTGGAGACAAAATAGAGGACGACGAGCAAGCTAGGTTCAGCATGGGAGAATGCGAGGTTAATATAGACCAAGTGGGTGAGAAAGACGATATGATGCAAGACGATGGAGCCGACATTGGCCAGAGGCATAATGCCTGGTTTCTAGGCGGGCGCGAAAAGCCCTGGATGCTGCCGACGTCCTGTTCTCTAGCATCGACTTGTCCGGGTTGGGTTGCTCTCCAGGCCACACGTCGCCACGTCCGTTCCACGCCGAAGGGTGATGCGTGTACGACGAGTAGATGACAGGGCGAGGATTGCCTGTATCGTCTTCTCGTGGCGGAGTAAAACAGTGTGGCGTTACAAGTGCCCGGCAACAGCACACATCGGCCAAACGAAGCAGAAAGTACCAGCAAGCTGGAGCAATGCCAAAGATGCAAGTAATGAATATGTCGCGATGGAAGGGCGCAAGAACAAAGTCGAGACCAAAACGACCCCTTTGTTGGTTGAGTGTTTGATGGTCAGATGTGGGGCACAAGGACAGGTCGAGATTGAAGCCCAGTGTTACAGACACCGGATTGGAGTTGCTCTGGTCGCAAGCATCAGACTCGGTCTGTCTTCTAGAAGGCTCAATGGGAATGTATTGATACCAGGTATTCAGGAGTGCAATTTGATGCAAGGTATGGGGTAGTAGTGCTTTAGGTTAAAAGTGATGGTGGAGCGAGCAAAGGGAGGTTTGCCAGTGTTAAAAACGTAAGAAAAGGCCATTCGCCGATTGGAAGAGCCAGGACTTGCATGTGCATGACGGCTTGACGGCTTGACGGCTGGCGACCCAAGACCGAAAGACCAGGCCACGAGAAATTATCATTGAACATTGAAGCTTGAGGCCAATTTGCAGCTGCGGCCCAGTAGACGACCAGTCTGGTAGCTACAATCGGCAGCAAGCTATTGACGGGACCTCATGGTCTCTTGTCCAACCCGACACTTGCTTCACCTCCAAGACTCCAACCCTCAAACACAACGCAAGGAACCAGACAGCCGTGCTGACACTCAGGCTATTTTATGACATGTAATTTGCAAACAAATGATAATTGACTATTGCCACCGCTATTTTTGTGCATCTAATCAAGTTCACTCCCGCATCAAATTGCTTCCAGCGTTCAATTCGTTATCGCGCCACTGAGTCACTGCTTTCGGCGTTGCACGTGACGGTCGTCATTCCCCCCGGTATGTTCCACTTGTCAGCTTGTCAGCTTGTCCGCTTGTCCCACTCCGCGCACTACGTCCGGACTCCTCTCCGGATAAGCCACGCAGCAACTTCCACCCAAATCACAACTGTGACGGCATGCGCACGATTGTGCGATTGGGTTGCGGCGTTGTTTTCCATGTTTGCCGTTGAGCTCCTGTTCCTGTGCTTCTTCTAGCCGTTGGAGTTTTATGTCGTCGACTTATCCCGTCACCGGTCCACAATCGCGTTTGCGACGCTCATCACATCAAGCAGAGAGAGCTCTTGGCATGCGCCCATCGACAGGCACGACGAAACCGCATACAACTACGACCCTAATACCACAATGACCTTCACAAATGCCCCCGTAACCAGACTGCTGGTCCTCGGGCTCGTCGCGGCCTCCATAGGCGCCAGCATGCTCGATGTCAAGCATTACTTCTACATTTCCATCGACACGCACCTGTGGAAGTATAGACAGTTTTGGAGGTTACTCGCCTACCAGCTGTGCTATACCAACTCAACCGAAGTACTATTTGCCGCCATGTCACTATACAACCTGAGAGTTGTCGAGCGCATGTGGGGGTCGAGGAAATACGCCGTGAGTAATCCTCAACCCATCATCTTGTTCACGTTGCAACAAGACTAACAGGACAACCAGTCATTCGTCGTCGTCTGTTTCCTCTTCACCGCCGTCATTCCTCCCCTGATCATGGCCGTATTGCGCCCGCTGTCGGCAGGCTTCTTCAACTACATGCCCGCAGGCCCGACCCCCATCGTCTTTGCCATACTGGCACAGTACCACTCCATGGTTCCCCACGTGTACAAATATCGAGTGGCAACGTCACAAAACACCACAACGGGCGGCTCCTCCGGTGTGACTCTGTCGGATAAATCATACCAGTACGCTATTGCCCTCCATTTATCGTTGCTACAGTGGCCCGGGTCGGTGCTTGGTGCCTTTGTTGGTTGGACAGTGGGAAACGCTTGGCGAGGAGGTTTGATGCCAGCTTCATTGGTGACGTGGCGACTGCCGGGTTGGATGGTGGGGCTTCGATCTCACAGGCGCAGTGCCGAATTTGAAGGTTTGCGAAGACGTCTGGAAGGGGAAAACGGCTCGGCTACCGGTGCGTCGTCTGGTGTTCAGGGCTCCAGCCAGCAAGCGGAACGAAGAAGAACAATGGGGCAACAGATTGTGGACCAGTTCCGTGAGGCATTATAGAATGTATGATGGTGATTATCTGTAGATGGTCTTGCATATTTTACAGCGGCGTCAGCAAGCACTTGCATTGTCATAATCAATTTCTGTTGGTACAGGCTATGTGTCTCTTCCAAGCCGCCATTCCTCGCATCAGCCTGCTGTCGGTATTTGACCCATGGGCCAGAGGCGGTCTCACTGTCACTAGTCTTGATTCCACAATGATACTCGTAGCATGATCTCAACGAGTCAGTGACTGGCTGGCCCATGGTGGCAATCGACCGAGTACGTACGTACATACACTGCACACGGTATGAGTACTTGCCATATTCTGGTTCACACCCCCGATGGAACGAACATGCCGTGCATAACCAGGCACAGGCACGTGTCTGAAGGGATCGCGGATCGCCAGGATACAGGGATAATGCCAGCCCAATTGGAGCGTTGGGTTTGACCTCGCCTCGTCGCTGAGCCCAGCTCGGACCCCGGTCATTGTGGCTGCTCGATCAGCTATAATTAATTTACCAATCTGAGGTGTTGGGAAATTAGGACAAAAATTTTCGAGCATCGATCTTTAGATTCTCGGGCCTTGTTGTTTGATGCACTGCTCCGTGCAGAAAGAGAGACTTCTCGTTGCTGGCTGGCCGGGTTGGGGGGACGTTTCCGAACATCTCATCGTATTGCTGGGAAGGGCAAGCATGTTGGCTTTTTGGAACAGCCGAGGGCTTCTAGCCACGGATGAGGGCCATGGAGGAGTACATACACAGGGTGTAGTAAAGTTCATTGAAGCTCGGTATTGTCCATGACCTCCGTGTCTTGGCAAGCAACACGGCGGCAGACGCGCAGAACGACGGGTTGGCGGAACGGGCTGCGTGATGCCAAGTGTTATGCACCAATGAATGGCTTGAAGCTGCGGCGAGCGTGAGTTTCTGATGGGCGGTTGAAATGGCAATGGGTTCCTTCACACGGCTGGGTCGACGGCCAGAGATGGGGGATGTGCGCGTCCCAGCGGAAACACCCCTGTGTGTCCATGCGGCGCTGGGAGGGCAAAATGGCAGAAGTCTCGGGCTGAGACGCAGAATTCCTTTGTGTGTGTCCCTTCATTACGAGAGAAGGCCATGATTGTCTCGTAGTATTGTCTGAGAGCGTCGCAGATGCACGCATGTGCTCCGTACTCCGTAGTCGGTACGGAGTGGAAGCACAGAAAAAGAAAGCAACGAGACCAGACATCACCAGGGTGCAGATGGTAGTAATGTCGAGCCAATTCAATGTCTGGTTGCATTGATCAAATGTGTTGCCCCCGTGCCAGTTCCTGTGGTGCCCTGGTGTGCCTGTCTGAGCAGTTACGTCAACCGCCCACCAGCCCGTCAGCCCGTCAGCCTGTCAGCCCCAGCCTGCGCCGCCAATTGCAGGCTCAGCCAGCGCTGTGGCTGCATCAATCAATTGATGGGTCCAGCCGTCAAGTTCAATGTTTGGTCCGCCCAGGTGCCGGGCCCTGGAGGTCCCTGGCCCCCGCTCCCAGCCGCGCTCCCGCCTATCGTGTGGCTTTGCATCCCCCGAATCTGACCCAATCTGGACACCAGCTTTGACACTAGCGTTGACACAAGCAGCAGCGACATGGGCAAGGCCTCCTTTTCCAGTCTCCCAAACCCCAGGTCAAAGTCCAACCTCCCAACCCCAAGCCATCGTGCCACGGCCCTTTCCTGCCATCCTGCGCTTCTCCTCGCTTGCCTGTACCATCACCACCTTGCTGAGCTTCATTTTTTTTTTTTTTTTGGATTACTGTACGCCTGTGCTTAGACCCTACGACCCTGCCGACACGCGACCACCCGGCCTCCTATCTCTGCGCTTTGGCCTCTCTCTCTTTGATCAACAAAGCTATCGCGACTTGCTGCCAACACAACACAAAAAGACAAACTTTGACTTCTCAGTACCTTGCATCACACCGGGACCAGCAGACTCTATGGCGAGTTAAACTGGCTTGTTCCTTTTCCCGCAACCTGGTCCACTCCATTTTCTTTGTTCTTCTCTCTTAATGTGCTCATGAATATCCACGGACTGGAGGATTGAAACAATACGATTAATACTATGAACGGCTACCCGACGGGTAGAGCCCCATATGATTACGGGGCCCCCAATCTGCTGTCCCATAATGTAAATCCTACCGACAAACCGGAAGGTTATGCACAGGATGGTAATGCGAATGGATTCGCGCAGGATGCGCCACGGCACCAAGTAAGACGTTGAGATGGGACACAACAGTTGTCCCTACCCAATGACTTGGCTGGGGAAACACTTGTCAGAGGAATATTGTGCTAACACATGACAGGCTTCGGGCCCGAATTCGACACCACGGTCAGCGCGCGTCGACTTGAAAGACCCAATTCAGGTCCATCTGCTCACCGAGACGGCTCTTTCCGACAGCAAGGGATACGAGATTTTGTCACAAGAGGAGGTGGACGAGCTGAAAAAGCACGCTGCGCTACTCACCCAGCGCGTAGAGACCACAAGATCCAACCTCGCCATCCAATCCAAATACCGAGATGCCACGGCGTCCATGGCTCGGCTCAACGCTCCTGGCTTAAATGACGAGCAGCGCAACCGGGAAGCTGAGCGTGAGAGAATTGAGAACGAGCGGAAGTGTGATGAACTGGCTGCAGAACTTCTGAACTTGGAAAAGCGACTGTTGATACCTCATCGGAAAATCGTAGAGCATACCGCAGCCATCCTCCAACTAACCCACAAGGCGAGCAGGAAAAAGGCTGCACCGCAGAATGGACAGCTTATCAACGGTATACCTGGAAGTCCTGAAAGCCTATATACCTACTCGCACAGCAGAAATAGTCTCGATCAGGTCGGCGATGAGACATACTTCGATGATCCGAGCGCCTACCAGCTCGATGGAATGGATCGACCAAGGAAGAATGTTATTGAAATTCCTCTCAAGTCGCCAGTTCGTGAACAGAACCAGCTTCGGGTTGAGATGGACCGTATGCGTGAGGAGAATATCCATTTACGGTCTCAAACCGATGGCCTGTTGAAGAGGCTTCAAAGCCTCAATGCGTCGCTGCGTGACACTATTGTTCGATTTAACCCAGAGATCAACCAGACGTATGATGAGCCGCCTCAAGTTTCTGCAGCCCCAGACATCAAACTCGCAGACTTGCTCAAAACTCAGATTGAGTATCTAGAGAGCGGTCTAGTTGCCGTCCAGGCCGAGCAAGACTCGTTCGCCGGCGGAATTCAAATGGGAGAGCGTCTTGAGGCCATGAACCTCCAGCTACGAGACCTCCTCATGACGTCTGATCCTCACTACACGCCAACACCACTGCCATTAGACTCCGATGTCAACGGGCAAATGGCTTACCTAGAAGATTCAATTCGAGCTGTCGACTCCCACATGGCGCGCGCCAACTCTTCACCTAAGGCAAATGATGGAACTGGCCCAGTGCTAACTACTCTTTGGGATTCGATGCAAAAGGGCATCGTAGAGGCCAAGCAGCGTCAGGATGAACGCAAGAGAAGTCAGATCGAAAGGGGCATTACAGAGGACGATATGGACATGTCCGACGACGAAGACTTCGATACAACCAAGCCGTACTCTCTAGACACATTCGCCGACAGGGTGCAGCGCATACATGCGCGAACCATCACTCTACGAGACCAAAAGTACGTGCTCAAGCGGCAGATCAAGCAGCAGCGGGAGCTTAACAAGTCGGACGGCGAAAAGGACAAGGAGCTGGAACGCAAACAGAGGGAACTCGAAGAAAGCCGGCAGCAGTTCAACCGCTCTGAAAAGGACCGCAAGGATGCTCAAGAGCAGCTATCCAACATAATGGCTGACTTTGAGAAGGCCAGGGAGGCAGCGGACCGTGCTGGAACTGTCACCCTTGAGCTTGAAGAGCGCAAGGCCAAGATCACCCAGCTCGAGAAGAGCCTCAAGGCCACCCAAGCCAGCCTGGCAGCCGCAGAATCCGGAACAAAGGGGTCCGAAAGCAAACTCTCCGCAATCAATGCTCAGATTGAGGAGCTCACTGAAGGAAAGAACGTAGCAGAGACAACTATCCAAAGCCTACGCGACGAATTGTCGGCCAAGAAACAGGAGATTGACGACACAAAGAAAAAGATTGATGACCTGGAATCGGAAATGGTTGATCTTAAACTCGATCTGACGGTTGCAAAAGCCGAACTGGACGGTGCTTACGGGTCCCGTGCAGAACGTGCGGAGCGTGCAGCAGATATCGCAGCCCTGAGGGAGGACGGCAAGATCAAAAAGCTCAAGGAGGAGATCAAGAGGCTTCAAGGGGAGATGAAAGAACTTGGAGGAAAGGAAAAGGAACTAAGGAAAGAGCTTCAGGGTATGACGGACGAGTGCCAAAGAATCACCAGCGAATCTGTCGGATTAACGGGCGAGCTGGACGATGCTCTGAGGGCTAAAGACAAGCTCAAAGAGGAGCTCCACAGTACCCAGGAGAAGATGGCGAAACTACAAGAAGACCTGGACAACGAGCGACTCAAGATCCCCAACGACGGGTCCAGGCCAGGAGCTGGTGCATCGGTTCTGAGTGAGCGATTTAGGGCGACAATGCGGGAAGAACGCAAGAGATTCCAGGACGACCTAAAGGTGCGTACAAAACTACACTCGTCGCTGTGGAGGGGATAGAAAGGGAATGCTAACAGTTGTACAGGACGAACGCCTCAGGTACCGCAAGTTGGAAGAAGAGCTCAGCAAACTAAAGCGCACCTTGGGGCCTGGCAAAAGTCCTCTAAGTCCACGGTAAAAAAAAAACAAGTTGCACTGCATGTTCTTCACAGTCCATTTTGTATATTTTTTTTTCGTCTCCCCAACAATTTTGGCCCTCAATATGGCCTTTGGGGTTTCTTGCATACTGCACCATCGACATTCTGACAATGTCGCTCTTGGATATGTAAATTGAAAAAGACATACACTCACTCACACAATAACCGGGACACAAAGCAGCATTTGGCAATTCGCAGAGTGCGTATACAAACTTATGTCTGGATTCATACACTACACTTTGTACATAGCACGGCATTGGAGCCGACTTCTACCGCCATTTTTTTTTTCCCTTTCAGAAGCATGGAGAAGGGACAGTGCGTCAGTATATTATTTTCACGCCCTGCTCTGGGTTACGTATTAAAGTCATGACGGGGCGAAACATTAAAGAGAAGGGCGATTGGGGAAAAGGAGGAGTCTTATTGGGCCTTTTTTTTTTGGTTTTTGGTTTTTGCTCATTCCTCTTTTCTTCTTTATATATATACATGTCTATATCAGGTGGCAAGGACATTGGAAAAGGGTATTCTTAGCGATAGGCATATACGTGTCTGATAGTCCTGTACGGTCCATGCCATGTGGCTGGTTGTGCTTGGTTCCTTGTTGGCCCAGCTGTGTTTAGCCAACGCCATCCATCTTTTTCCACCTGGCGTAGCCACGATTGTCCATTACTTGACCTGTCGCTGTGGCGATGCTTCTTCCATGTACCTGCTACTCCAACAGGCGCAGCCGTGACATTACCTGCCGTACACAGGTCGTTCACTGGGACTTCAACTGGGTTGGTTGCGGCGTCTGCTTATAGTGAAATCGTTATTGCTCGCCTATATAGCCTAGAGAATATAATACGTACAAGCATAACGCATACAAGGTAAAGTGCCGCATGCGGCCGCAACGATAAATGTACAGAACAGAACACAGAAATCTTCAGTTCATCGGGCCTCAGAGGGTCACGGGGTATATAGGTACAAAGGAGAAAAGGAAATTTCACGGGATAACCTCGACCCTGGGGTTGTAGCTGAATGGCGTTTTTTGGGGGGCATCTACACAGCAATGCTACTGCTCTGTAGTGCCTCCCATTCCCGAGACCCTACAACCTGGACATCACAGCCAAGTGCTGATCCAGTCTTTATCTTGCCATCTGGCCCAGGGAGCCGTATCCGCAGCTGCGCAGCTGGGTTCCGAAGAAGGCTCTTGCCGGCATCGGGTGTGCGTAGCATCGATGACTTTCGAAGAACGGAGCGTTGCCAGGCATTCCAGGCAGCAAAGTCTTCCATTTGCTTAGCGGCGAGATATTGAGGTGTTGACTTGGCAGGCTTCCACGCCAGTTTGTCCTTCGGCAGTGTGCCAAAATCAAACATCCTGGACGCTGTGGCCATCTTGACGAGTTCGCCCAAGACATCCTTGCCTTCTGCGACGACGAGTGCGCTGCGTTGTTCTCTGGTACTTGTAGGTTTCTTGAGCGGCTCTGCCAGCCAGTCGTAATTCTGCTGTTCAGTCATTCGTGCCCGATGGTTGTCTTCTCGCAAGTATCGCACTGCTGATTGTAGGCCTTCAATGTTCTTCTTCAGGGCGTCCATCTCGCGAGCAGTTGCCACTGCCCGCTCTTGGCCGGCCTTCATGCCAGCCGCATCCGCACCATCTGCATAGGCTCGGCTGTCGCTTGCAATCTTCTTCCATTTGTCACGCTCAGACTCGAGACCCTTGAGCTCTCGATCTTGTTTCTCGATGTCCTCTTTGAGAATGGTGACTTGTTCACCGGACGCCTCGAGTTGCTTCTGGAGACTGCTAATGCGTTCAACATTAGTCTGAGCATCGCGCATGCGTGACTCGAGTGTGTCAATCTTGAGAACAGCAGTGCTGAGGTGCTCATCTCGCTGAGCAATTGTTCTCCGAGCTTCGTTGTGTTCCTCCCTGAGGCGCCGCAGCTCTTCTTCGGCGTCGGCAGGTACTGTCTTGAGCACCTTGAGCTCTTGAGACCGCAGTTTCCACGGCGCTGGGTGAACGTCAAACTCTTCCGTCTGGTCGAGGTCCGTTGCCAGAGCAGCCACGTCGTTGATCTGGCCAGTCACTATGCGCAGCTTGGAAAAGTACGCAGAGAACATTTCGGACTCGGAGGCAGAGGTAGCCTCCAATACAGCTTGGTGAACGGCGCTCTGAATCTCGCCGTACGTGAACGGCTCCACCCGCCCTTCATCCTGGGTAAGCAGCAAGTGGACGTGGTTGCCAATAGCTCGGGCTATGTTTGCCAGCTCTCGGCTGTTATGCTCGCATTGCTCAAAAACCGGTTTCGTATCCGGAAGTAGTGAGAGCGAGCGGGTCTTCAAATCCTCCAAGGCACGAACCGCTTTACCAGCAATGACCTTGGTGCTTCTTGTTTGTGTGATGACCATGTCAAACTTTTTCGCAAAGAGCTGGCTCATCTCATCCTCTTCAGCTTCAGAAGAAATGGCGCGCTGAACCATGACTCTTGTTGCATTAAAGGCTATTGCAGCCGAGTCGAGGTGGCTTTGCACAACTAAAGACGACATGTATACATAGTCTGCAAAATTGGGAAGGCCATTGGAGATATGCAACTCTGCCAAATGTGACATGAGGGCAATTGTTCGCTGCAGCTCTTCGGCACACTTCTTTTCCTTGAGATCATCACGACGAAGACCATCAATCCAGCTGTTCAACGCGCGCTCAACGGGCTCGAGCTCGAGCAAGGAGTTCTGATATGCCGAGAACTGCTCAGTGGTGCAGTGACTAATGTCGTTGATGAAGCGGTCACACACTGCCGCCACCCACACGAGCTTGTCCACTGCGTCACATCCAGCAAGTAAGTCATCTTCGTGGCCGGGTTGGGGCTGCCCATTGATACGCTCTTTGATAAGTCCGTTGACGAGATTTGCCTTGAATGCCAATCTTCGGAACCGAAGCAGTGCAAGAACCGAATCCTGGTCTTCACGGTACGTGTCGGGGAGAAATAGCTTGACAATCTCGAGATGTTGCTCTGCTTCCTGGGCATCGAGGTGGCGAAGCTCCAAATCGATTGTCTTGACTTGTGCCTTTGCGACGGAAATCTGGAGCTTCATGTTCAAATCCATCATGGCTCTTGAGCGATCATTCAGTTTCTCCGATTCGCCTTCGGTCACCGCCTGTGAGGCTCTCATGTCATCCAAATCAGCCTGCAAGCTTTCCACAAGTTCTCGGAATCGCAATATCGTGTGCGCCCTATCGTCAAGCTCCCCTTGTTGTCTTCCAGCCCTCTGCACTTGTTCCGAAATGATAGTGTCTCTAATGTCCAACTCTTCCTGCATCTGCTTCTCCAACTGCACATGATTAGCTTCTAATTCATCGTCAATCTCCTTGAGAGTCTCAAGCTCTGTAATCTCGAGTTTGAGCTTTTCTATCATTGAAGACATGTCCATGTTTTGCTCAGACAATTCTTCAATCATACTTTGGGCCCCAAGAGCGTCGTTAAGTTGTTCCTTAAGCTGTTCAACGACCTGTTCAGATCGGATCAGTTTCTCTTTAGTCAAATCGTGATGTTCCTTGACTGGCCCGAGCTCCTTGATGTCTTCCTCGAGCCCAGCGATCTGATCCCGCAGTTCCTTCTCTTGGTCTTGTGTTATGTCGCGCAACCTTATCAAGGCCTCACGCAGCCGCTCATTGGTGCTCTCCATCTGCATCCAGCCGGCGCTGGCGCGTTCTTCCGGTGACATTCCTTTGCAATAATCAGAGTTCTCGGCTTCAAGAAGGTCAACCTTGAGCTCCAGCTCTTCTGTTTTCAGTTTCAGCGCCTCTACCTGCGACTGCGAGTCTTCAAGATCCAACTCGGCGATCTGCCGGTTGACTACTGACAGTTCAAGCTCGGCCTCGAGATCTGCTTGCTCCTTTTCAATTGATATAAATCTGGCTTCCGCTTCCTTCATCTGTTTTCGCAGCTCAGCGTTCTCTTGTTGCTGGGGTTGGTATTTTTGTTGGAGCTTCTGGATGATGCCTTCAAACTTGTCTCGTTCACTTTGAACCCTATCCAGTTGGTTTAGCTTGTCCCTGTCCTCGAGGCGCTTACGTTCAAGCACTTTGAGCTTCGCTTTCAAATCCTCATTTTCGCGATTCAAGGCGGAATTCGGAGCAGATCTTTGGGTTGTGACAGCTGCAGTTGTTCGTTTCGACAGTGGAGGAGTAGACGACGTTCCAGGAGACGTAGCAGCGGCAATTTTTTCGAGAGCTTTTGCCCTCCCTGCCACTGGACTCGTAGGCTGCGGTGAGAGAATCTCCCCATCACTCTTAATGGGAGAACCTGGACCAGCATCATCGGCTGAGCCACTATCACGCCCCGCTTGTGAATCGGTCGACGGCCGACGGCCAGAGTCTGGTCGTGAAACAGTGCGCATAGATTGGGGGGGACGGGCTCCGCTGACAGATCTTGCATGAACTCCGCCGACGCGGGCTGTTGTAGAAGATATTGACGATACTCGTGCTGTTCGCGGAGCAGGGACGGTCGGCGGTCCCATTGGAGTTCGCTGTCCACTAGCGGATGTTCTTGCTCTGGCGGCTCCAACCGCAGATGTTGATGGAACTCGTGCATTTGATGGCGTGCCTGTTCGAGAAGCAGAGGCACTGGATGCGGCGCTGAGCTGCTTTGTTGGAGACTTTGCGGGAGACTACACCATGGCTGTTAGCGAGGTCGAACGTCGGAATTGGGGCTCCTATCCGTACCCTCACAAGACTAGTAGGACGAGACTTGGGAACTGGACTGGGACTGGGAGCGTTCAAACTCCTCCGCTTGGCTAGCGCAACATCCCCGCTGGGAGCAGCCTTCACTGATGCCGGATGAAAGCTGCTCGGGCGCGCTGGTTTGCGGCCAACGGGCTTGGTACTTGGAGCCTGTGCAATAATTGTCGCCATCATAGGCTTGACAAACATGCCGTAGCCCGCGGGGCAATCAAAGTACCTGACTCCCTGAACGCTGCCATCATTCTTTCCAGTCTTGTCCTCGAGTTCAACGCCAATCCACTCCCCAACCTGGAAGTTGGTCTGGCCGGCAAATCGAACCGTAGCCTTGCGACCGTCGCTCAGCTGGACTATCTGGCCAGGCTTAAAGTCCGGCATTATGAATGAGAAGATAGGCGTAGGAGCATTGTGGTGCCAAAGCCCGCGGAGTTGGAACGCTGGTGGTAATGGCGATGGTGGTGGTGGCGACGACTTGAAGCTGTCGATACTATCAATATGTCGCCAGGGGTTGATGGCCACATGCAGTGTGCAGAAGTGGCACCGAGTCTGGTGGAACAAAACAGGCCGGCTGCACATGGCAACTGTGGGGGACGCGTCTGTAAGAGTAGACGCGCCACACCGGGCCTTTCTTAGTGGCTGCAAGCCCACAGAGTCGCTGTTGCTGTTTAAGTGGCTCCGCCTGCCTTTCATCTGCAGTGCTGCCTCACATTTGAGGCTTCCATGATTGTTCCTGGCTTGGCCCGCCATCTGAAACCACGCGCGTTCATCAACCCGTTCTGGGCCACACAATCATTCGTTGATGACATCTGGCAGAGTGGCGTTCAAGCGCCTCGACCGACCAGCGAGTTTACCAAGTCAAGACGCAGCCTGGGCCATGTCGCTGTGTATTTACTTACACGCATCTACGTTCGCAATTCGACAGACGGCACAATGACCGGTTGGACGGCACCCCAAAACGAGTCCTTCAATACTACAACTGTCTGGTGCAAGACAACCATGTGCCCGCAAGGTGCTTGCACAAGCAATCTTCCTTCTCCTCATGTCCACATGCCCATGGATGGCATTCAATCCTCTGCTCTCGTGGCTTCTTGACGCCACTACACAACCGCCATTTTTCTCTTCATAATATGGTGGCGCTCCTTCCGACGACAACACCGACGGATCAAACTGAATCATGTCTCCAGCTCTCACAGACTCAGTCTCGGGAGAAGGCCTCCCTCATCCATTCCATCACCTCAAAGGCCATCCTGCGCTCTGTTGCTTCATCCAAGCCTTGCCCGGTCAATACTCTTACAGAGATCAGTCCCATATTTCTCGAGATGTCGACAACGCCTGGCTTGGCAGCATCGTCCTGACTTTCTTGTATATGCACAACCAGATCAGGATTGGCAGTTCCCCGCCAAAGACTGGCCGTCCATTGCCAATGGTCTACAGGGCTGTATCTGTCCGACATGGTCATGGCAGAAGCATACTTGTCTGAAATGGTCAGACTGAAACCACCCTTCACCAAAGCAACCGGCATTTTTGGCGCAGCCGTTGGACGTCTCCCATCATCTGGCGGAGTGCATACCTCAGTCAACGGAGCTTGCACCACCTTTGAATCCTTCTCCTGGTCTTGGTCTTGAATAGTGCCTCCAGCACGTCCGCCTGTGACGTGATAGGCAATCTGCTTTGACTTTTGCCGCCAAGATAAAATGGTATCAAAGTATTCTGAGAGCAGACTGTCCACGGCAGCACCATCATTCCCTTGATCAGTTTCAGCAGAGGTCTTAGTCGATCTCCCTTCCGCCAGACCAGCTTCATTTGACCATACTTTAAGGGCCACATCTCCGCCTGCCGCCAAGGCTTTCTCTATAGACACACCAACCTCATCAAGAAGCCCTTTGCTTGCGTTGCCTTCAACGGCGATGAACACCCCTCGCCTGTCACGATGTGGCCCATGCTGACCTTCTGGAGGCAACACCCGTGTAATGGTGGACAAAATGCCTAGCTTCTGGCTCAAGTTTGGTTTCTTCATCGCCATTGTCTCTTGGCTGATCGAGTGTGGCTTCCTCGTCGGTGAGACATTTAATCTCGCTGACGGTATGTCTGCATGCCTACTTTCCACCCCTGGCGACCTCGAAGGCGAGGGAGGAATTGACGTTTGAAGGGGCGGCAACCGAAGAGATTCGTCAAAGCCACTGTGTCGACGACCCAGAGGCTCATTGTAGGACCCTGGAGGCCGCAGAGGCGGTGGCATAGGACCGCTCTGTGACCTCGGAAGGCTGGCCAGGTCTGGCAATGTCGTCCCGACGTAATGCCTCACCCGACCAGTAGTGCCCTCCGGCAGTGTGCGGCTCAAATCCGGGGGTGCAGGTGGTCTGGTAGTGTATGCCCCGGCTGTTCCAGCGATGACATGGTACCCGCCTACACCATTCGCACGTCGCCGTTTGATCTCAGGAGAACTCGGCTCACTTTTTTCAACGTCCCGAACAGGCGGCAGCTGGTGGGTGAACGGCAGCCCACTGGTCGGGGATTGCTCAAAGCTCGATCGACGAGACAAGGCAGCCGTGTCTGGCCGCCTTAACCCTGGCTGAGGCTGGGACGCCAGTGTGAAATTTCCAGCTGGTGAGGTTGAATACGGCGTCGAAGGTGTCCTTGGTGTTGAAATGGAACGGCCATGGCATTTCGGGCATCGACCATGCTCATCCGATGGTGATGTGCTCGTCCAGGTGCTTTGATTCTTGGCACTCCTTCGAGGCTGGTATCGGTAATTTGGATACTGATGCTGGTGGCGCTGCTTCTCCTCTTCAGCCAGCTTCTTCCAGTTGTCCTTGACATCTTCACTTTCGTGTTTCCACTTGTCTCCAATAATTTTGGATATTTCTGGATTCGAAAGCTTGGGGTTTTCGGCGGTGACTTGTGACTGATGGTGTTGGCGATACAAAATGAATGCTGAGACGGAACAAGTTAGTTAGCCATCACACAGCTTTCATTGCGGGAGCAGAAGTCGTCAAACACAAGTGTCTATTGTTGACTTATCCCGTGATAACATTGCTGCTCAGGATACTCCCAAGCAAGCCTCCCGAAGCGCCAGGGAGAGCCTAAGAAATCTGTGGCAAAATGTGACTGCTTGCAAGTTCACTCACCATTTCTTGGTCTGGGTATCTTGGGTGCCGGGGTACACAGACATATTATATCGCGGGGGCCATCTTGACTAGAAGCACCAACATTGAGTGGCTCAAACATGCCGTGGTTGGCATCCGCAGTGTTGATGGCCGACGCCCTTTTTCTCCCCGAGCCCGACCTAAAGGGGCTAGGAGATTGTCTCCCGTCTGATGCCAGGGTAAAGCCTCCGCTATTCCTGAAGGGCCTCTGGAGACTTATGTGAGGATGAAGAGAAGCACTCACGGTTTCCATATCTCGAGTAGCGAAAGACAGTACTTCGGTCATGGTGCGGCGAATGGGGGCAAACGACGGTGAGAAAAAGGGGGGGTGCAAGGATGATCACCCAGTTGCGTCCCAGCTTACACCAAACCCCGAGCTGTGAGGTTTTTTCGGGTTCGTGATGTAATTCACGGATGTGAAAGATGAAAATATGAGCAAACGGCCAAGACGCAGAGCCAGGACGTCTAGGGATAATAAAGAATGGGGAGGGAGCATACTCGAAATTCGGAGTGGTGGGAAAGGCTGTTGCCAGAGAGAATATTCGCTGGTATTCTTGCACTCTGGACGAGCGTCAGGCCTACCACAGTTGACAATGAGAACTGGCTCGCCGACAACCCGCCTTTGGATAAGCTCAAGGCTGGCTGGCTTTGGCCGCCATTATCTGGCTCGACAGCGAAGCAGTCTGAGCCAGTGGGAACTCGTACATGTCTCGGGAGACCGCCAATGTGGATTTGGCAGCCAGCCCCGGTTGTGCCAGAAGGTTTCGATCGTCTGTCAGATCGGATCCAGGCAGAGCTTATTCCTTTGTCCGGCCAGCAGAACCCTACAAACATCTACGGATCCCCCGTCCTAGACTGTCGGCACTTCATCCATCGTTCTTGCTCTTCGTTTTAGGGTTCTACCAAGAAACCGGTAGCGGAAAGGTGCCAGGGACTATCAACGGTTATGAACAAGTTCCCAGCACCGAAGATAATCAAGAAAAGACACACCTACATGCTTTCGTCTTGTCACATCGGCTGTAGCGGCCAAGTCCCAACATGCTTGACATCCTAGCACGGCCTGCCTGCCCATGAGGTCTCTCTCTCGCCTCTTTCTCTCTCTCTCTCTCTCTTTCGGCTCTATGTGTGTGTTGAATCAGAGGCTTTCACTACGCCATCCACAGTTGCCGCCGTGTGGCTTTCTGGACATGAAGACCTCCTCCACCCCGTACCCGCCCCAACCTCACCCAAGGGCGACAATGACCAAGCCCAGTACCCCCCACAGGAATGTAAGTTAGATGGCGTCTGGAATGCCCAATGCCTGAGACAAAGACGACGGGCCATCCGAACTCGACTCAACATATTCCTGCACGTGATACTGAATCTGCGCCAACTCTGGACGATCCAACTCTGCAAGTGTGGCCCCCGGTCACTCGTGGAAGGTTGGAAGGTTGGGGCTGCGTGGAGATGGTGTGATGATGATGCGGATGTGTGTATGAGGTGTGTCTGGTGCTTTGGGGGGCCACCAGGCAGGCACCCAAGCTGGTGGTGGTGGTCCATCTTACACAGTCCCCTGGATGTCTCGGCCTCGCAGGCAACGTCGTAGACGATGCCTCGCAGAAGAATGGTCTGCAATGCCATTACTCAGGAAAGAAGCTGGGAGCCAATGAATCCATATTCAACAAGATGGGGGCCAGCAAGTCTCGTAGCATTTTGATCCTGTCTTGCATGGCTTGTGCCTGGGTCACTTGTTGCCTGCACAACTGTATCGAGACGTTTATTCCTTGGTTTTTTTCACCATCCCCTCCGCCCTTCTCGTGTTCTCCAATACGTACACTTCTTTTTTAGTAGTCATTCCTTGTTACCTATAAAAACCAGCAGTAACAATGGGGCAAAGATAACAAGCGTGATGTGAAAGGTGACGGAAAACAAAAAGCCAAAATCAAGCCCTATCCCGGCGCCATCTCTCCATCTCCAGTAGTAAACACAAAAAGTAAAATCCAGTTCGTTTTGACTTTCCCCTCTAAAAATCTAGACAACACGGCAACTAGCAGCGGCTATTGGATGCAACTCCCACTGACTGAAGGAAGAAAAAAAAAAATTTGAACCTCAACAAAATTTCACACTACGAGATGTAGTCACGTCCAGCTTCGCTGCTCAATAGCGAAGCGCTACGGCGAGCGTCGAGGAACAGGTCTTCGCACTCGCCAACGTCTTGGACGTCAATCTGGGAGCGGCCGTTGGCTTTTGCAAGAATGCTGTTGTGTTGTTTTGTCAGCGACAATGTCTCAGACACAAATCCACGCCCGCCGAGGAAACGATGCCGACGGACCACTCACGTCCTCGCCCCATGTACCACTCGGCACTAGAGCATCTCGGCCGGGGGGGAAGGGGGGGGAGAGAAACAAGAGGGAAGGAAGAAAGCGGCTGCCTAAGCAGGGGTTCTTCACGAAACAAGAAAAAAAGGAAAAACAAAGGAGTACAAGCAAAAAAGAAAAAAAGGGCCAAGCTGCATACCTTGCCGGGGTCAGTAGCTGCAAGCAATACCGAAGGCTAATGCGCACGCCATGGTCCGAGATCTTGTCTATAGCCGCATCCGTGATGGCGACGCCCTCGGTGGAGGCTCGTATCCGCACAATCTGCTTGATCTCGTCGGCTTGATAAGGGGCGGTAGGAATAATGAGCAGCCGCGCGAGAAAGTCGGTTGGAATGCCGTGGGCAGCGACAATGTCGTCAGTGCCTCTTATTGTGCACATTCCGCGATTTGACGCCAGGACCACAATCGGCGCAATCGGCGATTCCAGAGCCCGGTTGAGGTAGGTGAAGCATTCTACGTCAAGCATGTGCGCCTACGGACGATGCGGTCAGTATTTGTCAATGGAGGGGGGTGGGGAGGGGGTTTATTATTCTCCCCCATGGTCGCCCTTGAGGTTGTTCCAGAAAAAGTGAAACATGGGAACTAGGAGAGAATGGAGGAGCCAGGGACGAGAATGGAATTGTGCCGACTTACTTCGTCAATGAAGAGCACGCCCGGAACGAGTTCAGCCACGCCTTGGTCGATGTACTTGCTGACCACTTTGTTGATTTCGGCGCGTAGTTTCTCCGTAATCTCAGTCATTTTGGGCTTCATGAGCTGGCCCATCATGCTCATGATGTCCTGACCGCCTTGCGGTCTGGCGTTGGCCACGTCCAGGTCGTGTAGAGTCACGTCCTGCACGATTTCCTTCTTCTTGTGCACCTCGCCCTTGGGGATGGGCACGTACTCCTCGGCCTCGAGGTCAAACTCGGTCGCGTAGGCGTCCGACCTGCCCACCCGCTTGCAGGCGCCCGTGTTGGCCTCGATGTAGATGACGTCGCCGACCGTCACCCTCTCCTTCTGGATCGCCTCGTAGATGCTGGGGTCGAGGCGGAGCTTCTTCTGCCCCTTGGCGCTCTTGAGCCCGATGAGCAGCGTGCTAATGGTCTTGCCGTAGCCGCCCAGCGGGTTCTCGGCCTCCTCCGGCGTGAGCTCCGTGACCTCGCCCTCGTAGACCTCCTTGGTCTCCCTGACCTTGAGGCCGATTGCCCTCCGGAAGTTCTCCATGAGCACCTCCGTCTTCTTGACTTCGGTCGAGTAGATTTCGCTGCCGACAATGGGGCAGAACGGGATCTTGGTTCCCAACTCCTGGCTGACGGCGAGCGCGAGCGCCGTCTTTCCCGTGCCAGGTCCTCCCGCGAGAAGCACCCCTCTGCCAGCCATCTTGTGAGACCGAATCAGATCGACCACGACGCCGCACGACTGTTGACAGAAGAAGACACGTTAGCAAGCCCCATCACCGGCCCTTCAAAGGAGAGCGTGTAAAAAAAAGGAGTGTGTCATCAGTACCTCTCGGGCCGGAACTTGGCCTACAAATCCAGCCGCATTCTTCTCCGCAAACCCATCAGACTTCAGCCCAAGTCCCCTGATATGTGTATGAGCTGCCGTGCGGTTGTCCCGCTTGTTGCCCTTGACTTCGCTGATCTGGACCATTTTGGCGGTTTGGCGATTACCGATGCCCAGGGAACAACAGTCCTTCGTCGTCGATTGAAAAAAAACGAAAATGCCGTTTTACCCGCGTTCACTTTGGGGGAGCTTCTAAAAAGCGTTTTTCATGCTCCGGAGGGCGCGAAATCGATGGGGAACGTTGTCGATTCGTTGGTGTTTTGGTATTGCTTTTCCGATTTCGAATCTTTTTTCCGCGCCCAGCCTTACAGCTCCCCGTTTGCTAGAGGCGTCGCGACGTGACTGCTAGTTTTACCATCACGTGACGTGGTCCCTGCGTGGGTAAAGTCACACTTACCCTGTACGCTGTAAGGCGTACACATCATTTGGCGACGCATCGTGCTACTCAAATAACGTAATTTGAGGTGTATTTCCATCAGGTTTAACATTGTGCTGAAATCAAGTAATCACGTTTATGTTTTCTCATGGTTATATGTGGTAGTGGCGGACGGGAAACGGAGTAAAATAGAATTTGGTATGTTTCATCTACACTGCAATTCGTATATTCTAACGTGCGGGCAGTACGTTTGCGGCTTGCCTATCTAATTCTCTCGAGATTCACACTCTCGGTATGCCCAGCAACACCTACGAGCATAGGCGACCCTTCAGCCTCACCAGACAGATTGCTTTGCCTCTCCACATCCTCGGCCTTTGGCGGTGCAGGTGCCCTCTTCATAAAGATGACGCCGACAGCACTGCCCAGGATGAGCGTGCATCCGGCAAAGCTCATCAACCCCATGCGTCGGCCAAATATCCAGCGATCAAAGCTTGCAGCAAACAGCATGTGCGTGTAAATCATGGCATTCGCCCGGTTCGACTTGTCCGCAGCCAGGCCCGCCGTCAAAAGATACTGCATGACGAAGCCGAGCCCGCCCAGTGACAGCAGAAGCAGCCACTGCTTCAGGCTCGTCGGCGCAATCCACCGCAGAGAAGGCTGCCCGATGTCCAGGACGGGGCCGAGCCCCAGCGCCGTGACGCATATAATGCTGCAAATCACAGCAAAGGCGTTTACGGAAATCAGGGGGTGCGCCCGCTTCCCAATGGCCCGGAGGGTCGTGAAGGCGCCAGCGGCACCAAGGACGCCGATCAGGGCCACGCCGACAGCCAGCAGTCGTTCTCGAGGCGTGGTTTCGTGATCAGAGCCGGGGATGGAGGAGGCACGACGGGCTCGCCCGGAGCTGGAGCTGGCTGCGTCGGCCGTCGTCGCAAACAAAGCCACGGGCTGGGCGATGAGGACGACGCCCAGGAGGGCCACGAGCGTGGCGAGCTGCTCGAGCCGCGTGAAGGGTTCCTTGAGGAGGAAGTAACACACGAATCCTGCAACGCCGGGGGCCAGGAACGTGATGACGGTTGCGTCGGCCAGCGGGAGGTACATCATGGACCACCACACGCCAAAGATACCAAAGAAGCCTGTGCATCCGCGCACCAGGAGGAGCCACCGGATCTCCTTCTTGCCAAATGGGTAGTCTGGTATGCTCACCCACCACATGTACGCCAGGCAGCAGATGGATGTGACGGCCTGGCGAAGGAGGAGCATCTGCACGGGGTGCATGCCCTCGCCCTCTAGCTCCAGGAACCTGGCGCTTAGATTCATCGTGGCGCCGAATAGCTGCGACAGGGCAACGAGTATGGCTGGCTTGTTTGCTGTCCAGAATCTCTTCAGCGGTGAGAATTTCATGCCCGTAGTAACGTGTATACCGCCCGGCGGGTGATATGGTCCATGTGGAATCGGTGACAGTCGGCCGCCGGGGGCCGGACTTATAGAGAGGCTCCGGAGGGTTTCTGCCTCGGCGACCTGAGATTTGTCACCTCGTCCATGAGGTGATTGGACATGTCGAAATCCGCGCTGTGATGTTGCGTGCCCGGTGTTTTTCTTTGCTGTGAGCCGGCCGGTCCGGCCATCCGTTGCTTCACGCGGAGCGGTCAATGATAGTCCCCGGTCCATGATCCATTTACGTGAGGCGGGGTTGACAAATTGTCGATGAAGGGGGGTGTTGGCTACCGGCAGCCAGGATTTTTCTGTTTTCAATAGTGGGTTGACCAAATAAAAGACGAAAACGCTTCCCAAAACTAGCCCTCTCTGAAGCCATTTGAATCCCCAACAGTTGTGGCCGTGGAGAAGAAGAGGAGAAAAAGTGGCAGTTTGTAACTACATGGAGTTGTCCCATGCAGGTCAGCATTCGAATGGGCGGCAATGGTCTGGTGCAAAGCAACTTGGTTCCGTCATCGCCTTTACCCAAAATCTTGTCCAGGATACAGCGAGTCACAGTAACGCAATTCCAGAGATCGGGCGCCCGTCAACCCAAAATGTGGAGTTAAAGCAGCCGTACAGAGATCCGTCCAAGGAAACGACTGGGTATCAGGGCCTGGTAACGCCGCCACAACCAGTCGGGGGCGAGGGCTCGGGAATAATCCGTGCCTGTGTTGGCTAATAAGGAGGGCCGGAGAAGGATGGGATTTCTTAGTGAACGCCCGTCTGTTGTTAGTTGCATGTTTGGTCTGGTTGTAAGTGGCGGTTGGTTGGGGATGGAGTATTTGGAGCCCGATATCGCATTGACAAGGTTGGTTGCCTTGGTCGGGATCGGAGGCGGGGCTCCAGGTCGTTGAACAGGGATCTCTGGCGGCCCATTGCTAATCTGCCCAAGATGGTGGCATGTGCGTCGTCGGTTGGGTGTTTTGTGAGTTGAAGCATTTATGCGTGGTGTTGAGACATGATTCCTTCACACATGGACAAAAGATGCTTCGCAGCAGAAAGGACGTATCGATTCAAAGTCTAAAGTCTAATGCCCCCCCGAGTGGGAGTAGCTCCAAAAAGCTAGTGATTGCGGCCACACTGGCCCATTTAGGAAGTAGCCATCGTCACCATCAACTTGTACGAATTTTGTAGAACCAATCTGATCCTATACCCACGCGCGTGGTCCTTGGTTTTGGCGACAGTACAGCTATCACAAGACATGTCCCATGATGAGCTATTAAAATCCGATGTATTGAATAAAAATTCCAACGAGCCATCTTGTCTTAGCTGACGTGGTTAGTGACAGTCATCAAAACACCCTCTGCGCCTCCTAGTAGTAGTTTTGGCCCGAGAAGTGTAACATATGGAAACTTGGTATCATTAAAATAAAGACTCTCGTGTCCACATTCAGTCCACGAAATGCCATGACTGCATAAACTCCGGTTTGCCATCCCGTCGCTCGTCCCAAACAAGTACCTCGATGCAATATAATCCTGCAACGCCGTCGATGCCGCTAACCCTTGACGCCAAATTTTATGCCAAAACCCCAACCTTCTGTCCAACAGGACAATTACTTCTTCTTCCCCAAAGCATCCATCTCGGCCTCGGCATCATCGTCGGCCTCGCCCAGCTCCTCCTCTGCTCTGTTCACCTTCCCTGCTCCTCCTGCGCCGGTAACATCCTCCTTCTCTCTCCTCCTCTCCTCCTCGGCCGCATCCTTCATTATCTCATCTTCGCCGTCCCTCAGAATCTCACGCGCCTTCTTGATCTCCTTTTGCTTCTCAAACACCTCTTGCACCTTGCCCAAAAACGCAGGGTTCTTGCGGAACGCAAACTCAAAGTCCTCGTATTTTATCTTTTGACGGCCCGAGTAGTGTGCCGCGCGGGTGGCCTCAAAGGCGATGGACTGCATGAAGTCTGTGAGGATTTCATCCAGAACGCGAACTGTTTCGGGGAGAGGGTTTTTGACGTCGCCATGGGCGTAGAGGAGCTGGGCGACTGCGTGTGGGTTAGTTGCCGGGGGAGCAAACCCGGGAGAGGGCGTGGGAACTATCGACCAGGGAGACTACGCACGCTCGTTGTGGGAAAAATTCATCTTACCGACATTTTTGCCGGCTCGTGCTCGTGGTTCCATTTTGACGGTGGTTGTGCCGCTTCGCGGGGATGAGTGCTGAGTGAATGTGGTGACGGGATGGATATGGACGGCGACCGAGCAAGGCTTATTGTCGGCAGGCAAGTACGGAGTAGAGCGTAGAATAATTCTGCCGTCCGCCGCACCACGGTCCGTAGACGGAAGTCAGATGCACTCGGCGAGAAGAAAAGAGGTAGTGAAGCTCTTGATCGTGTTGAGAGGAAGTGCAAGAATGAGCTTGGAGCACCACCACGCATGTGCCGCCAAGGCACGGGTCGGCGAATCTTTGCTCCTCCCCACAATTGTGCCTCCTGGAACTACGTGGTAGTTACTACGACTGTAGGGAGCATACCAGGCTAAGAGGCCAACATTCAAATCCAATATCGCGGCCTCCGCAACCACCGGGATTTGCGCCTCCTTATCTTCGCCATCTCCTGTTTTATCTCTGTCGCTCAAGCTGCTGCAGCCATGGTAAATTCTTACCCCCCCGCGTTGCCTGTAGGAACTCCATCGAAACCTGACATTCTATAGTCTGCACTCTTCAACTTCCGATCGCTCCTCCTCGTCCTCCTCCTCCTGATTTGCACGAGCGCATACGTCCACCACTTCACGCCTGGGATTATGGACAGAAACAAGAATGGGTATGGCGCAGTGCTCTTTTAGATCTCCATGGTTGATGCGCAATTGCGCCGATAAGACGAGGAACGAAAACAGCTGACGCAAGCAGTGTCATGGGCATCTTCTGGAAATGCGCGAGAATAGGGGAGCGGCTTAGTCCGTACATAAGCATATGCTGCGTTTTCATGGCTGTGAGTAGAATTAGGGACTCCTGATATGCCTTATCACAGCGCCCCGACTTTCCTGGTTGCAGTCAAAGGGAACAACTAACGAATTACCTAGGCCTCCATCCTCATGAACTAGATTGGATTGCTTGTTTACGATGATACATGGATTAAAAAACAACAGGGTCTTATTTTGGCGGAAGCTTGCTCGTTGCTTAGGAGTCTGGCGAATGCGGACATTTATATAGGGTTGAGAGGGTCATCGTGTGGAAAGCAACAGGCGCTAGAGAGGCAACTGGTATTCATTGCCCCACGCCAGCAAACTACTCGTGTGTTAAATATTGAACTGGTCTGAATGCAAAGGAATGCCACGGCCGGGATGACCGGAGCCCGAAATATTTTTCTTGGTGAAGCGTCTGATGCGGCATTCCCAGAGTCTGAGTATGTGGCGACCCTTGCAGTGAGAGGGATGCGACGAGGACGACAGTCGTGACGGGTTAGAGTATAATTCGAATGATGCGGATGCTCGGGTGTGGTTTGACTCTGTCGAATTTCGGGATTATTCCATCGAATATAATGACGAACCATGGCAAAGTTTAATCTGGACGCCTGTTCCGGACATCTGGACCGTTTTCGTATGATGGCCAAAGCGAAACCTAGGGAACTCCGGACAACACTAGGCATGAGAGCCGTGATGCTGGCGAAAAATAACCACGATTAGCTTTTCAACTAATCGTTACCTTCCCAAACCCGAGTTTGCACGCATCACCGTGTCGAGCCTGGCCCGGCGTTGACGGTGCCATGACGGTCGCCCGTTACCGTCACATACAAGTTTTGACTACCGAGTCACGATGGCTCCGAAACCGTAAACCCTACAGTTATTAATCGCAAGGCGTAGGCCGCTGTTAACGAATGCCCGGAGACGGTCGGCTCGCCCGACAGCCTGGAGAATGAGCAGAGTTTTAAACTATTGCCGCCGGCCGCCGGCCGCCCAGAAGCATGAATGACGCATGTCCGGGAATGCTCCATATTAACACGACTCGCAAGCGCATCAAGTACCGGTACATGGGACCACTTTCCGGAATCTTTTTACCTGCCCAACTCAGAGAGTAGTTAGTAGTGCTCCGCCGTGTTGATGGACCTTTCGACGCACCTCCAGCTACTTAATGTATCGTTCCTTTCAACCCCTGGATTTGCGTCATGTCATTCGAGAAATCCCGAGATCCAGCGTACAGGGTTTGTTTAGCTTCCAGAATCCCATTCGAACGCGACCAGACACCTGACAGCGGAGTAGCGTCGCAGCGTGGAGGGTCGCTGTATATTTCGGTTAAATTGGCTGGCCCGTCGCATATTCTTGGGAGGGGAGGGGGGTAATCGCTGGGAACAATCATCACCAAGACAAGGGGCAGGAATGCTTTCCTGCGGAGGATTACCACACCAGGGCAACTGCGCCGACGCACACCGCCCCGGAGCATGATGTGAAGTCAATTTGTGCAATACTACTACAAAAGTACGTACATACATAGCCTGTAACCTTGCTATGCACAGTACATTACAATACTCCCTGCTCCGTACACACACTGCCTCGTACATCCTGTGAAGCACGGGAAACTCCACGGCTTGAACGAATGCGGGTTGCCACCACAGCTGACAGGCAGGCTGAGTGGCTTTTGGCGGAAATACTGGACTCATAGGGTCTAAATACTAGTAACTAAATTGACGGTTCCGGGGTTCCGGGTTGGCGAATCCAATGACACCAATGGCAAAACTCGACGCCAGTTACCCACACTTGGACCTGGAAAAGATAAAGATCACATGCGCCACGTGAGTCGCCCGGCCCGGCCCCAACTGGGGATTTCCAAGGAGAAAACGTGGCGAGGGTGGCTCCGAAGTACCTGGGAACAATGATGAGGCTCATGTGACAGGGAACACTGGTTGGTCCTGTTTCCGGGATTCAGGTAACACACAGGGAGTCCACGGGATCTTTGAACCGAAGCCTCGAACCATGTTCAGCTATGATTGCTGTGTCGTATCGCTGTACTCCGTACGTATGTAGAGGAGTGCCCCCGGCTGTAGTCGCCATGAACTTTGGCATTTCATCCTTGCTGTTGAACCCATCATTCATTTTTTGAACCATGGCCCGACGGTTCTGTCCACGAATTCATGAATGAAGATGGGCGAGCCTTGCTAAAGGGTGATTCTGCCCAAGGAGGATATTGGGTGGCCGTCTCGTTTGTTCGAGAAAGCAATTAGCGACATGACTTGTGGAGATCAATCCGGTAGTTTGTTATGCAAGAGTACTCAGCTGTGCTTGTCTCCAAGTTGGGCAGAGGGATCCCTGCGACGTGAAGGAGGGACTATGTACATTACATGCTCAAACGGTAGGACAACGGTCGGTTTGTTTCAGTAATCTTAGCCTCTGCGTATTGAAGGGTAAGCGAGGTCGACAGGGCCAGGCCTCGCGGCAGCCTATCGCAATATCAGTTTATGCAATGGATGTTTGATGATTCCAACGGATCATTAGCCCTGGACCAACAGACATGAACATGAACATGAACAGGCCATGGAGGCTCATGGGAGAGCATTTCAAATTTCCCCACTAGCCACAGCCACTTCTACTACTACTTCAACTGCAATCTTGCTGAATGGCGGTGGCGTACTCCGTAAGAGGCACGGGCTTGTTGGGAGTGGAATTGTCGTCTTGGGCTTTTTTGCCAACAGTCGAGTGTGTCCGACTGAAATAGGCAGCTGTGTACCGAGTAACAAAGCCAAGACCATGTGTGTACGTTGCGAACGGATTGGCCTCAATAGCCACCATAATTATCGCCCCTCAAGCTCGGCGCCGACCAGGTGGACACTCGTCGTAGTTGCTATATTTGTTAACATGGCGAAAAACCCCTCATGATGGCAAACCCCGGACGCAGTATTGAGTGGCAGGATGTACATAGCAAAATCGCGGACTAGTTATGAAATGTACATATCGAACGAAAGCCCCGACAAAGGGGCTGAGCTCTATGCCAGTAGCCTACTGAGCCCGATAGTTGCAGGCTATGAAACGTCGTCGAATGCGACACTAACCAGCGAAAATGTCAGAGGTGTGCATGTTTCCGGTTTCGGTTTAAGCTACGTACATAGTAGATTGTCCATGGCATCAGGCTAGCTGCGAAGGGCCAACCAACAACGTGAACTCGCCCATGAAGTATGCAGGCAGAATGCAGAGCAGCCCTGCTCTGCGGGAGGTTCCTCGAAGCTCGGCTCTGTGGTAGCAATTGAGACCCTGTTTTACTGACCCAAGCATCTTCACGATTCTTCGTTGGCTGCTTCTTGTTATGCTCGAAATGTGTGTTGTTGGTCTCTGCCAGCCAAGTGAGGGCCAGCACACCATTTGCCGCGGCACGAGGGCTTTCCTCCGCTCCGAGGCGGCTCAACTCAACCACGTATCGAGAAAGGAACGGAGGTATGTATGATGGACATTGATCAGTCAAGAGACAAACAAGCGGTTCCCTTGGCAAAGATGGTGCCAACTTACGGCAACAGTATGAAAATGGTGAGACTGTCCCAGTAATGTGTCTCCACCATGTCAAGGGGCCGCAAATTTAGTACCGTGCCCAACAGACGGTTGATGATCGAAAGCGAGTCTCACAATCGTTGGCTAATGAATTTAGATCGGAATTGCTGCCATTCTGCCCATACCAGGTCTGCCGGTAACCAAACCCGTGTGTTTATGTTGGCTGAGAAAAGACCGGGTTTCCTGTGTTGACTGACTTGTACAGAGTGGGAATCCGCTGTGGTATGCTGAGTTTGATAACTGAATACGTAGCCGATTAAACGAGCATCAGTGCGATCACCAGTGCGGCCATAGCTTGACTCTTGTAGCTTGTCGTCTGCGTCAGACGAAGCCTTGGTGAGCCATACACCAATGGACAGTTTTACCCATTTCGGCTATACAAAATGAATGAATAACATATCTCCATGATCTCATGGGATGGCACCATGAGTTAGCCCATGCATGGTCTGAATGTAGGCCCCAATCACGGCTTCGTATTTGGTGGCACAGAAGCAAGACGCCTCACCTACGGCCACGGCATTGGCGGGTTCAGAGCGGGAATTCCATGTGTAGTTGTGGCTTTCGATTGGCAGTGTCGACTATACTCTGCATCTGCAATGTACAGTGTTCCCGAGTGTAGTGCTCGGCCAAGGCCATAATCTGAGTCTAAGCAG